TTGAACGCGGTGATGTTACGGGCCCTTGACAGGAACGTCGTAGAAAGCTGGGAGGTCCGGCCTCGGCTGCGCTAAGGGTGGGCAAGGGTGAAGCAGCTTGTAGCGATATCAGAGACATCCAACATCAGCACGTATCCGGTGTATGTCCTTCCTATACGAGATATCCTGACCTGTGATAGTTACAAGTGAGCATTAGAGATACAAGCATCGAGTGAGATAATCAAATCCTTCATCTTTAGGGTTTCATTTTTAGTGATGAACCACTCTGTACCTATCTGAGTTTACTCCCAATTCCTGTAATGTTTTCGATGTTCTTGCTGCGAGGTCAGTGTCACTGCTATGTGTTCGACAGTGGGGATTCGAGGTGCATCATTTTGGATGAACATGGCCTATAAAGATGCATTCAGTTGATGTTTGACTAGGTTAATTTACCGGTCAAAAAAGTATGGTGATTTGAAAACTAGCTGTGGTAGTTGACTGGAGGCTACAAAGAGGTTTCACAGCTGGACTGAACTCCCTGATTGTTTTCACTGGAAAAGTCATATCTGTCTCAAGATTTGATGGTTGCAAAACTCATTGCGTCATTTCCTCCTATATTTTTGTACTCAAATACGTTTTCCTCCGAATCAAATATCCAATTGTTTGCGCGCGTGCGCGCAGACCCCATCAGCAATGAATGTTTTTCGAGGAGGTGAGGTATTGTACACAGAATGTTTTGCATAAATGTTTTGACGCGAGAAAGTCAATATATTTTGCATCAATTTACCCTTCATCATAATTTATATAGATACATATACATACATGGTTGGAGGCAGATGGATAGATAATTTGATAGATGGAAGGAGAGATCGATAGGTAGGTATGGAATGATATGTAGATATGCAGGAACTTACAATATCATACTAATTGATACGATGTTTCCCAACTGGGACCCTTTGCCAGGTGAAGGCGGATTGCGATGAGTGGGGAATCTTAATGGGAATCGTCATGGGAGTCTGTGGTTCTGGTGGTATGGATTGGTTTTGGGATAGTTGGATTGGTTTTGGGAAAATTGGAGGTTGCAAGATGTTGCAACCAGATTTACCGTTTTGTCAGCTAGCAGGTTACTATCAAGAATGGCCTATTGACAGTGGATTTAGTGTAAGTTAAGTCAAATCCATTTAATCTTTGCTGTTTTTTTTCGGGATCTCTCTATTGGATGATAATCCCCATATATATATGTATACATTTATGATATAATGTGTATATATATATTTATATTTACATATGTATATACATATACATATAATATATATATATAATTTATATATATATATATCACAATCAAAGACTGTTCCGTGTTCTAGTCATCAAATAATTGTTGGATCAAATAAATGGCACGTCGAAACTACAAGCTTCAATAGCTCCACCGCGGGGGTCAAGGTGGAGGTATTTTTTTGTTGTTCAATCGTGCTGGATGCTTGTGCACAATTCTTGGATTTCAATAGCTCCACTTGAGGTCACAATGATGACATCAAGCAGCTAATGTCACAGGTGTCTGTGGTCATCTCTGATCACCGGACGTGAGCAACGTTTCTGAAACCGTCTCGAGGTTGAATCTTCTCGGCAGTGTCTTTTCTGGCAAGCTTTCGCAGCAGCTGCAGGGATGCCAAAATCAAGGATGATATCGGTGGAAACTGAAGCAAATGAGTTTTTTTGCTTTTGGGAAGTAGGGGAGATACTGTGTGAGATACTGTCTGAGATTCTTGACATATCTTGATTTATCTTGGTATAGCTGGATATATCTTGATATGGTACATTTGAATGGATGATTTTGAAGGTTGGAGCTCTAGAAGCATCCCAGGAGCTTGGAATTGGGTCCCCTGTATATCAACTTGCGTGCCACTGGTGGCAACAAGTAAAAACACGAGGTGGGGCTACCGGTGGTCTGCTCGACAGGGGTCTGTCTTGCAAAAGTAAATAGGGAATAGAATCTGGGAAACTAACAGATTTGTCACCGAATTTCACCGTCTTTCAGGAAAAGGATCATGAACCATCAAAATGTGAGTTGTATTCCATCATTTTCGGATAACGACGACACACCTACGTCTATCCTAATCTTGATCATCAGTTTGTCCAAAGAATCTGGATAGACTGTTTGTTTCATAGACTCAGTGGCATGGAGTGGTCCACCGGAGCAGATGAGTCCTTGGGGAGTCGCTCATGGTGTAAAAATGAGATTCACAGATATGTACACATAGACACACGCATATATGTATATATATATATATATATATATCTACATGTCAGGCTATTCTTATGATGTTATAGAAGCTCGATATACTTGCACATATATTATATGTCTGTACAAAAATTGATTGATTGATTGGGCCTCATAACATTGTGAGCGGGATTAAAGTGAGATAGGTAGTTTTTTTTTTTAAATGAGTGCTTAATTATTTAGAGTTTAAGCATGTTGGAACCCAGTTTGTTACACTTTAATCATGGTCATCTTTTGCATTTGGGCCATTTTTGGTTGGTCGTTTTGAGCAATTGTTGCCAGTGTTCGATCAATTCTCCTCCGAAGTTTTGTGCTAGGCCATGCTCCCCAATGGAGTTCGCACGGTTCAGCTGGACACAAACTTGTGGGGAGGGCCTAGTTTTGACCTCTAAGCCTGGTATCGTGGCAGATAAGACAGTTCAAGATAGCTGAACAGCGATGGAAACCAACTGTATTTCTGAATAAGATAGGGACTGAAGAGATGAAACATTTACAAACAATCCGTGATCCTAATTATGTTTGTCCACATGTCGGGTAGTCATTGGAACAAAACGTGAAATCTAGTGGCAGATAAATATCATATACACACATACATATATATATATACACATGTATATATATATATACGCTTAACAATATAAAGACACACACACATATATATATATATACATACATATATATATATATATTCATATGTTATGTTTCCCAACTGGGACCCTTTGCGAGGTGAAGGTGGATCGCGATGAGTGGGGAATCTGAATGGGAATCCGTGGTTCTGGTTGTATGGATTGGTTTTGGGATGGTTTCGGCAAAAGCTAAGGTTGCAAGATGTTGCAACCAGATCTACCCTCTGGTCAGCTAGCAGTTTCTATCAAGCATGGCCAAGTGACAGTTGATTTGCTGATCAAGGATGATGATTTTCCGTAGCAACAAGATCTACAACTTGGAGACTTAAAAGCCTGGAAACAATTGTGAGATTTGAGATCAGAAGATATACCAACCAACAGATCAACAGATCGAAGTTAAGTCAAATCCATTTAATCCTGATTTTTTTCGGGATCCCTCTATTGGATGATATATATATATAGATATATGTATGGATATACATATATATATACACATATATATATATGATATAATGTATATATATATATGTATATATGTATACGTATAATATATACACAATTTATTTATATATACATAAACAGTATAATCCACGAATTAATCATCAACCAACAAAGCTTTTGGACCAGAACTCCTCTGTGACCGGAATGACTCCGTGAGGTTGTCTCCTTATGCCGCCGTGCTTGCAGCCCAGGATGTGGCTGCCTGTTGCAAGGATGATATCGTTGAAAACCGAAGCAAATGAGTTTTTTTGTTTTGGGAAGTAGGGGAGATACTGTGTGAGATACTGTCTGAGATTCTTGACATATCTTGATTTATCTTGGTATAGCTGGATATATCTTGATATGGTACATTTGAATGGATGATTTTGAAGGTTGGAGCTCTAGAAGCATCCCAGGAGCTTGGAGTTGGGTCCCCTGTATATCAACTTGCGTGCCACTGGTGGCAACAAGTAAAAACACGAGGTGGGGATACCTGTGATCTGCTCGACAGGGGTCTGTCTTGCAAAAGTAAATAGGGAATAGAATCTGGGAAACTAACAGATTTGTCACCGAATTTCACCGTCTTTCAGGAAAAGGATCATGAACCATCAAAATGCGAGTTGTATTCCATCATTTTCGACAATGATGACACACCTACATCTATCCTTATCTTGATCATCAGTTTGTCCAAAGAATCGGGATAGACTGTTTGTTTCATAGACTCAGTGGCATGGAGTGGTCCACCGGAGCAGATGAGTCCTTGGGGAGTCGCTCATGGTGTAAAAATGAGATTCACAGATATGTACACATAGACACACACACACATATATGTATATATATATATATATATGTATGGATATACATATATATATATACACATATATATATATGATATAATGTAGATATATATATATGATATAATGTATATATATATATGTATATACGTATACGTATAATATATACACAATTTATTTATATATACTTAAACAGTATAATCCACGAATTAATCATCAACCAACAAAGCTTTTGGACCAGAACTCCTCTGTGACCGGAATGACTCCGTGAGGTTGTCTCCTTATGCCGCCGTGCTTGCAGCCCAGGGTGTGGCTGCCTGTTGCAAGGATGATATCGTTGAAAACCGAAGCAAATGAGTTTTTTTGTTTTGGGAAGTAGGGGAGATACTGTGTGAGATACTGTTTGACATTCTTGACATATCTTGATTTATCTTGGTATAGCTGGATATATCTTGATATGGTACATTTGAATGGATGATTTTGAAGGTTGGAGCTCTAGAAGCATCCCAGGAGCTTGGAATTGGTGCCCTGTATATCAACTTGCATGCCACTGGTGGCAACAAGTAAGAACACGAGGTGGGGATACCTGTGATCTGCTCGACAGGGGTCTGCCTCGCAAAAGTAAGTAGGGAATAGAATTTGGGAAACTAACAGATTTGTGAACTATGGAAAGTCATTATTGCAACTATAAATCACCTGTTTCCCATAATTATGATCAGTCACCAGAGGCTGCCCGGAACACGCATTGTCCTGCAATCTTCAGAGAGTTTGGGGTAAATTGACGACTCTGCAGTTTGTGGAGGTCAAGTAGATAGGAGGGCCATCGTTGCTGCGACTGCCATGCTTCGTTTGGTAGGAGTCGTGGATATGCAGCATCAACAGCTGTTCCAAAAAGCGGATCAGTTCAAGGCGCAGCTCAAGAAAGACTTGGGCATCGACGTGGAATATGATGGGAAGCCAAATGGACCTGCATCGTATGCATGGCAATTGCCTGTGGATCCTGGAGAACGAGCCCGGCTGAAGGCAGCCGTAGAGGCCAAGTTCGCCGTCGAGGAGGTCGAAGTTATGGATGTAGATGCATCAGCACCAAGTCAACCGGAGGGCAAAGGGTATGTTGTCAAGATTGATTTGATTGCCAACAGTTTGCTAGGGCATCTTCGTGGCCGAGCAGTACGCGATGCTGTATTGGGCTCCTTATCACCCATGCCTGCTGGGGCTGTGCCTTGGTGATCATGGTCACGTTTGTTTTTGTGCTAGTTGCTGGCTGGTTGAAGACTTTGTGGGCATTGGGGTTAGGTCAAACTGAAGCAAGTAAAGGGGCCAGAGTCGGCTGTGTCAATGGCTTTCGATGGGTTTGCGTGGCTGAGGTGCTGGGGCATGCTGTAGTCATCGGTGGAAAAACGTTGAAGGTGCATTTGAGTGATGTGACATTAGCTGCCTGGGATGATCTACACAAGAAGCTTCAGGCGCATGGATATGTGCATGTGTTAGCAGGTGAGGCACTCCAGGAGCAGCGCAAGCGGGATGAGGTGACCCGTGCCAGTAAGATGAGGCGAGCTGAAATGTTGTCCGATGTGGAAAGCATGTTGGCTGGCATGCGAGAGCTTGCAGAGTTGCATGGAGTCGGTGGCAAGGGCACCAAGCGACATAGGTTTGCTAGGGTGCTTGGCCGGTGCTTGGATCGCAGTTCCAGGGTTGCAGCCTACAATCTGAGAGAAGCCGAGGAGGAGAACCCGGACTTGAGTGATGATGCTGACTGAGTATAGAGGGGTTGGTCTCGCGGATTGTTTGAAGGCCTCGACGGCAGTAGCAATTTTGTATAGATGCCGGTTTGAAATAGGATAGGTTGGTGATGTCAGATTTGGTGCTCCGTAGCACAGGTTCTTGCACAGATTTGAACTCGATGGAACTATTCAATTGCAACAATTTGTCACGATGGCTTTTTGTGGCCTTGTAGATGGACTTGGTCAGCTGCGTTGGACCTTCCCAAGTTTATTCAGTGGGTTCTGATTTATTGATTGTTCTGACTTTGGTGGAGAAGAGCTATGCAGCTGTGTAGACGCTTTTGAATGCGTCATGCAATGCCGTATTGACAGATTTGTACAGTTAGCACTTTTCTGCGGTCTGCGGAAGAAATATTGCTGCAAGTCCAGATGTTGAATTGTTGAGTTGAAATGATTTGAAATGAATGACACACGTTGATCTCTTTGGTGTATCTTTACTTTATTATATGGTTGATTCTATTTTGAGGGTTACGTGGATGTTTCTGCCAGCATTTGGTGATCAAATGTGGCATAGCTCCTGTGCTCAATATTGCCTCAGTTGAATGCATTGAACGCGATGATGTTACAGGCCCTGGACAGCAACGTCGTAGCAATCTGGGAGGTCCGGTGTCGGCTGCGCTAAGCTTGTAGTGATAGCAGAGATATCCAACATCAGCACATATCTAGTGTATGTCCTTCCTATACGAGACATCCTTACCTGTGATTGTTGCAAGTGAGCATGTCGTTCTGTGTGGCTAAGAACAATATCCCATTTCAAGTAACATTTCTGGGTGTACCAACAAATTTGTCATCCATCTTGATCTGGCAATGTTCACTAGCATGTTTTTGAAATCAGGTGGTCACCACAGCTGCTGACGATGATCCCCAGCTTCGGCTGTCGTCTCAGCGAGACGCCCGGTCTAGCTGAGACGCTGCGATGGCGCACGGCACAGGACCTGCAGCTCTAATGTGGTGGCTGCTGAAAAGGTGCTGAAGTGGGTTGATTTCAGCAGCTTCATACGTTAGCCTGGCTGATTGAACTATGGTTAATAGATGGTTGATACATATCTATAATTATCTATCGCATTATAGCCAAGTATAGGTGTCCTTCACTGTGGTTTTCTTTGCTTAACTCTAGTTAAAGATAGCTTAAAAATGGGTTAGGTGAAGCCTTGGTGGTAGATCGAACCGGTGCATGGGCTAACCAACAAACATCACTGGGGGTTACTACCAACAGTACGAGTTCATGGATGAATTGATGGGGCTACTTTCCAGGGATTGCCAGTTTTTTTAGTTGAAAATGGTGATCATTTGTCGTCAATCTTCTGAAGATTCTCACAGCTGATGAGCAACAGCTACCTACACATTAGTTTATGTATCTTTATTGGCCATGAATAGATAAGTTAAGTCGGGTATCAGTTGGTATGATCTCTGGCAAACTATTCAAACTGATGAACCTATGAATCTATGTCTCCATTATGTCGAAAACATGGAAGATGGGATGAGCCGGATAATGTTGGCTTCCGGATTTCCACTATCCGTAGTGTAACGCAGCCAGACCCCGTGGAAACGCTATGGGCCACCTACAATGGTGGGCAGGTTCGCCAGTCATTTCATGATTTGTTTGGGTTCAAACCTCGGACGGCCATAGTGCTACTGCTTGCTCCAGTTGAAGAAAGGAAGTGACAGTAACAAACACATCCCTGAAAATCTTTGCAGTGTAGATTAGATGATTAGCATCTCATGCTGCAGCGCAGGCTGTTTGTCATAAAATTGGGGAATACTTCCGAGCTTCAGACTCTGTAAAGCGAGAAAATGACATAGCCACCCAGGGCTACCCATTTCATGTGAAAGGGTTTGGACACCATTTTCAACGAACGTCTGAAAGGTCGGTCTTTCCGTGCAGTGCTCACAGCGCCACATTTCACCATGAGTGACGAGTAGGGATGCCTGGTCAAGGCCTCCAGACAGTGGACGGCTGGACTGCAGGTTGGAGGTTGGAAGTTATAGCTGTAGCTTCACCACCAGGAAAGAGTATATATATGCAGAATTTAGGCATTGGAAATTTCAATCAATTGAACATGGGACTGTGGCTGAGGATGCTCTTTGAAGGAACCCTGGTGCTCGTCGTGGGTGGTGCTTGCCTACGAGTTTGGTCCATGGCAGCCAAAGACCTCCAGAGGTACAGGTTCAAAAATGGGTTGTTTGGCTGGAGTTTCTCCAAAAAATCTGGGAAAACCCTAAAATCTCCTGATTTGTCCCGGTGTATCATCATTTTCCCAGTAAGTTGGATACAACTTGAGGAAGATCAACGATTTCCGGACATAGACGCAGTCAGTCAAAAACACAAATTTCCAGCTCTTGACAGCTCTTGGCAGCTCTTGGCAACTTGTCCACATGGCCGTCCTGCTGCCCTGCTCCTGCTGTAAGCTGCTCGGCTGCTACTTTGGTAATCCACAGAGCCTAACGTCCCTTCCGAAACCCTAGTTAAAAAACAACTTGTCCACATGGCCGTCCTGCTGCCCTGCTCCTTGCTGCTGCGCTGCTTCTGCTGCGGCTGCTGCAACTGTTTGCCACATCGTTTAGCCAACAAATTGCCTCAAAAAATGCACCTCCCGGACAGGAAAGTACCATGGCACTGAGGGACGGAATGGTGCCCTGCAATGATAATCCATGGGGCCCAACGTCCCTTCTGAAACCCTAGTTAAAGAAACACAAATTTCCAGCTCTTAGCAGCTTTTAGCAACTTGTCCACATGGCCGTCCTGCTGCCCTGCTCCTGCTGTAAGCTGCTCGGCTGCTACTTTGGTTGTTGCTGCTGCGCTGCTTCTGCTGCGGCTGTCGTTTAGCCATGTTTAGCCACCAAATTGCCGCAAAAAAATGCACCTCTTGGACGGGAAAACCCCATGGCACTAAGGGGCGGAATGGTGCCCTGCAACGGTAATCCACGGGGCCTCACGTCCCTTCTGAAACCCTAGTTAAAAAACACAAATTTCCAGCTCTTGGTAGCTCTTGGCAACTTGTCCACATGGCCGTCCTGCTGCCCTGCTCCTGCTGAAAGCTGCTCGGCTGCTACTTTGGCTGTTGCTGCGGCGCTGCTTCTGCGGCGGCCGCCGCAACTGTTTGCCACATCGTTTAGCCAACAAATTGCCTCCAAAAATGCACCTCCCGGACGGGAAAGCACCATGGCAATGAGGGACGGAATGGTGCCCTGCAATGATAATCCATGGGGCCGGGCCTAACGTCCCTTCTGAAACCCTAGTTAAAAAACACACTGAGGGACGGAATGGTGCCCTGCAATGGTAATCCACGAGCCCTAACGTCCCTTCTGAAACCCTAGTTAAAAAATTTGGCTGCTACTTTGGTTGTTTCTACTGCGCTGCTTCTGCTGAACTGTTTGCCACATCTTTTGGCCAACAAATTGCCTTAGAAAATGCACCTCCCGGACTTGTTGCTGCTGCGGTTTAAAAAAAATCTAGCTCTTGGCAGCTCTTGGCAACTTGTCACATGGCTGTCCTGCTGCCCTGCTCCTGCTGTAAGCTGCTCAGCTGCTACTTTGGTTGTTGCTGCTGCGCTGCTTCTGCTGCGGCCGCTGCAATTGTTTGCCACATCGTTTGGTCAACGAATTGCCTCAAAAAATGTACCTCCCGGACGGGAAAACACCATGGCACTGAGGGACGGAATGGTGCCCTGCAATGATAATTGACGTTGCTGCTGCGCTGCTTCTGCTGTGGCCGCTGCAACTGTTTGCCACATCGTTTAGCCAACAAATTGCCTCAAAAAATGCACCTCCCGGACGGGAAAACACCAGGGCACTGAGGGACGGAATGGTGCCCTGCAATGATAATCCATGGGGCCTAACGTCCTTCTGAAACCCTAGTTAAAAAACACAAATTTCCAGCTCTTGGCAGCTCTTGGCAACTTGTCCACATGGCCGTCCGCTGTAAGCTGCTCGGCTGCTACTTTGGTTGTTGCTACTGCGCTGCTTCTGCTGCGGCTGCTGCAACTGGTTGCCACATCGTTTAGCCAACAAATTGCCTCAAAAAATGCACCTCCCGGATGGGAAAACGCCATGGCACTGAAGGACGGAATGGTGCCCTGCAATGATAATCCATGCGGCCTAACGTCCCTTCTGAAGCCCTAGTTAAAAAACACAAATTTCCAGCTCTTGGCAGCAACTTGTCCACATGGCTGTCCTGCTGCCCTGCTCCTGCTGTAAGCTGCTCGGCTGCTACTTTGGTTGTTGCTGCTGCGCTGCTTCTGCTGCGGCCGCTGCAACTGTTTGCCACATCGTTTAGCCAACATATTGCCTCCAAAAATGTACCTCCCGGACGGGAAAACACCATGGCACTGAGGGACGGAATGGTGCCCTGCAATGATAATCCATGGGGCCTAGCGTCCCTTCTGAAACCCTAGTTAAAAAACACAAATTTCCAGCTCTTGGCAGCTCTTGACTTTGCTGCTGCGCTGCTTCTGCTGCGGACGCTGCAACTGTTTGCCACATCGTTTGGTCAACGAATTGCCTCAAAAAATGTACCTCCCGGACGGGAAAACACCATGGCACTGAGGGACGGAATGGTGCCCTGCAATGATAATCCATGGGGCCTAACGTCCCTTCTGAAACCCTAGTTAAAAACACAAATTTCCAGCTCTTGGCAGCTCTTGACGTTGCTGCTGCGCTGCTTCTGCTGCGGCCGCTGCAACTGTTTGCCACATCGTTTAGCCAACAAATTGCCTCAAAAAATGCACCTCCTGGACGGGAAAACACCATGGCACTGAGGGACGGAATGGTGCCCTGCAATGATAATCCATGGGGCCTAACGTCCCTTCTGAAACCCTAGTTAAAAAACACAAATTTCCAGCTCTTGGCAGCTCTTGGCAACTTGTCCACATGGCCGTCCGCTGTAAGCTGCTCGGCTGCTACTTTGGTTGTTGCTACTGCGCTGCTTCTGCTGCGGCTGCTGCAACTGGTTGCCACATCGTTTAGCCAACAAATTGCCTCAAAAAATGCACCTCCCGGATGGGAAAACGCCATGGCACTGAGGGACGGAATGGTGCCCTGCAATGATAATCCATGGGCCTAACGTCCCTTCTGAAGCCCTAGTTAAAAAAACACAAATTTCCAGCTCTTGGCACCTCTTGGCAACTTGTCCACATGGCTGTCCTGCTGCCCTGCTCCTGCTGTAAGCTGCTCGGCTGCTACTTGGTTGGTTGCTGCTGCGCTGCTTCTGCTGCGGCCGCTGCAACTGTTTGCCACAATCGTTTAGCCAACATATTGCCTCCAAAATGTACCTCCCGGACGGGAAAACACCATGGCACTGAGGACGGAATGGTGCCCTGCAATGATAATCCATGGGGCCTAACGTCCCTTCTGAAACCCTAGTTAAAAAACACAAATTTCCAGCTCTTGGCAGCTCTTGACATTGCTGCTGCGCTGCTTCTGCTGCGGACGCTGCAACTGTTTGCCACATCGTTTAGCCAACATATTGCCTCCAAAAATGCACCTCCCGGACGGGAAAACACCATGGCACTGAGGGACGGAATGGTGCCCTGCAATGATAATCCATGGGGCCTAGCGTCCCTTCTGAAACCCTAGTTTAAAAACACAAATTTCCAGCTCTTGGCAGCTCTTGGCAAGTTGTCCACATGGCCGTCCGCTGCTAATCCATGGGGCCTAACGTCCCTTCTGAAACCCTAGTTAAAAAACACAAATTTCCAGCTTTTGGCAGCTCTTGGCAACTTGTCCACATGGCTGTCCTGCTGCCTTGCTCCTGCTGTAAGCTGCTCGGCTGCTACTTTGGTTGTTGCTGCTGCGCTGCTTCTGCTGCGGCCGCTGCAACTGTTTGCCACATCGTTTAGCCAACATATTGCCTCAAAAAATGCACCTCCCGGACGGGAAAACACCATGGCACCTCTTGGCAACTTGTCCACATGGCTGTCCTGCTGCCCTGCTCGTGCTGTAAGCTGCTCGGCTGCTACTTTGGTTGTTGCTGCTGCGCTGCTTCTGCTGCGGCCGCTGCAACTGTTTGCCACATCGTTTAGCCAACATATTGCCTCCAAAAATGTACCTCCCGGACGGGAAAACACCATGGCACTGAGGGACGGAATGGTGCCCTGCAATGATAATCCATGGGGCCTAACGTCCCTTCTGAAACCCTAGTTAAAAAACACAAATTTCCAGCTCTTGGCAGCTCTTGACATTGCTGCTGCGCTGCTTCTGCTGCGGACGCTGCAACTGTTTGCCACATCGTTTAGCCAACATATTGCCTCCAAAAATGCACCTCCCGGACGGGAAAACACCATGGCACTGAGGGACGGAATGGTGCCCTGCAATGATAATCCATGGGGCTAGCGTCCCTTCTGAAACCCTAGTTTAAAAACACAAATTTCCAGCTCTTGGCAGCTCTTGGCAACTTGTCCACATGGCCGTCCGCTGCTAATCCATGGGGCCTAACGTCCCTTCTGAAACCCTAGTTAAAAAACACAAAAAAACACAAATTTCCAGCTCTTGGCAGCTCTTGGCAACTTGTCCACATGGCTGTCCTGCTGCCCTGCTCCTGCTGTAAGCTGCTCGGCTGCTACTTTGGTTGTTGCTGCTGCGCTGCTTCTGCTGCGGCCGCTGCAACTGTTTGCCACATCGTTTAGCCAACATATTGCCTCCAAAAATGTACCTCCCGGACGGGAAAACACAATGGCACTGAGGGACGGAATGGTGCCCTGCAATGATAATCCATGCGGCCTAACGTCCCTTCTGAAACCCTAGTTAAAAAAACACAAATTTCCAACTCTTGGCAGCTCTTGACGTTGCTGCTGTACTGCTGTGGCCGCTGCCACTGTTTGCCACATCGTTTAGCCAACAAATTGCCTCAAAAAATGCACCTCCCGGACGGGAAAGCACCATGGCACTGAGGGACGGAATGGTGCCCTGCAATGATAATCCATGGGGCCTAACGTCCCTTCTGAAACCCTAGTTAAAAAACGCAAATTTCCAGCTCTTGGCAACTCTTGACGTTGCTGCTGCGCTGCTTCTGCTGCGGACGCTGCAACTGTTTGCCACATCGTTTAGCCAACAAATTGCCTCAAAAAATGCACCTCCCGGACGGGAAAACACCATGGCACTGAGGGACGGAATGGTGCCCTGCAATGATAATCCATGCGGCCTAACGTCCCTTCTGAAACCCTAGTTAAAAAAACACAAATTTCCAACTCTTGGCAGCTCTTGGCAACTTGTCCACATGGCCGTCCGCTGTAAGGTGCTCGGCTGCTACTTTGGTTGTTGCTTCTGCTGCGGCTGCTGCAACTGGTTGCCACATCGTTTAGCCAACAAATTGCCTCAAAAAATGCACCTCCCGGACGGGAAAACACCATGGCACTGAAGGACGGAATGGTGCCCTGCAATGATAATCCATGGGGCCTAACGTCCCTTCTGAAACCCTAGTTAAAAAACACAAAAAAACACAAATTTCCAGCTCTTGGCAGCTCTTGGCAACTTGTCCACATGGCTGTCCTGCTGCCCTGCTCCTGCTGTAAGCTGCTCGCTAGCAGTAAAATAGTAGTCGTAGTAGTAGAAGAAGAAGTAGCAGTAGTAGTAGTAGTAGTAGTGGTAGTAGTAACAGTAGTCGTAGTAGCTGGACTCGCTGCTGCCGCTGCTACAGCCACTGCCGCTGCTCTTGCTGCTGGTGCCTCCCGGACGGGAAAACACCATGCACAGCAAAACACCATGCCTCTGAAGGACGGAGCCTCGAAAATGCCTAACGCAACTTCTGAAACCGATAGAAAATGATGCTTTTGGCTCCTTTTTCCTCTTGCTGCTGCTATGAATTTTGGCCACCTTTACCTCTGGTTTTGGCTCCTTTTTCCTCTTGCTGCTGCTATGACTTTTGGCCACCTTTATATCCGGTCCCCAAATGGGCAAACACCATGGAAAAAATCACCTCCTGGCAGCAAAACACCATGCCTCGGAAGGACGGAGAAACCCCAAAATTGCACCTCGAAAATGCCTAACGTAACTTCTGAAACCGAGAGAAAATGTGATGCTTTTGGCTCCTTGCTGCTGCTGCTGGTCCTCGGATGGGAACACACCATGGAAAAAATCACCTCCCGGCAGCAAAACACCATGCCTCTGAAGGACGGAGAAGTCCCAAAATTGCACCTCGAAAATGCCTAACGTAACTTCTGAAACCGACTTTTGCTGCTGCTATGAATTTTGGCCACCTTTACCTCTGGTTTTGGCTCCTTTTTCCTCTTGCTGCTGCTATGACTTTTGGCCACCTTTATATCCGGTCGGCCGTAGTACTAGTACTAGTACTAGTACTAGTACTAGTACTAGTACTCGTAGTAGTAGTAGCAGTGCAGTACATCTTTTTCCCTTACGCGCTCCCCCTTGCGTCGGCCGGGGTCGGCGGATATATATATATACACACCATTTTTTGTCATATCTACAGTATGTTGTCTTTATCCCCTGGGATTACTTATTCAAAAAAACATCATAAATCACCATAAATCCATTACACATCACTATAGATCTACTACATCTCTAATAAATCACTTAAATCCATGATAAATTTCACTATAGATTCATGATAAAACACCCATTTGTTGGTGAAACAATCACCATTATAGTGAATAATCACCATGGTAGTTATCACCAGTTATAATGTACTTTCACTATAATCCCCAATCACCATGTTTTTCCGCGAAATCAGGACGCCACTGGCACCAAGACGGTGCAGGGCCGTCGGGTGGAGGGCGGCGAGGGCCATGGGCTTCGCAAGGCGCGGTGGCGCGGGGCCATGACGCCATGGAGGTTTTGGGGGTTTTGGGGGAAAATCTGGGAGAATTGGCAATTTATAGAGGATTTAGCCTCTGGTTATTTAACATAGCCATGGAAAATAATGCCTTTTAAGAGGTACATCATGGTACATCATCTATTTCTATGGGTCATGGCTTCCATAGCTATGTTAAATAACCAGAGGGTAGCTGTAAAACAAATGGTGATTTCATGATGAAAGGGAACATCTCCCCATGGAAGTTTATAGCCTGCTGGGAAAAAGAATCGAACTAAATGGGGAAATTCCAGAAAACCATGTTTGATTGATCGAACATCTGATGAAAAAAATGTGTTTTCATGAAGTTTCGAGAACAACATGTGAGGATGTTCAGTGAACATTTGGGATACTGTAGTTTGAAGCAAAGAAGGGGATTCGAAACGAAGAACCAAGGAGATAAGTGCGGAGTTTTGATCAAAGAAGCAGCGAAAAAATAGGATATTTCAACAATAGTATACTTTGAGCAAACAGGTAGTGGGACATATATATATATATATACATACATATTTATCAACAAGATGTTTTTTGAATGGGAAAGAGACAACAATGGGATTTGAAGCAGCAACTAATGGGGGATGGTCACCAACAAATTGAGTGAACATTTCCAAGAAGGGGGGGACAATGACGGCTTAAGTGTTGGCCATCTAAACTTTTGCTGTTGTGGGATTGTATTCAATCTCATGCGGAGTTTGATTATTTTTTGGCAGGGAAAAGCACCAACTTGATCGAGTTCCTCTTCACAATACACATTTGGGAGACCCCGAAACTATGAGTCTTCTTTGCCCATATTCGTGTGGCCAGGAGTTTTTCACCAGCATGTCCCTAGACGCTCAACGGTCGGCGCCTGACCCCTTTGCGAATCTAGACTGCTTGTAGCTACTGTGTCAGCTTGCTTCAAAGATGGATTTTCATAAGGAATCTCGGAGCATCTGGGAACCATTCCCATGTTATCGCTAAAATATCCTAAAATTCAACATCCTAACAGTTGATACAGGAAACCACCAAAATCGCCTGCTCCCTAAGGCGCTGGGGTCGGCTGTCGGTCTCAGAGGGTCTCCTTGAGCCAGGTGCGCGAATCATGATGGACATGGACTTCCTGTCTCCTCAAACTCACAACAACAGCAACACCAGCAACACAAGAAGAACACCAACACCATTTCCATGGCTCGGCCTGAGGCCCAGTGGCATGTTGCGGATCTCGATTGAAGCTGCAGCCTTTAGAGGCGCCAGATATCGTTGCGCCACCATTGTGTATACTGTAATGGTCGCTGGCATCTCTTTTTTTTGTGTGTAATTTTGGTCATTCATACACACGTATATTTGATTCTATTTCTACGTACACATCATATACATAGTGAAAATCATAGTCAAATACACAGACACATATTCATATAGATACCTTCCGAGTCTATATCGCATGTGCATAGGAACATGTATATATATATATACACATGATTATATATGTATACATAATATAATATAAGTATACACAACAATGGTAGCACCATTTCCAATACAAAAAACATCTATGGCCAGCATGTTTCTGCCCACGTTGGCCAGTCACCGGCGTCGGAGCTGCATCAGATGCTGATGGCAGTGAGCAATGGGGATCGGATCAAGTCGCGGTACCCAGAGGTTTTCAACGGTCCATGAAAGTTATAGCCTGGTTGATGGGTGAATTTCTTGGGATTTATACTATTTATAGTATACCTAATTCATTGATATTCATCGGGGATTATGATTATGACAACTAGTAGGGAAACTGTTTTCAACCAACTAGTATAATGAGATGGGAGAGGGCTATTTTTAATGGCTCAATCGATGGATCACAACCAGTTGGGGAATAGAAGAACCACGAAGACTGCGTAGAAAGCTTAGAAAACCAACAAACATATGGTATCATGTATTTTTTTTGGTACTGGGGGTACATGAGCCAACCATATGATGTTTGGGTGGGTTTGAACCTGTTGGGAACACAGCCAAATCCTTTCGTTTAGAATATGTTTTTCTCCGTTGTTGAACGGGAATTTCGGGGTGCAGTCTACCCAATTTTCAAACAAATCCCAACGGAACAAAACCCTGGTGAACATGGACCGAATATGATACAGGTTTTGACCCATCCGCAGTGAAGAAGTGGATAGAAAAATGAACTGATATGTAAATCTGCAATGGCTGGGAGAAGCTATTCTGCCTGAGGTTAACGTTCACCACCGGTCAAGAAAGCGAGCGAATCGTACGGGGCCCTGCCAAGGCAATTTTCCACAAGAATAAGATATATTCCATCCATCCATCCGTCCGTCCGTCCGTCCATCGTAGATGTCTACACAGTTTACACATATAAATATAAACACATATATTTTCTCCATGTACATACCATCTCCAGAATCTTTTGCACAGGACAATCCTCCGTTGCAGATGAGTTTTCCATCACTGGCCCAGGTGACGGGCAATATGCCCATGCCCGGAGGAGGATCTTCCATCATCGTAAACACCCCTTTCGAGGAAAATCTCTCTGAGCTCACCATCAAAAGGCAGGACCGGGCAGTTGGTCGGTAGTTTCAAACACAATATATAGAGTTCATATACTGTAGATAGTGTATATGTAATTGCATACAAAATGCATATGTATGTATGTATCCATCTATCTATTTATTTATCTATCTATCTGTCTATCTATCTATCCTTCTATCTATCTATCTATCTATCCACATATATATATATATATATATACATACAAACACACATGTTGTATGCACATATTACACTATATTCGTGTTATATATACAGAATCACACCCTATGTTTCACATATTTTCATCCCCTCGCGATGAAATCCGTGCCACCAGGTGTGAAGTTCAGAAACCTGCTCAAGCGCTTTTCGAGTTCCACCGCGGCACAGGCGCCACATGGGCCTAGCTGCAACAACAGATGCAGCCACTGCAGCAAGCAACAATTTTAGGCAACCCAATCTTGGATAAACCCCTATCGCAACTTGTTGGTTAACTGCCATATGTGGTTGCTCAAATCGGTTTCCGATTCTTTCTCCATAAAACCATAACAGCTATATGAATCACAACAACAACTTTGAGGGTTAAGTTAAGTTTCCATTTTTACTGATTAAATAATGTAAAATCCCAATGTTTTCTCAGCAGCAGGTCAGCAGTGGTTCTCCTCCCACTCCAACTCGCTGCGCGACCCACAGCGGGGTGAGAACCTGACAGGCGGAACGGTGGAAAATTGCTGCAGATTTAAGGGTTTGCTATGAAAAATGGGCCCTATATCTTGGTTAACTATGGTTTATGGGGAATATAATATGATGTAACTATAGTTGGGTTTATAAACCAACTTATACCTGGGGGGCCTTACCCTTTAGATGATTTACCTAAAACATAGTGTTTTTTCATAGCTATATTAAATAGCTATATTAAATTACTAGAGGGTACCAGATAGTTTGATAGGGTATAATGGGCATCTACCAGCCACAATGGGAATATGAAGGGGTAGATAACTTGGAGCTATTTGGAATGGATTATTTGGATATCAGGCAACCCCAAACGGTTGCGAAATGGCATGTAAATGTTATTCTTTTCAACACATGGAGACACATTGAACTAGACAGCCAATCCAACAATTGAAATGGACTCAAACATGGATGGGTCATATTTTTGTCATTTTGGGGATGTTAGGTGATCCCCCCGACACAAAAGGCTTTCTCGGAAACGCTTCCTGCAATCGATCTCTGGTATCGCGCCAGATCGATATCGTGCCTTCGGGAAGTTGATCGCGCTGGCGCTGGCGAACCATTGCAAGTTGGCTTTTGCGCCGCTTGACAGCGGAGCGGAAGCACTTGAGCTTTGCATCGCGCTTTCAAAATTGGATACCATCGATTTCGATGATTTTTATTGCTTTATCCCCAGTAAAAAAATGGTAATTTGGAGGGTATACCCCATTGTCAGACACAACACTTCTTGACGTTCTTTGCATTTTGCCAGAAGGCAATGCCTCGTTTGCCGTAACCATTCCTGATGTGAGATGCCGCAATGCCGCCCTGGTCATTCCAAGCCTTCCAAGGCTTCCGCTTCTCTTCTTCCAGTTCTTATTGTGACTTGCTGGCAGTTGCTGATGGGAATGGATGGAGAAGGGATGGCTTCACCCATCAACATCTCTCAACATCTCTCAACCTGCATTGGAAGTGCACTGGATCATCGAATTCCAGAACATCGACTGAGCTTACGGATGATATTTACATATTATTTACATATTATTTACATATGATATTTTATACATATTTTCTATTTTAGCTCCACATTACACCCATCATTGGTCAACCTCCCCAGGCACCGTGAGCGCAGAGCGCAGTTGGACGACCTGAAAGGCTTCGACAATGCCCTGCACAGCTCATTGAGGCCGGGGATCCATAGAGAAAGAGTGGCCAACAGCAGCCAATGAAAATAATTATAGTCAACTATAGTACGTGAAAAAAGATGGTATGAACTGTCAACTGAACTGTCAACTGTAGCATTTTCTCTTTGTGGCTCTCTGTTGGGAGTTCTGTTCAGTTTTATCCAACTGCAGACATATCAGCTCCGATCTCCGATGATCTCCGATGGCATCCAACAGCCCCACTGGGCCACTGGCACGCCCAGGAAATGTTTGAAGATGAAAGCAGCGCAATTCAAACAGATCAAGGACAACATCTAGTCCACATGTCTGGTGTTTTATGTTTTGACAAATTCCTGATAGACTTACTAGCTTGCCATGGTTTTGGCTGATTTATATTGATTTATAGCTTCTGCATGATGATGATATCACAGATCCATCCCTTCTTTGACCGAAGTTCAGGAGTTAGAAGGCTTGTCTGCCGACATGAGCCTTGAAGAGTACGTGGCGGATCAATTGAAGGTCCCTGCGGTTGTTGGAGGGATAACTGCAGGTCCTAAAAGGTCCCAAAGATCCGAATGCTCTGTCAGGTTTTATTTTATCTTTACCAATTTCTTACCCAATAACTAACTAACTCACTGACTAACTGGCTGACTAACTAACTCCAATTTACTCCAATTTTTATATCCCATGTTTATTTTGATATCCCACTTTGCGCATCTTTGCGCCACATTTCACGATTCTCCAGCTGAGTCGGGGTCAAGGCCATTCTATGCCCTCAAGCCTTCGAGGAGGCGCATTTGGAAATCCATTGGATTAGGGCTGTGACAGCTATGATGAGCGTTGCACCATAGATTTTGATTACGAAAAATATCAGGGGAGTCCTTCATCTGGGTCCCTTGCATCTTGAACTAGCGTTGCAGCATCAATGCATGTGTTGACAAGATGGCTTGTAACATGATCATTATCATTACTATTGGGACTGTTAGTATTGCTACTATTCTAAGTATTGCTATTGCTATGATTGTGTTGTTATCGTCGCCATCATCATCATCATCATCATCATCATCATCGTTACTTTCACAGTTATACCAGTGTTATTTTTGTTATTACATTTAGTACTATTAGTATTACAATGATGGCAGGTAATTGTCACTGTTATTGCTGTTCTTATCACTACTGATTTAGTTTACAAGACATGTTTCCAACTGTTCTGTTTACCAAAAAAAACTCCAAACATTTCATGATATTTCTATATTACTCTTATTCTAACAGTTCTAACATCAACAGTTGGAGAATCAACAGTTCTAACATCATTTTCGCTTGGAGAATCCCAAATTTCCAACTCTTCAAGCCGTTTTTTTTTCCGCGGCAGGTGCGGTCAGGTTTTTGGAGCCTCATCTCGACCTTGGATGCCTTGGATGATGTGACGCCGCCGCTGGGTCCACACTTTTTGGTCCATCGGAGGCTTTCATGAAAGATATGGGAAAAACATGGGAAAACCATGGAAAAATATGGAAAAATATGGGAAAAGTATGGGAAAACATGGAAAAGTATGGGACATAGCCTGTGACATAGCCCATTAAAATGCTTATTTTATGGGTTTGAAAGGGAACATTGACCTATGAATGGCGGTTTGTTTACCCGAAAATCAAGGGTCTAGAAAAATATGTTCACACATTTTGATATGGCTCGAAGCACATACCACATTTAGTGGACTAACCCAATTCATTGAAATGTGATTTTGTAAGTGCTTCACTCTAGGTTGAAATCCTTTGCCGCTTCTCCTAAAGTGGCTCAGGGGTTTGCTGACAGGGGTTTGCCGAATCAAAATCCTAGCCCAGATATTCGCCCAAAAATCAAGACCATTGAACACCATTGAAAACCGACTTGAATGCCAGCAATTTACTGAATTTGCTTCATTTTGGGCATCACCTATCCAACGTTTGGATATTTCTATTTGGTTGGAGCAATATCTGGACCATTTTCATCCATTTTCATGGAGAGGTTTTCAACACTGTGGGTCCAGTGGCTATGGTTGGTCACCAAGGGCTGAGTTGCGGCAAATTGTTTGTCCTACCACGGTGGTTCGCGAGGAGAGATGATCCCATTTCATCATTTCTTCAATGGATCTTCAATGGCTTGGGGGTTGGAAAAAAACGGGAAACCTGGGAAAACATGGCAAAAATGGGAAAACATGATTGGAAACCAATGATTTTGATATTGCCAAATCTCCTTTTCTTCAATTCGCATGGATTACTGAACTAACTAACGATGTATGTTTTGACGGATTGGGGTTTCAAATTCTGACCCTAGCCGCCTAGCCGCATTTCATCATAGAACTCAGGAAATCCCAAGATGCAACAGCTTCTTAACAGTTCAACAACTCATTTTTCAGATCAAAATTGTATCCCCTTTACCAACTTGTCCAAAGGATCCCTCTTGGCGTTAGAGGACATGGGTCTTCGGCAAATCTTCCGAGTGGTCTTTGAGGACGACATGAGCGAGTGCCAACCTTTGGTTGAGGCGGGATTTACGGAAGGTGTGGCGAATTGTGGCGACAAGCTCTGCGCTTCGTGGTGGTTCAAATATATATATATATATGCTAACCCCCCCCCCGATACCTACTTTTTACTGTTAATTCCTTCCTTTCTTCGTAACTACATCTGTGCTGGCAGCAAGTCATTTGCAAGAACCATGTGGGTTACATGCTTGAGGGAGCGTGGGTTCAAAAGGATGAAGCTATGAAGGCTTTGCACAAAGTGCTGCGTTACAAGTTCTCACTTGGGCAAACTACAGCAAGTACTTTGCACGAATCACGGTCACATGCTTGAGGGAGGGTGGGTTCAAAAGGATGAAGCTATGAAGGCTTTGCACAAAGTGCTGCGTTATAATTTCTCACTCGGGCAAACTACAGCAAGTACTTTGCACGAACCACGTGGTTCACGTGCTTGAGGGAGGGTGGGTTCAAAAGGATGAAGCTATGAAGGCTTTGCACAAAGTGCTGCGTTACAAGTTCTCACTTGTGCAAACTACAGCAAGTACTTTGCACGAATCACGGTCACATGCTTGAGGGAGGGTGGGTTCAAAAGGATGAAGCTATGAAGGCTTTGCACAAAGTGCTGCGTTACAAGTTCTCACTTGTGCAAACTGCAGCAAGTACTTTGCACGAATCACGGTTACATGCTTGAGGGAGGGTGAGTTCAAAAGGATGAAGCTATGAAGGCTTTGCACAAAGTGCTGCGTTACAAGTTCTCACTTGGGCAAACTACAGCAAGTACTTTGCACGAACCACGTGGTTCACGTGCTTGACACTTTAGGAAGGGTGGATTCAAAAGGATGAAGCTGTTGAGGCATAACATTATATTGAGGTAAAGAGTGGCACTTGCCTACGGTTCGACGAAGACCCCTGCAACCGCAGTAGCTCCCACGATATAGCGAAGAGAAGAAGCATCCTTTTTTTGGCCATCGCACGCTCGCACTCGGTAATCTACCCCAGATACCACTGTACAAGTGCGCCTGTGCATGTCCACAGGTCTTTTCCTCGATTCCAGTACTCGTACTGGCCCGATCTCAATTGCATGCAAAGCATGCGAGCCCCGACGCATGCTTTTCTTGGAAATCTTGGGATAAACCCAAGATACAAGATCCAAGATTTCCAGAAAACTTTTCTTGGATGCACTTGCAGAATCTTGGATGCACCCAAGATCTTGGATCTTGGGTTTATCCCAAGATTTCCAAGATTTCCAAGAAAAGTTTTCTGGAAATCTTGGATCTTGGATCTTGGGTGCGTCCAAGATTTCCAGCCTGCATCCAAGAAAAATTTTCTGGGAATCTTGGATCTTGGATCTTGGGTGCATCCAAGATTCTGCAAGTGCATCCAAGAAAAGTTTTCTAGAAATCTTGGATCTTGGATCTTGGGTTTATCCCAAGATTTCCAAGAAAAGCTTTCTGGAAATCTTGGATCTTGGATCTTGGGTAGCAGGAATCGAGACTATGACACTCAAGTCTGAAGTCAAGCCTGAACTCAAGTCTGAACTCATGTCTCAAGAAACTCAATATAAAAAACCTATCAAATTCAACATATGAAAATAAGCAAATTATACTGTAATTTACAGTATAAATCAAGGAAAGGTAGGTACCAGGGGGGGGTACCATATATATATATATATGTACATACACAATATTAAATGTGACATATTTGTCGACTCACCTGCATATGAGTTTCTTTTGCATGTTCACATAGACTCGAAAGACACATGCTGTCAACTGCCACCGGAGGCCTTCCATGCAGTGCTGGACGGCTTGTCCAACGCCGATAAGAAGAAGTTCCTAATGTTCGTCACTGGCATCGAGGCATATGGCTTACTGCCATATAAAGCTGGAGCTTATCCCAGTTATAACCGGGCACTACTGTGGATTTGTATGAATCAAATGAATTCAAATGATGGGGCAATTCCAACTCATCGCTTAAAATCTTGAGTGACAATTGCTGTATCAATGGATTATCATCATTTTTGCCCCAATCTTTGATGACAATTTTTGGGGTATTTGGGTATTCCACATCTTTGGACACCGAACCGCATCGAGCAACAGGTGCCTCCCGAACCGCAAACGGAACAGCTCACAGCATCTTGACGAATCCGCCTGACCTGGGTATACCAACTTCAAAAGCTTTGCTATCCATTTCTATAGGCTATATATATATATATATCTATATATATATATCTATATATATATAGATAAAATATATATATATATATAATTCCAGAATATAGGATAGATATGGATAGATACTTGTAGTATGAGCAAGTGTGTGACGGTAGTCTCGCGGAGACCTTGATATTTTTCATCACTGTGACTGCGTGTTCTCCTGGTGGCTTTGAGTACAGAACTGACGGCTTCGCCTTGCACTGTGACAAGTCACCATGGATATGCTCCACCAATATGGACGCAACAACTTAAGAGACTTTCTTTACATTTAGATCTTTTAGATGCCGATTTTATGCTCCAATTCTGAAGATCTTGGGACTTTGGCGGGCCTAGGTGCAGATGCCCTTTAGCGCCTTCACGAAAGATGAGTGACTTGGGCTGCTGGTGAAATGGTGGATGGATGTAGGGGATTTCCAGATGGGACCAGAAACCTATGGGGAACCTCTAGTGATCCAGAGTTCATCCCAACATGATATCAATGATATCTCTATTATATCCCTATTAGATATACAGAATATATATATATATAATATATTTATCCCTATTGTATACATATATATATATATATATACATATCCCTATTATAGATCTCTACCAAAATTCTCCATCCCCAATGAAATGAAACCACTCGAGGCATGTGGAGATGCTGGGCAAACTGCCGCAGGCGCATACCTGCACCAATACTTTGGAGTTGCCCAACTACTACGAATCCTTGCAGGAGACCGCTATGCCGCCAGTTGCCAGTTGCCACCGGTTGTCCAGTTTGGGCCAGTGCCAAGCCAGCCATGAAAAACCCAACTGGATACCCCTGGTGGATTGGTTATACATAAAAGATATGGATCGGTCAATCTATATGTAGGATATGATAGGATATTTTTTTTTGGATTATATAGGGACTTCGAGTAGCTAGTTTATTGGGGATTGTGATCATCCATCATATGTTTTGATGGCTCAAGTCTGACTTTCATCCAAACATTTGAAGCTCTACGGCTTGGATTATCTTGCAAAACATCCCTATATCATTGGATTATATTGGATTCATATGTGGTTGATATATTGTTATATAATGTTGCATTTGCCCGATACATGATTGATACATGGCTATACTCCAATTATGTATATAGATGGAACACTCCAATTTTACAAATGCCAAATACGGGTGGATAAGGGTAGGGGTTCTTCGTGTGTCAACCAACCACTTGGTCCAATCATTTTGACCCAAGCACAAATGGAGATGGTCATGAGTGATTCTAGTTGTAGAAAAAATCATCTTCGAACTCGGGATTTGTTTTCGATATTCTTGTTCCATCTTGTTCCCATGTCATGGGGGTTCGAGGACTCACATCACCATGTCATGTTCGTTTTTAGTACTCTTGAGTATAGCAGGAGTGTGAAATACGGTGTTTTTTGAAGGGTGCCGTCCATTTTTGGACTCCAAAATGGCCAGGAGTCTGGGCGCTATGAGCCTCAAGAGGCCCGCTGAAGTGGATTGAATCTTCGATGGAAATCAAGTTCCACCTGGAGACATATGTAGATATAAAACTGTCACATGCCTCAAATGTGCACAGTTTACGAACATGTGATTTCGCATTGCACAGTTCGTATTTTGTTGAGACAAGGCAGAATTGTTGGGAAACTGCCAGGGCAAGGCCAGCCGTGCGCTGATGACTGAGCTGAAGAACTTGATGAAGGACGGATGGCAGGATCTTCTGGGATGATTTTCCCCTTTTTTTGTGGCTTTTGGTACAAACGCCCAAAACGGAAAGATGGTCAGAGTTGAGGCTGGTTTATAATGTTTATATATATATATGTTTATAGTTTTGAGTTACCACATGAACGGCATATTTTTTCAATCTTGGCCTGAACAACACCTGCAGAGGGTAATGATTTCCATTCCCTTGTCAACCATGAATCCAAGAATTCCAGGGATTCTCTCATTGGGAGACAATTCATTGGGGTCATGGATTCGATCCCCAGGAAAGGTTGCATACTGCCATCAACGAGACAGAGAGTGCGGAATCCCAGCCTGCTCTTTCGAAAACATGGCTGGGAGGCTGGGACGCCTGCCACATGCTGAGATGGAAGACTATTCTCACAGGGACTCTGTTAATTTGGGGGTGAATCATGTGTTGCTGCACTGTCTTCATTGGTGAATTAGCGCCCAAATCGCAAACGCTTGGCATGCTCAGGTTACGAGTTGGACGCCACTGAGGCTCGGTAGTTGGAGTTAAAGGCAGTGAATTTTCAGGTTTGAAAACATATATTGCATTCGATTGTTGGGCGAACACATTCAATAACATTCAAGTTGCACATGCTTGAGATACTTGTATCATGGGATAGCACCAGTATGGAATAAGTGGTAACTGATCAGATGTGAATGCTCTCAAAGACATTTGGGTATGAGTCAAAACTGGTACCCCATAGGGAATTGTTTACAACACAAATGACAAGTCCATTTGTGATTTCACCACGGTCCTTTTGGTTCGTTTACCCATACCTCATCTATTTCTGGAACTATTTCTGGAACTACGTCGATACATTGCAGTTGTTTAACATCTTTGGAGGTTGAATCATGGCCTCAATGGCTGGGTTACTGTATCAGGGGTCCCCCAAAGAATGAGATTTTCAAAAAAGTAAATGGTATCATCCATTACCAAATCATTACCATCCCCCAAAGATCAAGTGAGGCTTTTTCTTTCCAGGGTTGATGATCTAATGTATGTATATATATAATATTATATATACATATATATATATATAATTATATATATATACATATTATACATATATATATATACAATTATATACATAGTATACAGATAGTAACACACGTAAAGCTGATACATGCGGAGATAATCCCATCAGTTTGGATACATCGAATTTGGGGATTCTCTCCAGTGTCGACCTCCGAAACTCCACAGGATCGCTGCAGTGTGGTGCCGCCCGCACCAGTGGCGCCGTGGGCGTGGGGGCCTCCCAGGGCAGGGAGTGATGTCAATGTCTCGTTGTGACACCCAACTTAGACAGAACAGTTTATGATAAATTTTCTACAAATATCTACAAATATATATATATATGTACATAGACATATTTCAAGGGTTTTTCAAAAATTACTGGTTCACTAATATTTAAGATGAATCTGTTTTTTTCTTTTGGGTATCCGATTTCTATGGGCACCCTGGAGTCAAGGCCCAGCCTACCACCTGCACTGGACTTGTCGAAGGCGCCCCGGCGACGACCTGGGTGATTTAGGGGTACCCCCATGGATTGGTTTAAGGGAAAATCTACAGGAAAACCCCATATTTAATGGGAAAATCTATGGTTTCCTGTAAATTTTCCCTTAAACCAATCCAATCATATATACAGAATTTGTAAAGATGAAACTGTACATATATATATAGATATGTGTACATATGTATATCAGATATAACAATGATAAGATATACATATAGATATAGTACAGGATATGTATATAATTGTACACATATATAGATATTGAGAATGGGGATTGTCAACTCTGGGTTGGGAGCTTGAACCTGAATGTGACAATGCTGTGATTTACATGTTTGTCCGTGAAAACTAAAATGGAACTCCCGACAATGGAATTCTTGAACGTGATTTTCCCTTGGGACATGGCTAATTTTTTTGGGATTTTGTCTCAGTTTTTAGGGCTGGAAATGGCTTTGTCATGCTTTGTCCACTTATTTTTAGGTGCTCCAACATACTATATCCCAAAAACATTGGGAAGGATGATGCACCATCAGATTTGGAGGAATGATGGATGATTGGTGGATAACTTGGTCGTTGGGGTGCACCAAAACTGGATTCAAAAACCCTGACCAACATCCCAAAATTAATAAGCGGCCAGAATTTTTGACCCATTAACTATGGATTGTAGTGCATAAACTAAACCTTAGCTGCTCTTTATCAAGGTACAGCTATCTTTGGCCATTCGCGATTTTTCAATCACATGGGGTCATTGCAATTTCGCCCATCATCATTGCCCATTTCGGGAATCTTGGAGAATCTGGAAGCCCATCCCATGCTGTGTGGTTTTTCTGTGCCAGGGAGTCAGTCAAGACACGGAAAGCAGCCCAAGCGTTGCCACCCGCTTGAGGGTCAAGGCCCGGCGGGCCTGGCGGCTGGACCACCATTTCCCCTGCTGTCAGAGAATGTTAGTAAAGCAATAGGACAATAGGATCCACCAATTTACATAATTTTACCATAAATGGCTGGTATAAACATGTATAAATCTGTATAAATCTGTATAAACCATCAACAAAAAAGGGGTGGAAAAACATGAAATTGCTTTACTAACATTACTTGGAGAAACAAATCAGCAAGACCAAGACCTTTTTATTAAAGGAAACATCGAAAACAGCTGCACCCATCTGGCATTTTGACAACCAAGCAGCAGGATTCCGACAAGGCCGCCTCCAGTGATACGGATAGCGACTTGGCCATTTTTGGACGGAGAATGGCGGAAAATGAACCCTGGAATCATTCGAATCCGTAGAGTTTGGTAAGTTTTGGCTGAATTTCAAGTTTGTTATCCCAGGTTGGTCCATTTTTCGACAATTTTTGATCCAAACCTTTGCTGAGTAAGGCACAACCTTTCGTGGAACGCTTCGTTGACCGTTGGTGTGTGTGTGTGTTGAGTACAAACTTGGCCCATTCTGATTCTCCCAACCTTAATCAAGCAGTAAAGCTTGAAGTTAATGGTTGAAGAATACAGTTGGAACAATGCCAGTCTACTTAGTCTATCTTAGTCTACTTCTAGGGTTTCAAATTTCAAGCTGTTTTGAAACGGTTGAGACAGCTCTGATCAAAGGTGATCTGGGAATATCTGGGATGCTCGACCTAGGTTATCCTCCACAGCTCAGTTCCCGCAGTATCCAATCCTTGCGCAGTGATGCACGAACCTCCTTGGAGGTGTCGCGGGGTATGCAGACAGTGACCTCCTTCCTGTGGTTTCTTCTGGACCAATGGACTTGGAATTTTGTTGATCTCTGGTTCCTATGGTCCCAGGGATTTTCGACCCATGGTCAGGATCTGCCACAAAACAAGCGCTTGGATGTGGACTCTCTTCTGGCATCTCTGGAAGAGGAAGCAGATACTCGTCATGCACCCTCACCAGAACGAAGGCTGCCTGGGTGATCTGGGTGGAGGGACCATTGGGCACCAACGTTTAAAGCAAAGAATCCTGTTAAAAGCAGTTGAAAGGGACATAATTTGCTCACTTTTTGACACTTTTAGTAGAACTTTTCAACTTCTGGTACTTCTGGGACTTCGTGACGATTGATATCCATTTGAGACACGAACACTGACACTGATCGCTGGTGCTTGATGTGATCATCCAGGTGATTTAGATGGCAGACATGCCCTTTCAGTGATTTTTGGTGATCAGATTTCGTTCCAGGGAACAGTTTTTTGGAAACCCTCTTCTTGGATGGATCATCCTTTAGACCAATCCTTTAAACCAATCCATTGATGTTCCTCATCCGTTGGTTCCCCAGCCTCCAGTAACTTCATGGAATCAGATGGAATATATGGAATCAGTATGAATTCTTCATGGCTAACATAGCCCCTTTAACTAGTTAAATCATGTTAAAACATGTTAAATAGTTGTTTTTTAGAGGTTTTATCCTGTTTTATACTGTTTTATAATGTTTTATAATGCTTTACTGCTGACCATTCGAAGAAATATCCCACTAACCATTGCAGCGGTCAGCCTCACAGGCCGAAGACGCAGGATGTGGACAGTCTGCTGGAAGATTTGGACCTGGAACTCAGATCCGGTGACAACTCCTGGACACATCGGGAACGCTTAGAACGCTTAAAGAAATGCAACATATTGTGATCCATATAATGTCTACGTATATATATATATATATTAATGATATTAATGTAGATCTATATAGATCTATAATCTATATACAATTTTAATACATGTATACATTTTTAGAGAGGCGTTGACCTTTTTATTTTGGCATTTGTGTCGTTTGGCTTTTGGGCCAGGAACGATTTGCAGAGTCTCAGGAACTAGTTGTTTTAAAAACGCAATGTATTGAGGGGAAAATGATGAGAAGTTGAAAAAGGCTAACCAAAGGGAAAACAGCAACACACCACTTCAATGTTATTAAATGATCCCATATCCTGACCTATTTTTTTAAAGTTATTTGTACAGACACATTATATCAGTCGTCAAGACTGTACCAAGAGCCAAGGATGCGGCTTTGATGACATGAGTCCAGAGCTCGGAGAAGATTCTGCGACAGTGATGGAGAAATTTCATGATTGAAATCGATTTTGACAGGAGATATTCATAGAATTTCATGGATATTCCAAGGGTTTTTTTTGGGTGCTGGCCTCAAGATGTTGAGTTGATGGCTGGGTATGGCTGGGTTGGGAAACGGCTGAGTTTCTGTCCTGAAGCACCGTCACCTGAGTCACCTGAGTCACCTGAGTTGAGTCAGCCAAGGCGATGAAGTGACAACGCAGAGTGTAGATACCGCACCATGGATATCAACCAGGAAGACGGTCAAAATCTATCAAAATCTGCCAAATGTCACCTTTGAGTGATCCAAAACATTCCAAAACCATGCCAGTGCCAAAACACCAAAGGATCAGCCTCTCTTCGCCTTGCGTGAAATCTGAAGTGAAAGGCCAGAGGTCTTTCTGGGTCAGCGTGGGTCCTAGTAGTTCTGCATGAGCCAAACCAATTGCTGCAGAGGTCAGCAGGGTTGGTGTTTACCCTAGCAACAGATAGCAACAGGAGGGCTGGCTGCCTGAAACCCATGTTTCATTTGGCCAGAATTGGGGCAGACCTTGAAAACAGAGTTGTACTTAGACCACAGACAGACGTGTGTAGGTTGTAAAATCAGATAACTGGGGAGATGATTTGTCATGTCCCATATACCGAGGATTTTCCTGCCACTTTGAAGGAACAAAGTAGTATTGCATCATTTTGTCTTGCGAAAGATACGCTTTTGAAGCACCTGTTGCCTTCAGCGCCGGTCTCCGTTCCAAGAACGGCAGACACAATCCGTTCGAATGCTCAAAAAGGGGCCCTGCGCGAGTGGTTCCTGACATGGGCCAAGGGACTCCGAAAATCTTTGCAACATCCAGCGATGTCGGATATCAGGATTTTCTATGGTATAGGTAGACTGAAAGGAAAATGACCATACCGTAGATATGTCCATCTTTTTTGGCATAGTGGCCATATCCGCCATATCCCATTGTTGCTTCCTGGAATTTCTCCATCTGTTGGTGAAATACACACATATCCCCAACTTTCCGGGTTTATACCACATCCGAACCCAGCCATTGGTTAACTCCTCACAACAATTGATCTCCAATTTATCTAATATAAATCCTTGATTATACAGCCTTACATATAGAGAGATCACATATAATCACACACACACATGTATGTATATGCACATTTCTAAAGATGAATATAGACATATACATACATATACATATACATATATACAGATACATACATATAGATAAATAAATAAATAGATAAATAAATAGATAGATAAATAGATAGCTAACTATGTATCTAACCAACTAACTAACTACATAAATAAATCAATAAACACACAATAACATATATATATATATATATATGGTGATCGATCTAAAGGTCCTTGTAAGGAGTTTTAATTGCGAAAGCCGTGCATGTTATGTTGGAAACCATCGCGAAAGTTTTTTTTACGAGTTCGCGAAAGTAAAATTTTATTTCGCGAAAGTTTCGCGAAAGTTGGGTATTATAATCATTATATGTAAAGGGCTGCCACCCACTGCCGCCCGGGGTCCGGCAGGAGAAGGGCACCAGAGAATGCGAGTAGCAGTAGCCAAGTTTCCAAAAGTGAGGCTTTGCGAGAGCCAAACACCAAGGCCCCTGGTCTTTGCTTTTCCTTCAGTGCGCCCCCTGCTGATGGCCGGGGTCTGTGAATAGGGATATTTTCGCGAAAGTTCCGCGAAAGTTATGCGAAAGAGCGGGCGAAAGTCAAAGTGCATGTTGAAGGGGGTGGGCCAGTAAACTTTGCAAAAAGAATATGTCCTGAGAAGGGACTCCGTGATGCTAGCTGCATGTTTAAAAGGCTACCAAGAAGTGATCCGTGATTCTCTGGCGTAATTTGGCAGGTGGTGAACGAATCTTCATAAGAGGTGTTGTTGGCCAACATGGGCCCGCGAAAGATAAACATGGAGTTCGCGAAAGTTTTGCGAAAGTAAAATTTTTATTTGCGAAGAATGGCCGTTCCGGGATAAAGGAATTTTGATCAACAACCATATATATATATATATATGTACACACATATTATAGGCACAAACCACCCACTTTTTTCCAGGTGCGCGATGCCGCGGCCAAGAGTGCCTCAGCCCTTCTGAGCGCCGCGGCGCCGGAGCTGCCCGGGGAGCACAGATGAGCTGTTGAAGTGGAGATTTCACTGAAGAAAGTGGGGAAAATATGGAGATTTCCATAGATATACTGGGATATCATGGATATGGGATATATGGGATATATTGGGATATACTGGGATTCATATGGGATTTTTCATAAATATATGGGATATATTGGGATTTATGGACAGAATATGAAAAATATGGGATTTCATGATTAAAACACATGGGATTTAAATGTGGATATATATATATATATATATATGGGATAGAATGGTAAGCCCAGTTCCAAAGATTCGGATGGATTATCATCATTTTCCTGACTAATTGGCAATTCTGGGGGAATGCTCCATTTTCGGACAAAGCCTTTTCCTGGACAATTGGTTGAACATTTAGGTTTTAGTCAAAAGAACTGGGGAACATGGAGATTGGATAAGCGCCTAGCAAAACAAACCATGCAATGGTTTTCTTTTGGAGACACCTTTAAACAGACCAGCATATGACCAGAACAAGTAATAGTTAATTCTTATTACCGAAGAGTTAGGAATGGAACCAATGCATTTATTGATAGTGGGTAATGCTTGCCATCCTCACTGGGACATATATGTATACATAATTCAGTCATAGTGGAGATTTTGCATGATTTGTTTGCATGTTTTTTTTTGCGAAATACAAGTAGGTTGTACCAGAAAAGAACATGACCAGCAAAAAATTGATATGGGATCCTCGGAAGCGCGTGACGTCTCCGAATGGTGGGCCAATGACAGTAGGCCTCGACGCCGGGACGACGGCCAGCAACTCTTAAGGTGGAGCACACCGTGACCCGCCACCTCATGGTCAATTCATGGTCAATTGCCTGGCTCAGGTTTTGGTTTCAACTTTGTTCCCATCCTTGTGGCTTCACAATTCTACAGGAAGCTGCGGTCAGCTTCGGCCAGCTTCTTTTTGAAATAGGCTCTTCAATGTCTTGAAAAAGATGGGATTGATTGAAGGTCAGAGGGTAACCGGTGGTTGGCTTGATGGAATCTCTCCGTTGGCAGTTGCCAATTTGGGGACCTCCATTGTCAAACTTCAATCCTGCACCACCAGGGGCAATGAACTATTCTTCTAAGATATTCTAAGGGACGTCCAATGATGGACACGACTACTTGTCACTTGTACATAAAATGAATGGGAATACGACTGTAGATGATTTGCAACTGGGCTAAGTGAAATGGGATAAGAATCCACTTACCTCCAAAAATGATCACCTCCATTGTTAGTGCAATCATCAACCAGCCATATAAATTGATGGTTTCAATTCCTCTGAGGTTCATTGATGGCGAGCCCAGTGCAGCAGTTGAAGGATCCAGTGGATGTTCCCAACAGCCGTCCCAAAGCTCCAACGACTTTGTGACGCGGCCGACCGGGTTGGTCCGGTGTCATCCAGTGTGGCTTAAGAGAATCCCTTAATTGGGCCTTAATGATGTTTCCATCAAGATGAAAGCTTCCATTTTTTGGGGGGATTTTTTTTGGGGATTTTCATGAATTTTCATGAACGCCACGCTTGATTACAGGTAAATCACATCACTCTCGTAAAATTATATAAAATCAACAACCAAGGAACCCACTGGTTAGATGATCTATGCGACTATAGGCCGCAGCAACAGGTGGTGTATCCGGAAGAAGTGAGGATATAACCCACCTGTGGCGTTGTTTGATGGTCATCGCATTCCCTCACATCGTGGGGTAAACCAGAACGGACCGAAGAGATTCAGATGGAGTTCGGGGGCAGGAAATGACACCATAGAACTCATGTTTGACTTTCACCGGGAACTTTAGGTAACTTCCTTGGTGGAATCGATTTTAGGGACTGTCCCGAGTTTCGGGGCAATGGATTTTGGTGAAGGAACTTTTCGGGGGAATCGGGGAACATTCGAAGACTTGGCAAGAGGGCTTTACATGAAGGGGCCAGTCTTCATTGACTTCTTCTGTTCATTGCATGTCTTTTCTTATTGATCGACTTGGGATAGTGTTGATTTTTCATATCCACTGAGGCAAGGCGCCTCATTCGACAGTTTGCTCGTGGGAAGTCCTTCCGCAACCGGATGTTGTACATCCGCAACTTGGATCAACTTGGTACGGTGAGGCTGCGGATACTGATTATTAATAGACTACTGACTACTGGTTGATTTGAGTTGGGGGTTGAGTGATGATTCCAGTTGGAATTGCAAGTGGGGCCGATGTTCATCAAATAAGGGTCTATGCACTCCTTGCACAACCTTGATGCATTGGTCATTTTAGGTAGTTGGCTCTAACAGCAGCCCTTCAGATGAAAGTTTTCTATCGGCAGGGAAGCCCATTGCTGATGCCAGCCATTCCCCAAAGTGACCCGAGTCGCAAGGTATGTGCGACTCAATCATCCGAGAAGCGCCTCTGCACGTCTTTACGGCTCGGGGGCTCAAACATGATACCGGGAGGATGGCCAGCCCTTTAGTATGGCATAGTATGGCCATGACTGGGGTGAAGCATTCCACTGGAAAACAAGTGAATCAAATGACTGCCATTATTGATCATTCTTGTCATTGGCAGATATTGGCAGTAGGTTTTGTACTGTTCCATATTGTTCTCCAGAAGCTGGAAGGACACCAAGTTCGAATCCCAAAGTTTCCGGTCTAGTTTTCCTGATGCAACTTGCTTCAAAATTCATTTGCCGAAAATGGCAGAAATTGGATGAAAGAGAACCAAATTTGATCATCAATCTGCAGAGTTCTGGCCACGACTCAGAGCTACTTTCCAGACTGCGCCAGGAATTTTTCATGCGACCTTTACTATGGTTGACCTTGGACCCGGTGAAGAATGTGCGGCTCTGTTGGGTTGGGGCCTCAATTGCGGGAAGATTTTCACAGGAATCCTCGGAATCCCTGCTGTTCCCCCACCTTTGCTGGGAGGCCACAGTGATTCTACCACACCTGCGAAAGGTGGGGCGATTGGGTTTGGCAGCTCAGGCAGTATCGAGTTGTTCTCCATATTTTCAGTTTTATTTTTGGGCCTAGTTCCACTCTTAAGATCCACTTCTAAGATTATTTTTGTTAATAGCTATAGACTATAGATATCTCCATGATATCCAGCGTTCCGTGTCGCTGAGGTCAACAACGGATGGTTCTGGCAGCGGCGGTGCGGCTGCGAAGCACGCTGGATCGCGAGGCCGCGCTGGATCCCACTGGGACGTTGGACCATAAATGGGTGATTTTCCAGCCACGTTACCGGTAGAAATGAGTGTCCTGAACCATAATTATCCATAGTTCAACTTGGAAATCTTCGAAGCCCAAGACTGAGAGTTTTGGTAGGCTTACGGCAATCACCATATGATATATATATATATATATATATGTATATACACATATCACATCTCTTTTGCATGATTTTCCCCTGCCAGGTGCACCGGGTGTTGGAGGAAGCCAAATTGCCAGATGTCTCTGAAGCAGAGCCACAACCTCAGAAGGGGATACCGACCCGCTCGATGGGATTTTTCTGGGATCGAGGCTAAGTGGATAAGAAGCATGCGGAGAAACTGTTCAAGTTTTCTTTTCTTGGAATTGAGTTGTAATTCAATGATATTTAACGTAATAGAAGGTAATTCTACGGGATTGTCAGGATTTCAACCAGAAGTATCTAATTAATCTACGCCGCCCGCAGAAAACATGGCACAACATGATTTTCCGGCAAGAATGCGCTCGAGAGCAGGTAGTATTATGGCACAATTCGAAAGTCCGTGCCATGTGTTTGGGAGTGGAGCAATTATCGCAATATGTCATATATTGTAATTATTACTTACTTCAACCACAATTTTTCTCAGTTGTTAGTGGCTTACAGTTGAGCTGAGGATAGCAGAACTTCCAGATCCAGAGGCTGAGATTGGGGTAACTGCGGTCCCAACTGCAGCCCCAAGGATAGTGGGATGATTTTTGGGCCATAAAATATAGTTGGAAAACCGGAAAACCCATCAATATGGGATAATATATGTGAATATCATGGTGAATATCATGGGAATGATATTAGGTATGATGTTCTTTTTCTTATGAATAATATACCATATCATACCCAGAAAATATTCACATATACCCATGATAGTTGGAAAACCCATCAATAACTTGGGGATCCCATGGGATGGTGTTTCGAGACAGTGCTGCCAGACTGACCTCGATGATTCCGACGGCGGCAGAGCACTCAGACACTGCACCGAAGCGGTAAAAAAGAGAGATTGGGGAGAGAGAATCAGAAGAAGACAGGGCAACATCAAATATAAGTTTACTTATATATATATATATATGATTATATATATATATATGTATATATCACGTCCGTAGAAATTCAACATATCAACATCCCAATTATAATTATCATACATCCACATATCCATAGATGGGCAAAAATCCGATCAACATAATATATCCATTCGTTCCACTTGGTTTTCCTAGTGCCACCAAGGTGACATGACTGGCCAAGAAGGTGAAACTGGAAGCAGCAACTCGACCTCACCGGTTTCTAAACCCGGCTTCTAAACCCGGCTTCCAACTAGAGTGGACTAGGGTGCTCCTAGTTCTCTAGTTCTCAGGAAGTAAAACCATGTTTTACCCTCACTAAGAAAGCCATGGAAAATCACCATAATATTTGTTTTTCGGTAAATCATCTATTCAAACTATAGCCATGGTTTCCACAGCAAACTGTTTACTGGAGGGCAACATCTACAAACCACAAAAAAATGACTTCAGTTCCAAGGGAGAGACTGCACCAGTTGCACCAGTTGCACCAGCCATCGAGGTTCTGAGTGCGGCAACGTCCAGGACGGGAAGGGAAAGACCTGTTTGTTCTTTTGTGGTTCCAATAATTTCAAGTGATTTACTGTTTTTTTTTAGTGATATTGTATGATATTGTCCTTTGGTAATTTAACAGTTTGCCTTGGAAGTCATGGCCTATTTATAGATGATTTACCTGTAACACATGGTGACTTTTCCATAGTCATGTTAAATTGCCGGAGAGTAGATCTTCTCCATTCAACTTTTCCGATTGCGACTATTGCAATTGTTAAACTAGATACATTAGATCCAATCCATTCATATTTTTGATGGCTGGTATTGTCCCACATCTGAATGCTGTTTCAAACAGTGACGTGCCCCTAGAATCCACTGCTTAAACATCCGACGAACCAACGGACCTTTTGCGCCAGCGAAGGTGAGAGAAGCCTCGGACCAGAACGAACTCCTTAAGGCCCCCGAACTGTTTTTTTTGGGTCAAACTTCAGATTTGGTTCAAATATCATGAAATACTGGTCGATCCCCCCAAAAAAGGTGACAGTTACAATCTGCCGGAAGGATTCACATGATTGATAGTCTTGTTCTTCAGCCAAGTTGCATGGGGCTGAACATGAAAGGCTTGCAAACCGGGAGCTTGACACGGTAACGCGAACTCATTGCAGGTACTATTGTATGTGTTGTTTCTCTGATATGTGTTTTGCAAGCCGACCCAACAGGTTCGCGATGCACACTATAATTCCAAGAGGTTGCAAGTATGGATGTAGGTACATGTCAATTATATTTGGAATATCAATGGACGCTTCTCGAAAGTAGATGCGTGAATTTTAAGAAGAGCATCGGGAAGAAAAGGGAAGAACATAGGGGAGAAAATAGGCAAGGGGAGTACATAGGGAAGAAAACAATGAAGAAATTTCGGGAGAACATAGGGAAATCGGTGAGAAAATCGGGAAGAAATTCAGGAAGGAAGGCTAAGCAAGGAACATGGAGCGAGGACTGTCGATGTTTGGAATTGTCGGGAATGGATGGCAGGATGAGGATCCTCGATGTACTGGGATTCAAAAAGGAATCATTTTTGTAGTCTACGTTCATTTCCATCAAGCATATGTAGTTCAAGACCAACTTGTGATTGGAATAGGAAACCAGGTATGTCTAGATTTATGTATGATCGACCAGTACAGTACGTGTTTTTTTTTTTTTTTTTATATTCATTTTTATACCCATCCAGAAAGAATTAGTTACATGTCCGCAAAAGGTTACAACCATCTAGATATGGGTATGGATCAATACCTATAGATACATTTTTAGTGGGATGAACATCCATTTACCAGCTATTTTGATGTTCACCAGGGGTACACGGTTTTGACCCATCCCCATATCCATTTATATACACATCCATTTATAATACCATCTTTCCACAAGGCAATGGGGGAATTTTGGTCGAACCCTTTGGGATGGTTAGTAACATTTTTTCCATGAATCAATCTATACAATTCTATACGTTGGAAAGAAAACTATACATATTGCTAGTTAAATATTCATTACATATGTATACATATATGATAAACACCGATAATATATATATATGACATAATATATATATATATGACATGATAGATAAATAACTATATATATATATATATATGTATATATATATACACAAAATGATCAAAGAACAGGATTTCTATAAAATGCCCCTTTCAGTCCCTTGGGACGCTCCACAGGCACCGGAAGATGACGTGGAGTCAGATGCTGATCTTTGGGATGGGATTATCATGGGATCCAGATCTGTTCGTGAAGAATATCTAGGTGAAAGGAAAGATGATAATACTGAATATCTATGAATATCAGATATCATGGCTTAATAATATCATATCATGGTATATTCTGGCTTATTATCTGATATATATATATATATCTGATATCATGGCTTATTATGACGCATATTTAACATTATATGGATAATAAGCCATGCTTGGTGATTCCGGATTCTGGCGAATCGCCTCTGAGGTCCTCGAGTCAGGTGGGGAGTTTCTGCCGCTCGTTTTTAAGCCATGTGTTTTTAGGGGAAGATGATGATAAAAACGATCAACTTTTGGAGCTTTATAAAACCCCTAAAAATTCAGACAAGCCCAGAAAAATGGACATATACCACATTTTATGTAGTGATATGTAGGGTAGGGATTTTTGTGGATACATGTGCACGTAAAAAGCTGTGATTCACTGGTCGTTCTGAACTTGAAGATGAATCCACGGCACAATTTGTAGCCGAGAATTTCAACAAGGAGAACATCACTAACACTTTGACTGTCCAGTGAGGATACAATGCAGCCAGCTATTGGGGGGATGTATATACGAATACACACACACACACACACTCACATAATCTCACATATGTATATATATATATATGTATACATACATATATGCATACATGTATTTTGTAGAAACACAAGAACAAACATCTTTCTCAAAGAAATAAATCATAAACGCACCTATCCGAACCGCAGCTTCTTAGCCATGCCCAAGCGTGTCGCTACAGCCGCTGCGGATATTCCCGGTGCAAAGGCGCCAAAGTGCGCCGATTCTTCGGCGACTTCGAGCGATGCGATGGGAAGCGCCAAGAAACGATTGGAGGAGCTGGCAAAGAAAGCTGGGCTGCGGGATACACAGGAAATCAGATCTGTAGTGCCTTGCTTATCTTTCTTCGGATGTAGCGGAGATGGTAACAATCGCTGAGAGGAGAATGTCTATGGATTTAATGGTCATCCTCTACAAATGGAAGTCTTTTGCTGGGAAAATCATCCTCAACTCGGTGGGTTCCCCAGCCATGTCTGAACAGCTATTGAGAGTTTAGCTGATCCTGTTCAACATGTTTCCCTTGTGTGTTCAGTGGAATCATCACATGTCAGCCATTTGTCCGATTAGCCACATGTCACATTATCCTGCCAGGTTCTTCAACTCTTCGCCGTCCGCAGGGCGGGACATCTCGAGCCACGGACAAAAGCGTCTGTCTGCACCATTTGCCGGTGCCATTGCCCCTTTCACCATTTGCTGGTGACTTTAGAGTGTTTCCAGTTTCTTGCTACCAAGTTCATGGTAGCGGAGCTACCGACCTGGTAGCTTGTCCGCGCCATGGCATCGCAGAGCACTGGATTTCATGACGTTCCTACTTGGTCTGGCGACCCTGTGGAGTTCGACACATTTGCCATAGCATGTCGTTGGTATGAGAAAGCACTGAAGGAATCTGAACGCAAACAAGCAGCATCACGAGTGTGGGCCAAGTTGACCGGACCAGCCAAAGCAGTTGTCCGAAACCTCAACCCTGACGAGTTCGAGCACAATGATGGCCTGACCCGACTTGTTCAGGTGCTGAGAAGTTCACCCCTTCAGCAGTTGCCAGTTCCAGATCTTTTCAAGCGTTTGGATGTTTGGCATTACCTTCGACGTCAATCTGGCGAATCAATTCCGCAGTTGCTGGTTAGAGAGGAAGACATGTTTGTTCAGTTGCAATCTGCTTTGAAGAGGGCACGGGAAGATCGTGCCACTAGTTCAGCATCCAATCCACTGCATTCGAGACAGACTCCTTCGACACCATCCCATAGTCCTACAACAGCACAGGTTCCAACTGGATCAGGTGCGGCTTCTCCGACATCAGGGATTCCAGTGAATGCTCCACCACGTGAGGCCAGACGCGATGCGTCAACACCGCAGGTCCCCGTGGATGAAGGGTCTGGGTTTTCAGTCAGTGATTTTTTTGAAGATGAATTGCGAGGTTACAGGTTGTTGAAGGCATCTGGGTTATCGTCGCAAGAACGTCAAAATGTTCTTACACAGACTGGAAATAGCACAAGCTTTACTCAGATTCGAAGAGCGTTGAGAACTTTGTATGCTGAAGAAGGTGCTGACCGACAAGCACCACAGGGATGGAAGCGCAATCCACGAGTTTGGTGGAATGAAGCTGATGAGTGTTGGGATGGAGCTGATGATGACATGGCGTGGGAGGCTTACGATCCAGGGTATCAACCATGGTCCAATTGGTATGTTGATGATGAGTCTTGGGACTATGACAACTACTGGCAATATGAAGATGACCAATGGGAATCATGGGATGATGAAGTTGCACCGCTGGACAATCCCACGGATCCTGATGAGGTGCAGCTTCAAGAGGCATTTGCACTGGCCTCTGAGGCCAATAAGACTTTGGCACAGGCCAGAGATGCTGTCAAGCGCACTCGACAAGCTCGTGGCTACTTTGCACCAGAGAGCATGTCGGGCAAGGGCAAATCGCCTTCAAGCTCACCGAAGGGAAGCGGCTCGTTTCAAGGCAAGGGATTCTCTCAAAAGGGTTCCAAGTCCAACCAAAAGGGGAAATCTCCTTCACCATGTTTGAAATGTGGAAGAACCGGCCATTGGGCCGCACAATGTCCTGACCGTTTTGCTGACAATAGAGGTAGGGTGTTTTCCAAGGGATTTGCCAAAGGAAAGTTTGGGAAGTCAAAATCAAAGGGTTTTGTTCAGTACCATGACCTGTGCTCCTGGCAATCCCCGGCCGACATTTTGGTGGCCAACGTTGACCGCGGCAACCGCGTCATCATTGACTCTGGTGCGTCGGAAAATGCGGTCGGCATCGGCTCCTTGGAGAATTTGATCACTGAGTATGGCATTGAGTATAAGGTTGAGACCAGTGATCGCCCTGTTTTTCGTTTTGGAAATGGTCATCAGTTGCAAGCTTTGAGCAGAGCAGATCTTTTGAACACCTCCCTGGGCAACCTCAGTTTCTATGTTTTGGGTGATGATGCACATGATACTCCACCTCTCATGGGAGGCAAGACCTTGCGGCAGCTCGGGGCAATGTTGTCCTACCAAAACGACCTCTTCATTTACCAGCGTCAGGACCCTCAGATGTCAAGTGACCAGTGGGTGGCCGTCAAGATGCATTCACATCCTTCACATCATGTTTCCATAGATGTCATGGAGCCGGCAGTTGCCATGGAAGATTCAAACGTTTTGTTCAACAAGGTTGACAAGGTGGAAGTTTTGAATCAGGTCAGTGAAGACAAACACAACTCCATTTTCATGATGCATGGCACTTCACCTCCTGACTCTTTGTCTTCTTCCATCTCAAGCTTGGCTCAACGATTGGCATCTCTGAGAGCTCAGCTTGACTATGTCTCAGGCACCATGTGCGGAGGACGACCCGCGGATGAATGGGTTTCCGTGCAACGGGAGCCACAAGCCGAAGCGCAGGGAAAACCAACATGGAATGTGGAGCACCTGCCAGGCATGCGGCTTGAGGCTGATGTACCAGCCAAAGAAGGGATCAGATGGTCAGAGCCGACACATGGGCCCTCACCCCAACTTGACCAGAGCTGCAATGGAGGAGATCAGCAAGACTACTCCGGCCAATCAGGTGACGGAGCGCTTGGTCAATGGGAAGCTCATGGAGTTGAAAGGGCTCCAACTACAACGTGGTCTGACGGAAACCATGGCCATCAACCTCTCCTACCTGAAGCGTATGGGCCTGCTGAACGATGTGGAGGGATCTCCAAAAGCCAAGGCCAAAGCAATGGCCACATCGTCCAAGTCAACTCCAAGCTTGACTCCAGAGGAGGCACTACTTCAAGCCACTCAGGAATACTTGGACGCCAAGGGGATCGACCACTTGGACGCCCACGAGTTTGCGGAGACGGTCAAGCAGACCACGATCCAGAAGTTGGACGAGTCGGTGACTCCCACCAAGCCCAGAGCGTTGTTCCAGGTCAAGACCGAGCAGAAGGAGCCACCTATGTCAAAGGCTGCAGCAGCCTCAGCGTCTCAGAACATCCCGATTGCGGTGGACTCCTCGGACGACGATGCGGTGCTGGTGGAAGAAGGCACGGAGTCAAAAGGACTATGAACTCCATTTGGAGTGCCCTGACCAAGCTGAAGGAGAAGATCAATGGTGGCAGCACTTTGCTGCCGGAGTCATCTGACTCCCCAATCCCAGTCAATTCGCATGGCCTTCCTCAGAAAGCCATTGACAGCGCCGTTCAATTTCAAGGCAGCAGTCAGCACTATGAGCACTACGATGGCATGGATGCTTCTACATCCAGACCTTGCACAACGCCCTTGAAGAGCCCTATGGCATCAGCATTGGATGATCTGCCAACACCAACTCCTGGCGGTGGAAAGCGCAAAGGAGTACCACCGGTGACTGCCAAGAAGTTGGCAGCAAATGTGGCAGTTCTTGGAGCTATGATGATGACTCCATTGCGTGATGTTTTGCAACAGACTTCAGGCACCTTGGACTTCCTGGAGGTTGCTTGCTCTTCTACGTCCTCATTGTCTACCGAGATGGAGGCAATGGGATACACGATCCAGCGTATCAACATGCTGGAGGGCTATGACCTGGAGAAGAAGTCTGGCACCCAGAAGCTTCAGACTTTGATCGAGGACCGAAAGCCTCGGCACACATGGGTCAGTTTGGCCTGCACCAGGTTGACGAGTCTCTCCAACTTGACTCGACGTGATGAAGTTGAAGAAGCGGCCTTTCAGAAGAAGAGGAGCCGCGATCTGAAGAGAGCAGAAGAAGTTGCAGAGGGCGCCGAGAGCATCCTCAAGAATGGTGATGACATCAGCTGGGAATGGCCGACTATGGCCAAAAGTGGGTGGTCGTCCAGGGCCATTAGAAAGCTCCAGCTGCTTTGTGAACGTCATCACCGGCATCTGTACTTTTGCCACTTTCATGGGTGCGCTTCTGGACTTTCTTACAATAACTATCCAGTGCAGAAAAGCTGGACGGTCGCAACGACCGACAGACATGTCTGGTTAGGATTACAACGGAAGTGTCCAGGTCACCAAAATCACCTGCATTGCAGAGGGCAAGTGGCAAGAGCATCGGCATACTACCCCAGTCAGATGGTAAAGGCTGTATGCCGAGCCACCACCTCCACATGGACTTCGAAGGAGGACCGAGCTGGACTTTCACTCGGAAGGGATGTGTGCCACTTTCTCCTGGAGGCTGAGGACGTTGCTGAAGAGACCTATGGCATGCGTGGTTGTCCATGTGACTTAGAGTGCTACGGCATCTTCAAAGGACACCAACTTGTACACCAAGAAGATCCTCAGATCTTGGCTCTTCGAAGGCAGCGCATGCCAGCTGAGATGCCGAAAGGCAAGGCTTTGGAGAACATCAAGAGTCAGATGCTTCGGATTCACAAGGCATCTGGCCACTCTGCCATGGCCAATCTTCAACGTCTTCTACGAGCACGACAAGCACCACCATGGGCAGTAGCTTTGGCAGGGCAAGTCAAATGCCCTGATTGCTCAGAAGTGAAGATCCCACCATCGGCATCGGTGGCCTCACTCCAAGAAACTCCTGGACTTTTTGAGATTCTTGGATGTGATGTTTTCGAGTTTGAAGCCGGCCCTCATAAGTACAAGTTCCTTTTGATGAGAGACCGGGCTAGCGGTCTGATCCAGTCCGAACTTCTTCAGCAGTTTGCGGGAGAAGGACAACCGTCAGCCTGGGAGCCTACAAGTGAAGACATCATCAGGATGTTGGGCCGCTGGATGATGTTCAACCCCTCTCCAAAGTGGCTTTTGGTGGACTCCGCCACTTACTTCACATCTCAGAGGCTTATGGATTTCTGCTCGGAGTCTGGTCTTGGACTTTTGGCCACTCCAGCAGAGTCTCATGAGATGTTGGGAGCTGAAGAGGGCGCCATAAAGATCTTGAAGGGCACGGTGGAGAAGCTTCTGAAAGATCATGGTGATCTCTCTGTCGAGTTGGCTTTTCACTTGGCTGCACATGGCCACAATCAGAGCGTTGGCGGCTCTGGCTTCTCACCGTTCCAGTGGACAAGAGGATCATCGGCACCTTTTGAAAACCTTCCTCTTGGCCTGAATCCCAGAAAGGCTTTTGGAGGTATGTTGAAGTTGAAGGAATCTGCATGTGTGGCATATGAACATGAGAGTGCTCGTTTTCGTTTGTCAAAGCTCAACAACACGACACCAAAGCCAGTTCCTGTCTTCAAGCCTGGCCAATTGGTCATGCTTTGGCGTCAGAAGATGAAACCAGGAAAGACTGGCGGCAGGTGGATTGGTCCTGTCCGTTTCCTACTGCAAGAAGGGAAGACCCTATGGTTAGCCTCTGGCAGCACTCTGATCAGAGCCCGCACGCAGCAGGTGAGATCCTGTACCAGAAGGGAGCAACATGTTGCTGCACTTGAAGGAACAGCCATCCTTCAGATGCCAGTTACCCTTGAGGGTTTGCTTCGAAGCTTCACAGGTCGCAACTTCTCAGACCTGACTGGTGAAGCCCCTTCTGAAGAACAACTTCAACAAGATGTTCAGGGCGCTGAAGTTGAACGTGAGCCCAAGGTCAATGCAAGGCCTGACACTTGGAAGTTTGTCCAAGAAGGTGGTCGTCGATGGCTTGTACGACTACATCACCTTCCACGTTTGAGCCTCTTTGCACCATCAAGGGTCGCAACAGTGCCCATTGATGAACAAGATCTGACCGGCCTTCGAAAGACCAAAGTCCGCTCAATGCAATCTGGGTCTGACGAGATCATCGAGATCCAGGATGACTTCAAAACCTCTGAAGATCCAATACGATCTCTTCAAGATCGTTGGGTTGGCGAGACATGGCTGGAGATCAAGAATGAGGCAAAAGCCGCAGCACCTAAGCAGAAGACCTTACGTCCAACGCGCACTTCAACGAAGCGCAAAGCAGAAAGTGAGATCCCGAAAGAAGACCTCAACGAGGAGCTGGATGAGGATGACGATGATGCACCTCGACCTGCGAGCTCTTCAGGCTCAGTGCTTCTTCCTCATGTACCAGTGATCAGTCCCCTCACTACTGCACTTCGAGAATCAGGTCCCGATGCTGTTGATGGCATCCGCACAGGCCATCAGACACAGCAGAATTCATGTTCCCTTGATGCATGCGTTTTACCTGGTGGACATGCTGGTCCTCATGAAGATCAGGAGGGCAAGCAGTTCAATTGGACTGAACATACTGGCCGAGTTGAAATCTCTGAGGATGAGCAGGTTGACAGAGCATCAACTTCCTCGTCTTCTACTCCCTCAGACTCCGAAGAGATGATCCCATCAAACCCTGCGGAAGATGCAAACCACTCTCAGCTCTATGCGAGAAAGCTCAAGCACATGACTGACTCCAACGAGGTGTTTCAGATGCAGCACACCCATGAGAATGACATGGTCCCTGAGAATGCCGAAGCTGCACAGAACACCAAGGTTCTAAAGAATGACATAGCCCCACAGAATGCCAACCAGACTGAGAATGACAAGCGTGTTTTCTATGCCTTGGAAGTTCCTCTCCTTCCTTCTGACTTGACCTACTTGACAAAGAACCCGGAGAAGTCCGAAGTGTGGCTTTCCAAGAAAATGATCGAGAAAGGCAAGGAGAAGAGATGGAGCCAGATGGATTTGGAAGAAAAACACAAGTTCGACATGTCCATGGCGAAGGAACTCAGCAATGTTCTCAGCTCGAAAGCCCTGAGAAGTTTGACGTCTCAGGAATGGGACGATTTGGACTACAACAAGGTGGCATCAATGCGGTGGGTTCTCACCGTGAAGAGTGACGGGTCAGCCAAAGCCCGACTTGTTGTCCTTGGTTTCCAGATGCCGGACATCGAGCACATGGAAACTGCATCACCAACGATGGCTCGTGTGAGCCGCAGCTTGCTTTTGGCAGTGGTGGCCAACAATGGTTTCAAGCTTAAAGCTGGTGATGTGACAGCAGCCTTCCTTCAGACGGAAGAATCCTTGGAGCACCTTGAGATGACAGTTTGGGCCCCATCAGAGCTTGCAGTTCTTTTTGGAGCCGACCCCAGCAATCCCATCATGCCATTGCGAGTGTCTCGCGCTTTCTATGGCTTGGTACAAGCACCACGTTGCTGGTTCAATGACGTTTCCCGTCGCATGTTGGCTCAGGGCTGGAAGACAGTGTTAGCTGACCGATGCTTGTTTGTTTTGTATGATGATGATACAGGTGACGTGATCGCCATAGCTGGAATTCATGTGGACGATTTTCTCATTGGCGGCAATGAAGATCACCCAAAGTATCAACAGGCATTCAAACAGTTGGTTGACACTTACAAATGGGGAAAATGGCAAGAAGGAGAAATTGATTTTGCTGGCTGCCATATCGTTCAGTTGACTGATGGTAGCATCCGAGTGGATCAAAGCACCTATGTCGAGAAGTGGTTGGATGAAGTTCAACTGCCGAAGCAGCGAATGCAGCAAGTGAAATCTTCTTTGACTCCTCAGGAAGTTTCTATGGTCCGAGGCGTTCTAGGCACACTGGCTTGGAAATCGTCACAGACTGGACCCCACCATCAAGCTGACGTGGGTATGATTCTTTCTGAGCTTCCCATGGCAACCATCCACACCGTCCAGAAGCTCAACAAGCTAGTGAGAGAGGTGAGGCGCGAAGCGCGACAAGGCTTACTTTTTCCATCATGGCGTAGGTCCTGGAAAGATTTTGTCGTAGTTTCATGGGCTGATGCAGGCCAACAGAACCGAGCCGATCATGCATCAACCTTAGGCGTCATCACTGGACTGGCACCAATTGAATTTCTTCAGGGTGAAGAGTGTGTGGTTTGTGTTTTGAATTGGAAGTCCTCAAAGACCCCAAGACAATGTTTGGGAAGCAATGGAGCCGAAGTCCAGGCCATAACAGAGGGTGAAGATATCACGTTTCGAATCAGAGCCATGTGGGCTGAGATTCATGGCATTCGTCTCACCAAGTCCAATTTGTATGATTCTGTTCGTGATACCACCGTAGGAGCAGTAGTCATGGATACCAAAGGCATCTTCGATGCCATGACACTAAATGTGTCGGCGTTGCACGGTTTGCGATCCAGTAGGGCAGGGTATGAGCTGACATTGTCAGTACAGCAAGCGATGCGAATCGCCACCAAACTGAGGTGGGTGAACGGTCTTGCTCAGTTGGCTGATTGTTTGACGAAGTTCAATCAGAAAAAGCTGTTTTTACAATTCTTGGCTGGCGGCCAGAAATGGAAACTTGTTTTTGATGAGAAATTTGTCGCTGGCAAGAAGCTGCGAAAGAGACAGCTTGAAGAAGCCACGAGGAGCATGGAGACCTTTTTCATTTCAAGGGTTCGCGAGTTTGCTTTGGCCAATCGATTTCCGTGGACTGATGATGATTCCAGAAGTGTGGGGGATGAGAGTTTAGCTGATCCTGTTCAACATGTTTCCCTTGTGTGTTCAGTGGAATCATCACATGTCAGCCATTTGTCCGATTAGCCACATGTCACATTATCCTGCCAGGTTCTTCAACTCTTCGCCGTCCGCAGGGCGGGACATCTCGAGCCACGGACAAAAGCGTCTGTCTGCACCATTTGCCGGTGCCATTGCCCCTTTCACCATTTGCTGGTGACTTTAGAGTGTTTCCAGTTTCTTGCTACCAAGTTCAGCTATGGATGATGCTTCACAGGAATATTTTGCATTAAAAACACATTGCAACAACATTTTGAAAAGGAACACCTAAGTTTTCTAAACTGCATAGTGTGCCAGCTCATGAAGGCTGGACATTTGGAAATGCAAACTACACTTCTTCATGCATCTTTTGCAGGCATACTTCATATTGTTTCGGGTCATTGCTTCTTCAAACATACACTGCATTGCCTTGAAAGAACATCGCACATTTTGTATCAAAAAATACATCTTAAAACACAATTTGTCTAGTGAACATGTCTATGTTGTGAGATTCATCTTCTCCCTAAGCAAACTACCTGCACCATCAGCATGCACTGCCAAAAGGAAAACAACTTCCACAATTGTACAGGTCGTCTGCATACAACATTATCATCACTTGCAAGCTAATTTGGCAACTTAGAGGTAGGTATTGGGGGGCCTAGCGTGTATATGTGTATATATATATATACATGTATGTATATCTTGATTGTATATATATATATATCACACACACACATGCCTCATGATTTCTGATGATTTCGATCACTTTTGGTTCATAGACTAAACCTGATTTTCCCAGCCAATGACCAATATTCATGTTTTGAAGACACTGGCAACTTCAGCCAATCTACCAATATTTTCAGACACTTACATGGCTCACATTGGTTTTTCCAGGAGTTCACCCACTTTTTCACCAAATTTTTCGGTGAAAGCGAGGTCAAAAAGCTCACCGTGGAGATTGTCGAGGCCTGGCAGAGAAATCGAGCTGCCAAGCTGCGTGGACAGGCCCGAACTGCCAGTTGATTCTCAGGGTTCCAAAAGGCAACTGGATAGAAAGAATAACTGGCTATATAGATATAGTGCTATCTTTATAGATTTATAAATAACTGGCTTTATAGATAACTATACTGGATGTATCTATCAATTTACATGTATAAGATACAAGATACATAAACACACACTTTTTGTAGATGTGTAAACACAGAGAGAGAGAGAGAGATCTTTAGATGGAAGAAACAAGGTCATGTGCTGCATATTCCTGTCTCTGCGGAGATCTGAATATGGATACATAGTCCTGCTAACTTATGGTACATATATTATATATATATATATTCCGAACCTAGACTATCATAGGGTCTAATTGTTCCGATAGCAATGGTCTTTCATCTTCACGATTCGAATGCGATTTTTCTGTTTTTGGTGAAAACCAAACTATGTCTATGGATACCCACAATTTTTAACATTTTGGTCATATCCCCGGTAGGTGAAAATATCAGTTATACTGAAATGATGCTCGTAGAAATCGTGATAAATCGTGTTATGTTTCCTCATTTTGGAGCCCAGCTGCAGGTGGATTGTGGTCAAATCCAGCGTGCAAAGGCAGACCCTTCGGTGGTGGGTTTTCTGCCTGTGGGCGTCAGCAAGCAACGAGGGAGGCTTGGTCAAATGGTCTCGCCCTTTATGCTTTTCACGCCCAAGGACTGGATTTGGGGGAATTTTTCATGGGAGAATCTCAAAGGAAACCTGAAATCTTTGTCCAAACTCTCTGGTTTTGGAAACTCACTGGTTGTTTCTGACAGTCAACCAGAGCCACTATTGCGCACAGAAACGAACCAGATGAACCAGTTTACGTCCGTGCCTTCATGGTGCTAATTTAGATCCTCGAAAACTTGCCCATATGCTCCCTTTAGGTCACGGTTGTTGGTTATTTTGCATCCTTGGTTGCTCTTTTTTTGGTTACATTCCCACTGAAGCTCATGCAAGGTGGGTAGAAGGATTTGCCCATCTATGCAGTGCCTACATATTGTCCATTTTGTTGTCTGCGGGCTATCCATGATGTTTGCAATCCGAGTTTTGTTGAAGCATAGACAAGTGACCAAAAACTCAGATCTGCGACAGCCCAACATCGGATTCTCAAATAAAGAATTGCCATGTTGTGCATTTTTCATAGCCCCCTTTGGTATTCTAAATGGGGGTAGAGTTTGTCCCCCCATTGATGACCCAGTGAACTCCAGGACCTCCAGTCCTTTGCCACTGAAACGGGATCTGCTGGGGGAAAATTGTTGCCAGAACGACCATTGGAACTGGTTTGGCAGGCAGCAAAGATCAAGAAGTGACTTTGGATGGAAATCATCGATTTTTGGAAAATGACTACAGTTTTTTTTTTTTTTAAGCGGATGGACATAGACCCTAGAAATTTTGTTTTGGCTCATTGTAGATGTGGATCATCATTCTAATCCACAATTTGCTTTTTGAAGGTGATCCTCTATCGTTTTTGCGCAGGTCGGAAGTAGGATCTGATGGCCTTCCTACCGATGCATATTTTCAGAGGAGAAGTGCCATCTACCACAAGGGCCAAGTCCAACGTCGCTACATTCCCACCGAAGAGATTGGGGGCGCCATCCTGTCATATCGAACACAGGCTCCCGTGAAGTACATCGAGTCCCGGAAATTTTATTGCTGTGCATATACCAAAGCTGTTGTGGAGACGGAATCCTACCAGTTTCTGCAACATCTTTGCCAGGATGGTTGCTTCACGAGAATTTTGTCATGTCTTGAACCTGAAAGGATTGATATGAACTTCAAACGGCATGTTTGGTACTTGGATGAGGGACCAGGGCCTTATATCTTCACAGTTTGGGGAAGTGAATGACATCGATATCTTCACAGCTTCTGCTAGATGACTTTGTATGTGTATGATATATCCACATTTTTTCCTAAAACTTGGTTTGGTTTGTTTTTTCACCATCAGTGAGACATTCTTTGCCACGACCGGTCGACGTCCGTTATTCGGAATCCTCAGTAGATCGAGTAACTTATGATCAAACATCAAATTTGGGAGTACCCTATCCTCAGACAAACCAACATATTATTTTGGATTTACCACATGGAACCCATATTTATATGGGAGTATCCAATAGGAAATTCATCTTCCAGACACTTTTGTTTGGACATCCCAGGTTTCAATCTACTCCTCCTTGGACCAGATGGTCATTCGTGCTTGGAGCGGGAGCGACCGATGGACGAGAGTGAAGTGAAGCAGGCGCTGTGCGATGCCTACAACGATCCCAGCAAACAATTTGGACTTTTGGCTTCGGATTCAGGAAAGTTGTCACACTTTCATGATATTTCATGATCATCACCATTGCCATGCCATCATAATCACCAGTATTTGTTGAGAAAGTTTGTTGGAATGGTTGAATCTGTCGCTATTTTAGTCATTTTAGTCATTTTAGTCGTTTTGACCCTCGGCTGCCGATTTTTCTGAGGACACGAGCGGGTTTTGTTGGCGATGCTGACACAGCAGTGTCCATGGGCAGATGCCCCAGATCCCACTGGCGAATTGGCTTTGTGCCCCTGACCCGACAAAAAATGGCGTGAAATCTGTGGATCTGTCCTGGAGTCCTTCACAGGTTCGCCCCCACAACGGATAAAACGGAGTGATTTTTCGGATTTCACTGAGCCTGAGGAAACAGAACTGACGTTGACATCACTTTTCAGGGACAGATTTCCATCATTCCGACCTCGGAAAACAAGATGGTTGGTACTTGAAAGAAGGCCCAATAGTTCTTTGGTTGCCCTTGATGGTTTTTGCCCAAATTCCATGGCTTATATATATATAATCATCATATTCCGAATTGAACAGCCATAAATATCATGAATCAGTTTCGCTATTCATTATCATGTATGATGTTATTTTTTTGGGTTTAGTTTCATCTTTCAATTAAATTCCAAAAACATGCAAAAACACCATATTTTCCCACAGTTTTCCATGGTGACCTTCCCATCTTTTCCGGTGACACCCATCGTCTGCCATCGGGCCGAAAATGGCAGGAAACTCCACCGCTGCCGTTGCGAGGATGCTCAGAGTGACTACAGTAGATGATGATGGCTGTCTATCCCATAGATGTTGGATATCTATTTATGTATAGATCATTATATATATAATTTATTATATAATTATCTATATAATTATCTATCTATCTATCAATCAATCTATCTAATCTAATCTAATCTAATCTAATCTTATCTTATCGAATCGAATCGAATCTAATCCAATCCAATCCAATCTAATCTATCTATCTATCTGTCTGTCTGTCTATCTATCTATCTATCTATCTATCTATCTATATGATTATGATGACGATGATGATGATGACGATGATGAAATGTGAATATCTAAATATGAATATTACAAATACTATGAATGATACCATTTACAGTAATATCAATGTCAATACCGACATCATCACCATCTTCACATCGAAGTTCCAAGGCCTAGACCAGTGCCACAGGCTCTGCGGGTTGCTGAGGGCATTGACCGAACTTTTAGCCATCAAAATATGGGGCTATCAATGGATACAACTGATAAATCTGGGTAAATTATAGCGACCTCACTGCGACCGAGCCCTGGAATCATGGGTAGTAAGGGAAATCATCCCCAAATGGCCTTAATAGTGAAATATTATAATTTACCCTAGATAAATGATGGTTGATCATTGATTAGTTTGGGGATCCTACTAACCAATAAAAATGGGGCATATCATGGCATATCACAATCCAGCGGGAATTCCCTATCAACCAGCCAGGAACTGCGACCAATTTTTCCATTTGGGGCGGGGTGGTAAAAAGAAGTATGCCCGTAAGAGGCAGATACATTGCAACCATTACTATATACTTGGGTGCATTATTGCCTCCATTGAATATTTCTGTACTCTACTTGTATGTGTTTGTTATTGCGCCGGCCACATCACAACCCATGCACACTTGAGAACCAGCCTCCATTGCTTCCTTTCCATGGGCAGTTGAGGACTACTCACCCATTGATCCCATTGTCATGATATTAACCATTATTGCCCATTGTTAATCATTATTAACCATCATTAACCAGCGAAATATATATGTATTACCATCTGGTTATTTAACATTTTCAAAATCTCTCTTCTTCGGTGTTGAATCCCCACTGTGATTGTTGAAGTTGCGATGGTTTGTCGCTCTTAGATACTCTCCCCATGGATCGGAATGGCGCTGGACACCATGGATGATTCATGGGGGACATCACCCAACATGGGCACAACAATCAGGTTGGCATTTGCTAAAAAAAAACAAGGTATCTCTTGATCGGTTGGAAATTCGAATTTAGATGGGAAACAAACACCTACTGTATCATATTTGTGGAATGATCATCCATTTGCGAGCCATTTTGGTGTTCATTTTGGGTGAGTTTCGACCACGGAGGCATTGAAGACGAACTCTCCTTTGCAGGGGCCATCATTGCCTCCCGCAGGGTGCCCAGAAATGATGGTGTTTTGGCGAAAGTGAGGCCAGTGTTTGATCAGTTATTGGAAAATAAGGAAATCCGATAACAAAACTATAAGGAAATCACAGGAAATCACAATTCTAAAACTAGTTTTTCTGTCAGTAGCTTGTATCAGGATGAGTGAAGATCTGTTGGGACGACCTGCAAGTTGGCTGGGTATGTTGGGTTTGCAGGATTCTGACAGGGGTGCTCAATGACTTCACACCCAGCCATCTTAACTCTTCAATCTTTCCCAGTTTCTGTCGTTTCCATAAAACCAGCACTTGTGAGTACCAAATTGGAGCCCAAATATCCACAAAACGATTAGTCATTTGGTCACCCAGACCCAGGGAATAAACTGAAGGCACTGGCAGGATAGCTAATGGTTGGAGGAGGCTTGCGAAATTGGGTGACCTGGAACATGTTTTTTTGGAACACATATTTCGAAAGAAAACCTCCATGTTCAATCCTTTCACTGGAGGTTGCTGGCTTGATTCACAGCGCTTGGCGCAGGATCACAGGTCACAAAAAGATTTTATTGTCCCCGGTTGCAGAACTTGAGACTATGAATTCTTTTAGTGGTCTTTGTACTTCGACTGGAGAAATGTTGTAGCTATTGTTGCCTTTTGTCTCACAAACGTCTTGAACTATTGGGATCCCAGGAATTTGCTAGGATGACTGGAACCCGACATTTTGGTTATTATATCCCACAAACTGTGCAAACTTATTACGATTATTCGAAGGAAGTTTAGAAGTCAAACTTCCGACAATATGGACAGATGAAAAGCAGAGCAGGGAAGAGCCAGAGAGAAGAGAAAGATTAGAAGAGAGAAGATCAGAAGAGAAAGAGTCAGAAGAAAGAAGATGCAGATGCGCGAAAAGGTAGGAAAGTCGCGAAACACTTTGTTTTTCCAATGATTTGAGGCTCCGGAGGGTCGAAAAGTAGGCTCGCTAAAGCGGCGGGTGCGGAGCCAGCTGGCCAGATGAGAGATGAAGAATTGCACGCCGTTGTGGCGCGAAGCACATTTCACCAAGTCAAAATGCACAAACACACAGCTTCGGACCACTTTTGAGAAGTTGACGATGTCGAAAAAGTGCACGCCGTTGTGGCGCGAAGCACATTTTGAAGTCAAAATGTACAAAACACACCATTTCTCGGACACTTTTGGAAGTTGAGATGTCGAAAAACGTGCACGCCGTTGTGGCGCGAAAGCAAATTGCCCAAGTCAAAAGTGTTTTTTAAAAACTGACAGTCTCGGACACTTGCGAGGTTCAGAGGTCTCGAAAAAGTGTCGAAAAAAGTGCACGCCGTTGTGGCGCGAAGCACATTTCCAAGTCAAAAGTGTAAAAATCTGAAGGGTTTTGAGTCTTGAGCCTTTTTTGACGTGAAGATGCCGAAAAAGTAGACACTGATTAACTTAACTAACTTGACTAACGTAACTAACTTCACTAACTTAACTATCCTAACTTCGACGACAACAGCAACAGCAACAACAACAACAACAACACCAACACCAACACCAACCACAACAACAACACCAACCACAACAACTACAACTACAACTACAACTACAACAACAACAGCAACAACAACAACAACAACTACAACAACTACAACTACAACAACAACTACTACTACTACTACACAACAACAACTACAACTAGAACTACAACTACAACAACTACAGCTACAACAACAACAACAACACGACACGACAACTACACTACAGCAACAAAACAACTACAACAACTACACAACAACTACACTACTACTACAACTACAACAACTACAACTACAACTACAAAACAACTACAGCTACAACTATATGACTGCAACTACACTACACTAATTACATTACACCGCAACTACAACTCCACTACGCTACAACTACAACTACAGTTGCATTACATCACACTACATCCAGCAGTTGTGGGTGAGGTGACCACTGCAACCATTGCAACCACTCCAGCAAACACAACTCCAACCACCTTTCGGTCAATCAGTGGATTCGCTCTGCCATCCGTGATTCACAACAACCAACGTCTTCTATAGGTTTCCTATTCTGAAACTTCCGCCACCGCCTTGTGCGGTACTACTGGTATGCACAGTTGAAGTTCCAACTTACATTTTCAAGCTTGGCTCCTTGATCAGCCACAACAATCTGGATTGTCAAACTCGAACTGGATGCTCAATAGACGGAACATGAGCAAGTTGGAGCGATCTGCAAGGATTGGCATGTAAGTGACCGTTCTGAAGTCTTGCTGGGTCACGCTTGCAGTGCAGCACCAGGGCACGCATCGCGCAGCATAGCTACAAATGCACTGTGCATTGTTGATGGCCCCTGAGATAGTTCTCACCACGCTCCTTGGGCAGCGTGAATTCGCTTTTAGTGCACTTTGAGGCAGCGAGCCTTGCACGCGCGCAACAAGAAGCGCGCCCAAGCACAAAATTTTGGCTCATAGGCATGGGGGGAGGCAAACGCAGGCAACAACATAGCCAAACGCGACGCCTTGGTTTTGCCCAGGCACTGAGGAACGCTTCGCCGACCACGCCGCCTGCGGGGAACCCAGTTGCAGTGGAGCTGAAGCCGCCACCAACTGCTTGTGCGAATTGCGCAGGGCCACGATGCAGTAGAAGATGGCCTGGTGCAACAGCAAGAGGCCTGGCGCATGCGTGGTTTACAGGTTGCTTGCTGCAGAGCCAGATTCCGGCCATCTGTCTTAAGTATGTGTTTGATGGTTGCGGCACCCTGTTTGGAAAGATCTGTTTAAGGAGCACTGTAGCCTATGTCCCTACTTTTGTCATTTGCGGCTTGTGTGTAGAAGGACGTCAGATAGGTGCATTAGCTTGCGCGTCGTTTTTTGAGATCATTTTTCCCCCAAACCAAGTATTTTCTACTTCGATGCCATTTTGGCGCCAGCAAAACCACAGTTGGAAGCCTTGCATAGGCATGGAAAACCCGAGTTTATGAGTTTTGGCACTTGCCCAAGGGACACTGTATGAAACGACACAGAACGACACAGACTATCTAGGTATTACTTGTTTTTTTGACTTGGGGGTACTGTGGTGTGCAACATTTCGATTCCGAATCATGCAACGAGCACGGTATGGATCAAACTTCTGGATCCCAAACCATGGGTCGAGTGCAAAACAATTTGTTTTTTTGGCATCCCAGCCTGAGGGCGGGCGTGGGTGGTTTGGATGGTGTGTCTCGTCACCTTCAACCATGGCAGATCGAGAAAGAATTGGACGAAACTTTTTCAGATCGTCGGCTCTTGGTGGAAGCGGAGGCGGGGGTTTCCGCATAAAGCCGTTGCGTCAAAGAGATTTCAATTCATCATCAATTTTCCGTGCCCCAAGAAGGAAGTTGCATGGAAAATGGATGTTAAAGGTAATGTCTATCAAATTGCGGGCTGCCAGGCCTGACACAATGATTGAAATTCACCATCGTGTTGAGAACCCTCCTCATTGTAATAGGAGGGAATGAGAATAGAATCATCCCGCACGTGAATTGGGTTATATCACACACATATATTATTATTACTATTATTATTACTATTATTATTATTTTTATTATTATCATTATTACTATCATTAGCATTATCATTAGTATTATCATTATTATTACTGTTATTATTATCATTTTTGTTTTCGTTATTATTATTATCATTATTTCTATTCTTATTTAATCATATATCCCAATTGCTTGTGCGCCCACGGTAACAAAACACATTCCGGCAACATGTTCACACGAAAAAATGACATGCATTCTGAAACAATTTTGGTAAACATTTTGTCACGTATATTGTCACATTTATTTTTATAATGTACATATACACACATATATATATATATACATACAAATCGAAAACATGCACAGATACGTATGTATATATGTATATAGAAATATTGTATTCATTTGACATATATCCGACATTTCTCGTGACCTTTATGATTGCAATTTTCCGTGGGCTAAGTACAGATAATCCGGGGAAACGTAGCGCCGACCCTTTTCTTTGGAGGCAATGGACCCTACCAGCTTGGGCATCGAACGGAGGGAGAAAGTGGAGGAGGTTCGTTGAGGGGCATGGATGCGAGTGGAATCATGGATGACTGGTGAATTACGGTGAACCCAACCACCGTGGGCTGAATTCCAATAGGACTTTGTTTCCAAACAATTCCCAGATTTTTTCAAAAGGGAAATCTGACTTTTGAACGATCTTAGTTTAGCGAAAACATTGGGTGAAGTCAAGGGGGGATCGTGAAAATTTGATCGTTTGTAAGTCCTGAAACCTCACTTGTGACTTTATCCAAGTCATTTTCACATTTCTGACATGGAAAATCCTCCGTTTATTTCGATGATATTCCCATAAACTCCCTTTTTAAAACGGGCGAATTTCCCGTCTTCATGTTTGATGACACCGGTGGGAAAGTTTCGTCTCTCTTCACGACACCCCATTTGTTCACATCGCAGGTTGAGGGGCACGTTCTACCAACTTCCAGTGGGGAAAATCCATGAAAATCCACCATTCGATGGAACAAGAAGGGGCCCTGCTTCATTGGCCTTGAGGATGTTTGAAGAATACTATATGTATGTATGACAGTGATTTGCCTTTCAACATATGGCAGTTCTATTTTTAATCACTCTATTCAAAATTATTCAGTTTATTCAATTTATTCAAGTGGTTTCGTTTATTCGGTGATTGATTGATTTGTCTGCAACTGTAATTATTTGCTTATTTTTTTGTTTCCTCATTCGGATTCGTTTCTTCACGTATATTAAGATAAACATAAATCAATACATAAATAAATAAATAGATAAATAGATAGATAAATAAATAAATAAAGACATAATTATATATATATATGTATTTATTGTGCCTATGATATCTGCAATGTGCTTCCCACTGACAGATCTGACAGGTGGAACCCAGTGTCGGAGGCAGCGGCTATCTTCCCGAGGTGGGGATGACTCAGTACAAATTTGTCAATGGTGTTTTTGGACCACTAATAAGTCACTAATATATGTCATGGTGACAGATGGGCGGATTTTTGAAACACTAACCATCTAATGGATTATACAGAATTTTCGGATAAACAACATGCGGTTTTTGAGTAGGTTTTCCAGCCATGTTTGATTACCGGAGCGGCAAAATAGATGGCAGGTTTGGTTTGTCAATGCAAAAACCAGATCTTTTTTCAAGGGAACAATTATGTTCAAGAAGCAATTGGGTTTTCTACAGTATCCGATTCTTTGACAAACCCACGTTACAACCAAGGTTCCTCTTCTTCCGGAGGTCCAACGATGGGGCGGTCAGGTGAACATGTTGGGCTGATAGCATGAACAACAGATGTAGGAGAACACGCTGATAACAACATAGAGTATGACCTAGAGTGATAATGATTGACCTAGTATGATGGTAACTATCATAGTATCCTGTTCAGCAAGATTCTTGACATCCAGAGACTATCAGCACTGAGCAGAATCGACTTGGCAGGCGGCGGAGGAGCCAAACCACCATGCTGGCGAGTCTGTGGATGTAAGAGATGCAACAGTATACCGTTTTTCTTTGATTTGGTTTATGGTTTGGTGCATCATAGCTGGTGCAAGGTCACCAACATATGCAGTTGAGAAGCCAAGCCTGTGGCCATTTTGGCTGGAGCTCTGCGGCTGACAGACTGGGTACAGCAGATACGCTGCCGAAGCCAACACTTCCATTTGTGTGCTGTGTATACATAAGTAAATGGTATATTATATACAATATACAGTCATATTCGATATTCACATTGTTTTGCTTCTTGTCTGGAAAGGTCGTACCAAAACCCAGAAACCAATGGCTGTTTTTGAGGCCTGCTGGAGGTTGATAACCTCTCAATAAGTTCACTACACAGCAATTTTTCTCAGCCTTCTGCCATGGGCACGGGCACGCACCTTGGTCTGCACCAGCGCAGTTTGCGATTGGAACTGCACACAAATTGACAAAGTCATAGGTCCCAATCTGCATCACTTGAGAAGTATTTTCAAGTTAGTTCAATTTCCACATCAACTGTATGTCAGTTCAACTTCATCAGATTCGCTGAACATGCCGTTGAGCCCACGCTCCACGCAGTTCCCACCAACCACTTCAGTTCTGACGTGGGTACAGTTTCAACTTAAGGCCATCAAATTTTCTTTCTTCGCATGTGCTTCAACTTGCAAGCAAATGGGGGTTTCCATAGTCATGGGGGTACTCCCAAATGGATGGTTTGCAATGGAAAATCCCAATCTAAGATTAAAATGGATGATTTAAGGGTACCTCCATTTCAGGAAACCTCCAAATGGGTTTGATATAGGGTACAAATAATTTCTGATTGTTAATCATAATTTTTCCAACCTTTCAATGGCCATTTCATATATCTCCAACTATAGTATCCCCATACATTATTAGCATCCACATTCCTTTCTAGCCACTGGTTTCTATACAAAATCTGATTCATAGACCCAAATATACAGTAATTGCCTCTATACATCGCATAATATTGCCTATACCTATCTCGGCCAATTTGGTTCATAGAATTTGATGGTAGCCAACATGTAGATACAATTAGTAATCCCATGAATATCCCGCGAATATCTCCTCAAATTGCTTGGTTTGGTAGTTTTACAACCTATCCAACCACTATGACTCATTAATGTGCAATGAACAAATATTGGTTTCATATCAATATACCATGAATATATCCAACATATTGTAACTTGGAGAATTTAGTATATCCATTAGAGTAGCCAACATCAATCTAACATATTATCCAGCATAATTATGATGATTAATCTCTCATCAATATATACCACTAATATATCCATTAATATATCCACCAGACTTCTGATTAACATATCATGAAATCATCATATTCATACATATATATATATATATCTACATATATATATATATCACATATATATATATATATGTATGTATATCAAATATATCAATCACATCTCTGATTCATAGAATTGGATGATGGGAAAATTTACAGGAAAACCCTATATTTGATGGTAAAAACCAAGGTTTCCTGTTAAGATTTTCCCGTGAAAACCAATCCATTGAACCATGTGCTTCTCCCATTGTCTCCCGCTTCACCTTGGAACTTCAGGTCCTTGGTTCCCTTGCTCCGTGCCCTGGAAGATTCGGGGCACGCTGAGGTCTTGCAGGCGGAGACCGGTATGACCGGTGGCTTTTAAATGTTTAAAAGTCATATATGATATTGATGAATGAGATATTACTGATCATGGGATATTAATGAGATATGATATGAATGCTTCATGGGATATTAATTGGATATTAATGACCAGTAGTATATCTAATGAATTGATGAATCGGATATTCTTGATATATGAATGGGATATATACATTATACATATGGTATATCATAGCTGAAACAATTAAAAACAGTTTTATGATATCATATCATGAATGTCATGAACGGATATTTGTAGATTTTGTAGTGATAGACTATACGTACAATGAATGCATGAATGGATATTGTTGGTTATCAATTACTTTTATCTAAATATAGAGTCATATAGAGTCGATGTAAATATACGTATATATTTATATATTGCATACATACTACATATTATGTTTATCGCTGTAATTGACACATGTTTGGCAGCAAAAGGCACAACATTGTGTGGTGGAGTACCTCAGATTTGCGGGTACTGATTTCAATCCTAGACCACCTCAACTTGCCAAGTGTTACAGGGAAACCCTAAAAATCGGGCATGAAGCAAAATCTCCAGCGTTTCACCATCCTGGAGGCTTACTCTTCTTTGAGCAGCGACCACAAACACAAGCTGGTGCGATCGGGTGGCGATTCTGGGGTCCAGAAACTGCCAGGGCTGCCAGAAGGTTTCAGCCACCGAAGATGCCCAGAAAACTGGTTGTCGCTATAGTGGCTTCATTCTTTTTGAGACTGTCCTACCCGGGATGGTGGTCCCCAATGACATTTTTTTGAGGGGCACTGGTTAACACTACCAAGCAGCTAAATTCTCACAGCTCTCTAGGCTGATTGAAGAAGTCTCTCACTGTCACGGACTTGGCAGAATTGATGGTTTTTGTATGTTTTTGTCCCATATTGGATGAGCAGTGCTATAGGTCCATGTTACCCTCAGGCCCAGTCGATTGGAACTAAGATACCCTGCTCAATCTTCTGTGGCTGTTAAATCCCATTATATATTTATAATTATATATATATATATATATTTATGTATGATCTTTCTGATGTATATATACTGATGTATGCCAGGTGAAATCAGATGAATTCAGTGTTTCGCAGTAGATTTTGTTTCAGAATCCGTCTTTTCTGCCTGATTTTCATCCGTTTTCTCCCTTATCAAGCTGCGGTTTACAGGCGGAGGCGCTCAGGAAGCTGGAAATGCCGACTCAAGAGGTAGAGGCGGGGGATAGCTGGGTGAGCTGGGACATAATCCCATCTGATATGAAATGCTTCCAGTCATATGTGGATTATGTGGTTTCGTCCCATACTAAACCAGCATGTTGTGGTTTCGGGCGGGTGTTGAATATTAGGATGGGATTGCGGCGATTTCTCAATGCATCGTCTCAAAAGTATCTCAAGACTGCTTGGTGATTTCAATGATTTTTTTTTTTGCTTCATCCATATGACTATGATCCCCAATGGCTAATATTTTTCAGGGGGGTTGGAACAGTTGGAACCCCCAGCGAAATTATTGACGCCCCAGATTGGGCAAATAGCAATGATTTGATCGATTTTGTAGGTTTATTAGCGCCAATTGATACAATGTGGATAGTCAACAACAAAAAAATGATGAGCAGGACATCTCAATCTTTTGCAGTCATGGGGATATAATCACTACATTGAGACTTGACTGGATTCTGGCAACAAAAATGGGGAGATTTGCCTATCAACAACAGGAAATAGATGGTTCAACCGATTTCACCCTAGATCTCTCAACAAGGTTGACGAAACCATGATCCTTGATGAGTTGATGACAAGATCTCAACGGGAAACTTGATCACCTCATGGATGGGTGTGTTTTTTCCGAAGGGTGGGGCAAACTTCTTGGCAAAGAAGGTTTGAACATGTTTGACACATTTCCAACTGAGAAATGTCGATATTTTTTCTTGGCAAAGCTTCCCAACATTTTTCCGCATCGTGAACAATGCAGGGGCAATCGAGCCAAGAGGGCGCATTCTCGCGTATCTCAAGCACAGCCACATTGGAGGTGGGCATAGCTTCAGTGTGACCAGCAAAAGTGGTGGTACGAGGAAACATGCAGGTAACAGGATTTCAATGGATTTCACCACCAAACAAGTGCGATTTCACACTATTTCACCAAGAAAACATGAGAAACATGTGGGGTTTGGATACTTGATGATACGTGTTTTTGTTTCTTTTTTTAAAAATGCCTTGAGAACCATGGTGTCGTAAGCTTCGAACCATGGCTGTATCTTAGTTTGGAGTTGCACCAGGACATCGACCTTTTCTTCGGTAAAACTTGGCCCTGCAAAAACCAAAGCCGGAGTGGTTTGAAACAGGTTTTTATCTTCTAACCGATTCTAACCCCAAGCTTTACATGGAATTCCTTCAGCAACACTGGGTAAAATCACCATTGATGGCTAAACTACCCATCATATCCATTGTCGCTTTTGTGAACGTTACAATGGGAGCTCCATAAATCTCCATAAATCATGGATGATGTTCCAGCATTTTTCTGTTACGGTGATTCAAATGGTGATTCTTGCCAGATTGGATTATGAGAGGGTGCATCCCAAATCCCCAAGTGCGGATGGGTCAAACATGGTTATCACCATGTATCACCCAAGAATGGACAACTGGTTGGTGGTTTGGTTTTTTTCCATATATTGGAAATAATAATCCCAACTGACTCATATTTTTCAGAGGGGTAGGCTCAACCAACCAGACAATGTTGGACAATGTAAAATTCAATGAGAAGTTATCAACCCCACTGATCTCATGGTTTACTCAAGGAAAGGATGATGTTTCGGGCATTGAAAAGACCTCTAAAGAATAAAGGGGGAATTCAGAAAAAAAAGGAGAAAGCCGACTATTTCAAGAAAAAAATCATTTTGCCTCATTTTGCCTCGGAAAAAAATCGTGACCGGGTCACGACGCAACGACGTCATCGCTGAAGGGGGTGTCTCCAAAGCCGATCCTGAGACCCGCGAGTCGACCATTGAGCCCTGCTGTGGAGGTGATCCTTGAAATATCAGAAATCCTGGAGTTTGTCGGAAAAAAAACACCATAGATATCCATAGATGTTGACATAGATGTGTATGATGTGTTTTGTTGGATCTTAACATAGAAATAAATCGAAATCCCATAGTTTGTCATCGATTGGAACATGAACTTGCATTCACTGGTGTAGCCGCCATTTTTGGACAACCGCGGATGCGAACATGCTATCAGCGTTATCAACCAATGGTCACCAATGGTCACCAATGGTCACCAATGGTCAATGGTTTGGATTGGCGGTTTGGGTTGGCAATTTTGGTAGCCAGCTTGCATATGAAAATACCTCAATGGGTGAAGCTTACTATGAACTTTTATGAACCACTGAAAACAATTGGGATGAGAAGCATGAAAGACAGCCATGGACAATCCTGAGCACCAAAGTTCAGCTGAAGACCTGACGAGGCAAAGCTGAAGGAATGCTTCGATGAAATTTCGAAGCGAAGTGGCATGATTGACTTGAGTACCTACAAACAGGTTGAAACCTCAGTCTGCAGCGCCATGATGAACAGCGCCACAGCGCTCCGTTGTTTCGGCGTTTTTCTTCAGTGGCTTCAGCCACTGAGGTGATGAGGAAATTGCAGGTGCCACTTGATGATGATCAGATGGAGAGAGTCTTTGAATCCGTTGATCGGAACAAGGCCAGGTCTGGTCAGATCGAGATGTGATGGCATGACCTTTGGACCTTTGTCCTACCTTCCAGGGAAAAACCACCGTTTCCAGAATCTTTGTCTTCATAGGTGCATAGAATCAATTTTTCATAAAAGGATATAAAAGGATATAAATTAGGTACTTTAGAATACTGTAGACTGGTGTCAGCAACCCAAATTTGGAATGATTTTCCCAAAGGTAAAGATATGTAGATGCCTAGCTCGACTAAACGGTAAAGATGCGTGCAACCGGAAGTCAATGTTTCTCAGAGTCTATTGAGTCTACTGGTTGTTGGATTCAAATCTCCCTTAAACATCTTGATTCTTGGATACCTTTGGGATGTTGAAACATGTTGAAACCACCAATCAGTCCAAATTTAGGATATCTTCAGTTTTCCATGCTCTGCTGGTGTCCCATCACAGGATGGGAAATTGAGCTTCGACGAGTATACCAAGCTGGTGATGCTGGGAATGTAGCTGCAGAGATCAATGGATCAGGTCCCTGGAACCGTGGACGCCCCTGGTTGGCTTTGCCTTGGGTCCCCAAAACAAATGTATCCGATCATTTGGGGTGTGGGGTTTTTTTCGTAGTTGATTTCTGATTTCTGCCATCTTTTTTGTTTTTTTTGTCTACTGAAGTACAATGGAACTGGTGGGTCTACCATGATTTCATATGATTTCCCCAGTGGTTTGCTGTTTTCCGCCACTATTTCCCACTTTTTTCGATTCCATATACAAGCCTTTGGATGATCATCTTCCAAAGTGGATGCCTTCATGGTTCGTTTAACAAAGATGTGTCCGAGAAAAGCACTGACCTGCTCTGTTGCGTCTATTGTGGCGGTGCCAAAGCCGCCAAAGCCATGACGCCGACAGCAACTTGAGCCCACAATGAGATCAGGATTTCTTCATCGCTTTGCTAATTATGCTTTGCTATGCTTTGCTATTCAATTCTATGACTTGACTGCATATCCCAGAGTATTTAGATGGATTTAGTAACTTTAGTACAAACTCACCAGGGTTTCAGATGCATCCCCAGTTGAGAAATCACCTCCCGTTGGTTGAAGCCCTTGCAGACCAAGAAATGCACCATTTGAACGATCCGCAAACCAGTGGTTGAGAAAATGGATGTCGCAAACCAAGACATTCATGGTCAAATGATGTCAATTTCTGTATGGTTGAGTCAATGGAATTTGATAAACGCAAAGATCGTAGACATGAATCCGCTCCTGAGTACAGCTCAATTTAATCACAGTGCAGACAGTGCAGGGCTAGTGGTAGGATTGACATTTTTTCGATGCTTGGAGTGCTGGAGTGCGATGACATCACCATTCCTTGTTCGTTGACCTCACGGTGATGGGATCGATAGCCTCATCAATGGACCTGCCTATTTTCGGCATCTTGACGTGGTTCACTGTGTGACTGTGTGACAGTTTTGAGTAGACGGATAAAGATTGACGTCTATGGATGCAAAAAAGGACGCGGGATCAAGCCCTCATAGAAAGCGAGCGCTAACTTAAGTTCCTTCAGGATGCCGATTGATCATGAATCATGACTAGTTCTGACTACTGGTTGGTGGTGACTGGAACATGGCTTTTATGACTTTCCCATCATATTGGGAACAATATGGAACAATCATCCCGACTGACGAACTCATGTCATATTTTTCAGAGGGGTAGGCTCAACCACCAACCAGGCTAGTTCTGACTAGTTCTAGGCACCCAGCTGTCCCAGTGCTGCGATAACGGCGCCTTGCCGCGGTGCTGAAAAAGACGACCTGTCATGAACTTCGTGAACTCCTGGTGCATCCCGTTGGGATCATGATTTAGCCGTTTTTTTTAAAACCGTATGTCATATTACCAGCAGATTCGATGGGTGAATTTATAAGAATTTAGATTTCGTTGGAAGGTTTCCCATGAATTCCCATGATACCCTCTGGTAATTTAACATAGCTATTGAACATGGCCATTTATAGTGAGTTTTCCCATTAAAAATGGTGATTTTCCATAGTTTTTTGTATGTTTACCAGAGGGTAACGCTTTCATTGCCGTTAGAAACCCCCATCCGGCTGTGTCGCATCCAGGAGTCAGCGCCCGCAGCGCCCCCAGAGAATGAGACGGAGAAGTAGGATGCCAAGTTGTGCAGGTTCTACAGCTGCCAGATCCAACGGGCCCCACGAATCTGGTAGATGGTTTGGAACATCTGAAATTTGCCCTAAAAACATCCTCAACAACACAAAATCAATGGAAAAAAAACACTCTGTTGAATAGGGAAATATCATATATATATATATATATCATCTATTTCTATGGGCCATTTTCAGCTATTTTCCATGGCACCATTAAATCACCAGAGGGTTTTTAAATGTCCATCTCAGTCGGGATGATACTGTGATTCCCATGGACGATTTTTTTTGTTTGGTGGGCCTTGAAATCACCAATCAGCTGTGTAGAAGATGTATAACTGTACACACATGGGGATGGGTCAAAACCCTATCCCCCTGGTGAACATAAAAATAGCTGGTAAATGGATGTTCATCCCACTAAAAATGGTATTAATCAACAGAAACTATCATTCCATGATTGATTGATGAGGGGAATTCCCCAGTGGGAACAGGCCGGAGAGTTCTAAGCTGCCCAAGAACCAGTGGAAGCCACCTTGCAGTATCACATTTTATCATGCCATTTGTACAATGGATAGGTGCTACAATAGGCATACTGATATTCTGATACACCAATATACTGCTGTATGTGTAGATCCATAGAAACAATGACTGGTTCTGTTTATATGTGTTTATATGTGCATCTTGATGTCCCTATACACATCCACCGTATCTATGTCGTATCTTTATACAGATGTGCACCCTTTAGCCATGGCATCTCGCTCAGCTGTGAAATCTGCTGGCAGTTGGTGGGACCATAACAGGTATGGCCCAGAATTCAAACCCACAGGGCAGGCGGGATCCGCGGGTTCCCATGGGATCCCCATTCCAGGCATCCTATGGCTTGGAAACACCAAAGGATCTAAGGATGGATGACGGATCTACATTTACATACATTTACTATATTTTGTCAACCCTGATGCTAAGAATTATATTTATTATAGCTGATTTTCTTTGCCACTTTCAAGTTGCTGATCCTGTTGCTGACACCTCAAAACTTCGGCAGAGACCTTTCAAGTTGAATCCTTCAAGGACATGATGGACTTGTTGACCAATGCTGCCTGTGCAGTTTGACAAAGCAAAATGCTTTCGCAAAAGTCACCACAAGGCAAAGCCTCGAAAACAAATCGCTCGCCTCGCATGTGTCCAGTCACAAGACCAGTTATTGACTCAGTTGCGTGTAGCTGGCAGAGTTGCTGTCTGCGCCATGGCGATTTGGGTGGAAATCCCCAAACACAATGGAGGTTTCTTCGAAAAATGGGGAAAATCAACCGAAAAAAAAGGGGTGACATCACCATTGAACTCCCACCAGCGAGCCCAATTGAAAAATGGCCTGCCGGTTCAAGCGGCCGCGCCGAGAAACCGGCGGCGCGGCGGGGTCTTTTCGAGTGGCCGGTGCTCAGGTGGATCGGGTGCAGTCCCAGATTCTCCCAGATCTGGGATATGGATGAACAATGAACGCATCTGCCAAACATTCTCAAAATATTATAATTTATCTATAAAGCATGGAGTTGAAAACTGGGCAATTTGCCTCTCGTATCATGGGTTTTGGGGGGGTCAAGAGATTGGCTTTGTCAATTTTTTTACATTTAAATGCCGATTTGATTGGTTCATATGCAAACGATCCAAATCTTTGAATTATAGTTTCTGAAAGCTCTGATTTTTTCAGCCTTTTTCAATCTAAACCCATAATGCATCTCCTGAATTTCTACATCGTTGGGCACTGCGAAGGCACCGTTTGGGGCAGCATGGCGCCTCCAAAGCCAAAGCAGGCTGCTGTGGGGAGGGCATCATACTCAGAAGAACAAGCACACATAGTGGAGACAAGAAGATATACGCACATTATAGAGATATATACACATAGATATCCTATATGTATATATATATATACATACATATATATATATATATAATAATGTCAAGCAACACATGAGAGGTATCATATTTGATATACCCATGCAGATCAATTTGGCGCATTTTGGCGCCATTTTGTTGGGTGGAACGTCCCCAAGCCAAGGGATACAGGTGGGCAGAGGTCATAACTGTTCTGTTTAGACAGTTCCAATGAGGTGATGGGTTGATAGAATTGGTTATCACCAGAGTTTAGAAAAAACCCCACATATCACCATTTATTGCCACATCTCAATATCACCATTTATTGCTACATTAAGCAATCATAAGCAATATCATAAGCAATATCATGCAATATCCCAGAATCTTCGTGATTATTCCATACTTATCACCATATTCATATTCCATCGTCGTTAACCTCTGGAAATCAAATGTGGCCATGGAAAATCCATTATATAAAATCCCCTATAAATGGAGATGTATCTAGACGGGAAAATCATCTATAAACCCACAACACATTGCCTAAGGCTCTCAGTGCTACAGCCAATCCATTTCTTCAGGTGGTGCCACTGCAGGCGTACAATCGCCACATCATCAGTGAGCATCTGAAGGAGCATTGCATCGCCGTTTGGATGCTGTTAATCCTCCCCTTTAAGTCTGATTTTAAAGAAGAAACTTCTAAGATTTCCACAATCCAAATGAGTTTTCCTTCAAACAAACACAGATCATTTTCCTTCAAAACAAATCTCAAACATAAAAAACCAGCTGCTTCTTTTCTCGAGCCAGTCGGATGAGTCGGACCAGGACAGGCATCCCTATTTGGAGGATATCCGTGGACACCTGAAGGCGACGCCCTGATCTTTTTTTGACAGCCGCATAAAATGATTTTATGTATGATATACATGGGATATGCATGGGAAAAACTTACTGTTGCCAAAAACAACATGGCTAAATTTAGGAATTTTGCAAGTTCAACTGGGTAAAAGAAAGGAGACAACTGGTTGTTTCTGGAGATAAGGACCATCATTTTATTGATCAAAATGATCCCAATTTTCATAGAAAACAACTGGGATCAACCATGTTATTTGATTTGGACTCAATGTTTGATTTCAACGAACAGGCTTGATTCAGCGCAGATGGTCGATGGGAATTTCTCGATTTTCCCACAAGTCATCAGGAAGATCATAAAAGAATGAAATGGGAATCACTATCCCACATTTCTCATCAGTAGTGGGCACATTATAGAAGATGGTCCCAAATTTGCAGATGGGACACACCTATAGAAAACCCTTCAATCCCATTAAATTTCCTAAAATCCCAAACACTTTCATTAAATTGAAACTGTTCCATAGATGAACACAGAGTCACTGGGAATTTCCTCCTAAAATGGAGCTACTGTACCATATAACGCAGTATAAAACCATGGTTTTGGGGATATATCATGATATTTCTCCTGAATTTTTGCCCTAAAACATAGGCCTAAAAAATGGTAGTTACCTGCTTAGCTGTCAGGTCGATGAGGTGAGCACCGCCCAAGGGGAACGCCTGTTCCCTCGATTGGTGGAGCTGCTGTCGATGCGCCATGGCGATGGATGAGGTTTTCTGGTTTATGGTCGAAAAACAGTTTTTTCCCCCTTGGGGTAACATAAAAAATATTGCTAGTTCATGGGAGTTAAGGTTAGGTGATGTTAGTTGATGTTACTTAATGACTTAATGTTAATTCATGTTAGTGAAGTTAAATGCAAACATGGATGGGATATCCCGGGTCTGACTGAAGGTTAGCTGGGAAAATCAACGAACTAAATGGGGGATTTTCCATCAAGCCATGTTTGATTACCAGAGAGTAACTATGTTAACTATCCCAAAAATGTGGTTTATTTCAGGGCAGTGTGCTCCTTTAGCCCAAGGGCGGGGGTGCACCTCTTTCACCAAGCAAATAGGCTTATTCCAGGGTGGTGAATTAGATTAAATTAGTCTAGTTCATCCAGATCAATGCATAGCCAACATTTATATAGTTAATTTGCTTCTAATAATATTGGGAAATATCATGTTTAACTATTAATTCCCATTGATATTTGAATTGAGAAATCCACTTTAAACATAGTTAAATTGTGTCAAATTGTTCCGCAATCCCAATGGTTCCCAAGGCCAAGCATCGCGGCTGAGAAGCTCGTCGAGGTCAGCGAATGCTGCAACCGTGCCAGTTTAGAATGTATGTTTCGGATTGTGTGCTATACACACAGATAATATACATAAATACATCTCTCATATTATATAATATATATAAAACAATATATATATATATGCATGTAACATAATGTTCAACTTTTGTGCCCATGTGCTCCAAAAAAGCAACCTTTCTCAGGTTCAGTTGCTTCAATCTTCAGGGCCTTCAGGGCAGTCCCAAGTCCATCGGTTCCGGTTCAGCGAAGCGCAGGCGTTGCACACGATTTGCGACCTGTGCTCTCACCAGGAGAGTAAGACGGTCGTGACTGGGCTGGAAGATGGAAGGTATGGGGATGTATGGGGTGTATATATGGGTGTATACCGTGTATACCCCAAACATGGACCCTGAAAACCCTAGGTAGCAGTGGTATTTCGTGGTCCCCAAGATATCCTAAGATTGAAATTCTGGGATACCTGGGATACCTGGGATACCTGATAAAGCAGTGGATTTCGAGGTACCTTGGTCTCCGTGGACAGTGGCTGTTTTCCGCCCAGACCGTACAGATGGTACCGCTCAGGCAATTTCTTCAGATGTCATTGCGGCAGCAACCCATTTGCTGATGCACGACTCTGTGCCCGTGCGTTGGGAACCCCCAGATGGCAAGTGTGGCGAATGATTCTGAGGACTCAAGTCTACCAACTTCGGCCATCTAATTACTGGTCCACTGGTCATCTGTGATTCTATACCTCCATTGATCCAGCTAATTGACCGAAGATATCAGATTTTCCACCATCTTCTATCCTGAATAGTGGAATGGCCTAAATGTGGTAACAGAGAAGGCGAGATCAACCGCCCGTGCCAGCGTGCCAGGGCGAGCGGCTGCACGAGTGATCAGCAGCATGCTCTTTGGCTGCACGAGTGGTAAATTTTTGTCAGGATATATTCATATTATTAATGGGGATCTATTAATGGGGATATTAATGGGATATTAATGTGGATAATTTCAGTTACTGTAACCAATGGGGATATTTTTCTGGGTATTATGGGAATATGATCCGTCATCATATATAGGGACATTATGGGGATATTCATGGGTATATCTGACAGAACATTTTATTGATGGAATGTCAATGGGTACCCCCAAAAAATCCCGGTCATTCGACGATTTGAGTATTGAAAGCCATGGTTTTGGGGACCATTTTAAGAACCCCCCATTTGGTCTTCGTTCATCCAATGATTTCTGGCGAAGCCCAGGGCGTTGCTGATTGGTGGCCGGAGTCTCTTGCCCATCGGCAGCGGACCTCTGGGAGAGAGGTCACTGCCAGAACTTGAAGTGAGTTGATGTGGGTTGCGAAGTCCGAATCACCAGTTAGGATAGTTAGGTGGTCAACATCCCATGATTTTTCTTGGGCTTTCTACACTCTGGTAAACTAACATAGCTATTGAAAATCACCATTTTTAATGGGTAAATCCACTATAAATGGCCATTTTTAATAGCTATTTTGACATAACCAGAGGGTACATCTTTCTACCATCGGTGCTTTATCGGATGTGGAACAACTCTCACAGATAGCTCGATAGCTCCAGTTTTTCTCGCAGCCACATCAGCCACAAAAAAACATGGCTGGAAAATCCATTTAAACATCAATTTTTCGGGGATTCTGAAAAAATTAAACATATTTAAACATATTTAAACATATTTAAACCTTCATCTACAGGACATGTTCATCGATTTTCCATGGATCTAACTGGGCCACCAAATCGCCACATCGCCAGGTTGGTGGAACAGTCAGGTCCAGCCCTTCCCAGGCTCGATCAACGCCAATTGGAAGTTGCGGATGGCACCTTTTTTTAAGGTACCAATAAATGGGTTAACTATGGTTAACTTATATGCTTAATTATCAATGATGGTTACTAACATTAATTAGACGCATGTGTAGATTAAGTACCATCATTAAATAGATAATTACCCATTAATCACATCAATCAATGTGTTAATTACCATCATTATCAGCATTCCCATGACATTACCATCATTAATCTTTGGATATTTCGATGGTCATATGGAGGTTTCCAATCCATGGGGGTACCAAAGAAGTTTTCATCCATATCATTTTTTGGATTTCCCATGAAATAAACTAGATTTTAATAGGATTTTCCATGAAATAAACCGTTTTGATCAAATTTTCCATGAAATAAACCATCCAGCTATTGGGGTACCCTCTGGTAATTTAACATAGCTATTGAAAATTGCCATTTATAGTGAGTTTTCCCATGAAAAATGGTGATTTTCCATAGTTTTTTGTATGTTTACCAGAGGGTACCTCCATGGACCCCCCCACAAAATATGGACATCCGAAAGGTTGGCAAAGCTTCTACTGAGCTGTGACGATGTCGCTGGCCGGGATGGTTTTTTTTCGGTTGGGAGCGCTGGGTATCTGTATCTATAGTATATGTAATATATTGTAATATGTATAATGTAATGATAATGATATATATATATATATTATATATATATATGTACACATGTATATGATTATATTTATAAATAACAGATATAATATAACATAATGACATAACAGATATAACACATATTGATATTCATGTTTTGGAGATCTCGTTTTGCGTATACCCCCAGCTCTGTCACAGTTCTGGGATGTTGTGCACAGCCAAGGAACTGGTGAAGCTGCATGTGGCTGAAGCCTTTCAGGCTGCAGGGATATGGCTAGATATGGAAAGAACAATGGATAAGTTTCCGTGGATGGGATGGATGGGATAGATGAATAGATAGGCAGGTAGATAGATGAATTGAGGGCCAAAGTCTTTTTTCTCCGATAGACTGGGCGAAGTTTCCATGGATCGAACAGACCAAACTCATTTGCTTCGGAAACAGATTGCCACCTGAATTCGGCAGCTTAGCAAGCATTGATTTGCTCAAATAGTTTGAGTTAGAATCCCATCTATAGACCAAGTGCTTGTGCTGGGCACACACATGCACCTGTGACAAGAGCAAGCAGTATAATCAACTATATCAAGGACCTGTTGCCCTATGGGTGTGGCGTTGTCTTTAAAGTCATCGCAGACTTTGAGCACAAATCTTTGAAGATTCAAATCCTTCCAGGTCCGTTTTAGTTTTCTGTTTCTTTGCTTGGTCTCGCCTTGTTTTGGAGTACCGCCTTTTGATACTTAGCAAGTTCAATCCATGTCTCTTTCACCAGCCATTGGACCTGATTTCGTCGTACTCGCAAGGGCGCTAAGCCAAACGATCAGGCCATTACCATCTTCCGTGATGGCTGCCAGCAGGCGTTGAGCCGAGATGATAGGTCACCAAAGATATGGGGCAAAACGCTGGTAGCCTGGTACCAAAACAGCTGGTTTTTATGGATGTTCATCTTTGAAACTATGTGAAACTATGGTATTTTAATAGTGTTCAGCCCCTAGTCTCAGCCCCATCTCAGTCTTTTTTCAGTGTGGCATCCAGCAAAGGAGAACAGCTTTCCCGGCTCTCCAATTCCAGGGATCCATACCGATTCCCATCTTTGGAGGTTTGGAGATTCCCATCTTCGATGCGTTTGAAAAACACACGTTTTTAAATAAACGGATGTATTATGATGTAGATTATTTGTTTACTCAATCGTTTGTTTATATATATATATATATATAATTATATATATATATAATTATATATATATAATACACATAAAGTCCATAGATTCCCCCCTACATTCCTGACATGTCAAGTTCCTTCCCCACAGGTCGTTGACCAGGGTTCCGTCTTGGGCATCACGCAGTATATGTGTGGCACGCTGCCGGACCGCGGAAATGACGCAAACGATGCCACTGGCAGCTGATGGCTGGTCATCAACCAAAATGCTAATTCAACATCTAGAGTTAATAATATAGTTAGAATACACCATAATGGTCAATAATTTTTAAGTACTACATTCTATAGGTACTATTACATACACATCTATAGTTAATAGTTTCCGTACATTACCAGTTGATAGCTATTGTTGACTCGCCTGGCAATTTACGGAAAGTTAACATAGCTATTGGAAGCCATGGCCCACAGAAATAGATGATGGTTATTTTCTGTACTTATTTCAACTTGCCAGAGGGCACAGAATATAATGATTATATCATGGGATATACCAACAACATGAGAATGATCATCGAAAAGAACATGTTTTTTTTGGGCGAAATCCAAAGATGTCAAGTCAATCTGAAAGATACAATAAGACGTACTGTGGATGGAAGAAATTCTGCACCAGTTGATAGATGGTAAACATCCCATTATTTATAGGCTTTCAACCTTCCCAAATTGGTGGTGCAGGGTTTCGCAACCATCCACAGTATCAGCCCTACCATCGGACCATCGGACTGTTGGGCTTGCAGGATCTACCATCCACGCTGGTGGCCCCAGATCGGAGCCCGGGAGCGGCGGCTGAACAGCGGTTTCGCTTGACGCAATGGCAATGACGGGGCTAAGTAATCTAAGCTGGCAACGGAACATCCCGATACTGTAGAACTATTATTTAATATCAAGAAATAAACGCGTGTATGTATATATATATATATGTATATATATATATATGTATATATATATATATCTATATATATGTGTATGTGTGTGTGTATATATATATATATATACACACACATCAATGTCATCTATACTTTTCTGTGAAAATGGGGATTTCGGATGGCCAGCCTGCATTTTCGCAGGCTAGTTTTTTTGTTGGTCAATTCCTGAATTCAGCAAGAAATTCATCCCAGCACTTTGGCCCATCTGTTGGGACCATGACCCTCATTTGGATTGGATCTATGATGAAATAATCCAAATATGAAATTATGATTGGATTATTGATGAGATTATTTCATCATAGATCCAATCCAAATTTAATTAATCATATATAATCATATGATGATGAAATATAGGCCCAAGCCCATGATTGGATTTTTGGATTTTTTTGTGTTGAGCCTCCATGGCGACTGCTTTTTGACCTCCCAGGCGACCCCTGGCCCTTTGCCTCCTGCGACTACTACAGACCATGGCAGCAGCTGGGGGCCTGGGGGGCCTGCGGCTTCACCAGTCCCACCAAACATGACATATGAAAACATAGCTATTGAACATGACCCATTTATAGTGGATTTTCCCATTAAAAATGGTGATTTTCCATAGTTTTTTGTAAACGTTTACCAGAGGGTACATATGACATCATCATGACCAGCATGATGTATCCCAATTATATGATATTATATGACATATGTATCCACATGTATCCACATGAAACAAATCCACCTATTCTGGATGTAACACTGTAAATTTAGAATTGAGAAACATCTCGCTGAGGTGACCATGTATGCCAAAGATGGCATGCGAGACATCTTTAGCCGGGAACCTTGGCGACCCGACTGCTGGTTTCAGTTTCAGTTTGACTTGGTGATGGTGTATGTTTTTTTGGTGCCTCAACTATTCAGACAATATTGGGTTGAACTTTCCACTCATCCTTGATTTTCAATGATTGAAATTACATCTTTGATTTTTCATGATTTTTACACATCATTTTACTTGGTTATGTCATGTGATACCTCCATTCTTGGTAGATCATCACCCCACCCCCCCGTGAGGCACTGGTTTTGGCCTCATCGGAAAGGTGGTGAAATTCCTCGGGTGCCTTGAAAAATTGACAGAAAGCTGCGGATGGCATTGCTGCGGATGATATATATATATATGTAGATACACAACTAAATATACATGTGTATATATATAATTATATATATACATACATATGTATACATATTGTGAGTGGGGTAGCACCACTGTGACAAACGCAATCTCAAAGCCCTGCAATGAGTTCTTTTCCACCAGCGATCGCAGATGCAACTGCGTCTCCAAGCTTCCACCAGCAATGCACCCTGTGCAAAAGGGAACGGCCACGTTCCACGAGAGCCAGTTTGGCTAGCAAGACACGGTCCACATCCACTTCCCACCTCTGGCGTACCCTGAGCCAAGTGTCTCGGCAAAAGATGGTTTCCTGAAAGGCACATCGGTTGGATTGGTCTTGATGGGACCTGGATTGCAAGGACCTAGTGTCATGGTTCTTCTCAAAGAGCTGATATGTTTGCAAATCACATTCCCAAAATTTCTTTTTTATTGGTTTCATTCTGCTCTTTGAGCCAGCGAGCCCGATCTTTCGTTTTGGCACGTTCTTTCAAGGTCGAGGCTTCGTCCACCAGTCGGTATGTTCCTACGCGCAAGGTCTCTCGAAGAAAGTGGCTTTCCATAGCCTTTGTGAGGGCATCGGCAAGCTGTGCCCCTGAATGCACCCAACGCAAGGATATGTTTTCTTGGAGAGCTTCCTTTATGGCGCGAGAAACAAGTTGAACTCGAAACTCAGCACATGATGGAGGTGCAGTTCTGGTTGTGAGATCGTAAAGGCTTTTGCAATCTGTTATGGCTAAATCAGCGGTTTGTTTGAATGTTGGTGCGGAAATGGCTGGTGAAAGCAGTTTAAGGGTTTGTTCAGGTTTTCTCCATTCTGTGTCTGGGTTGTGGAGCCAGGACCAAAAGATTCTCAGCCAAGCGAGTTGATCCAACGCGGATGCAAGCGAGGTGGACTCAGCAGCAAGGGTACTTGTGACCACTCTCTGTATCTTCTTGCAACCCCATGAAATTGGACTGATCGGGCACTGTTTATTCTCGCTGATATCTTTGTGGGTTCCAACTATGATTACACCCGAGTGTGAGTCTGGTTTCTTGCTTGACGAAAAAGAAGCGTCACTGAATGCCATGAATCTGAAGTCCATTGTGGGAATAGGCTTAATGATTATGGCAACATCATGGTGATGCTTTGCTTCATGTAACAAACGGTTACCCTCAAGCAATGTGTCCACGGTCGCACTGTTGATGGCTGATTGTAAAAATGAAAGTTTACTGGCAAGGTCAGGTCTGGTGTTTGTTGATGCGTATTGGAGACTTCCAATGAGTCCTCTGAGTGCAAGTTTTTCATTGTCGGTGACTGGACTGGTAGTTTGTGTTTTTCGATTGACATCAATAGTGATTGGTTTAATCTTTCTCACATACGCGGACTGACTCAAGTGGATACTGTTATCACCTCGTTGAGTTACCTCTATCCCCGTAAAGGTGAAGGCCTGTGTTTTGTGAGAGCCAAACGGGAACTTCTTTTCCAGGAGTTTAATCTTTTCTTGATAAAACTCGTTGCCCCCTCCAATTCCATCATCCACGTGAATGCCTAAGACCCCAGCCAGAGCCCCTGCATTGGGTTCATTTGGGGGTATTCTAAGTACAAACAGACATGGATCAAAAGGAGTGGCCACAAAACCCAGTTTATTCAGCTCGGTGACAAGAGCACAATACCACAGGTAGGGTGCGTCAATCAAACCATAGGCCCCTTTATTAAGCTTACCAACTTCCCATGGTGACATGTTCATGGCTTTCCTGATCTCACTGACAGGTTCTATCCCAATAACCCGATCGGATTGGGGAGTTCCCTGGAGAAAGGCGGCACGGATGTCAAAACTTTCAAGTGACCAGCCATTGCTGGCGATGGCTTGAAGCAGCATCATTCGGGACGTACGGTGAAGCGTAGGACTATCTCGAGGGATCTCCTCAATTTTTGGGTCCAAGTATCCTAATACAACCAGTCGTGCTTTTGCTTTGTGGGTGCGCTGACTTGGTGTTGATATCTTTTGAGAGCTCTTAGGATTATTTGGATTTGGGGATTCTCCTACGGGGTCTAATGGTTTCCAGGTTAAAATCCATCGGCATCGTAAGATCTGGTCCTCTGGGATTTGGTTCCGTAAGACCTTACTTAGCGTTCCCGTCTGAATCCAGTTCTGTACTTCTGCTTCCTTGGCTTTGTCGAATTCGGCCTTTTCAGATGCCGTAAGCTCTGACAGTCTGATCTCAGTCCTTTGTTTCTTAGCATTGGTGGCTAAGAGTGTCCAGGCCTCACCCTGATTCTGTGGCATTTCATGGTTGGAATTAAGGCTGACATCAAACTCACATCGCCAGGCAGCATTTACATCCGATGCAGTGGTCTGAAAGACCCAGTCTAAATCTTCACAAACCAGAAGATCGCTTTCCTGAAGTTGTTCATCAGGTGGTGCACCATTGATCATCGGAGTAGCTTGGCGTGAGCTCTCAGGTTCATGATCCGGTTGTGGGATCGTCTCTGAATTGCTGTTAGTTCGGGAAACCTCTGAAGTCTCACTTTCGGGTTGGTTATGAGGGTTATCATCTTCTGGAGGATTACTTGGTGGGAAGTCTATTTCATGCATTTCAGGAATGGGAGGTAGTTGGTTATGGTTATTTTGATTTATTCTGTCAATTTGACGGTGAATGGTGGTGAGGTCTTCCGGAAGTTCACTGCTTTCATCTGTGCCTTCTTCGGGAAGGGCAAGTCGAACATGCTCTGGTGCGCTGCGGAAAAGTCTTCCCCCTTGAGTGCTCCATACTGTATGATTCCCATCTTGGATAATGGTTTTCTGGGGTCCTATCCATTTGGGGTTTCCCTGTTGTTCCGCTCTCCAGATCATTATCCACTGATTGGGCTCATATGTTCCTCTGTTGGGACATGGTCGCCTCAAAACTGCTCGGCGAAGCGTGTTGCTGTTGTCTGCGCTGTGGAAAGCACGTCGTGCACTCTCTCGAATTTCAAGCAGGTTCTTGAACTCTTGAACACCTATTTCATGATCCTCCCGCAGGGCTAGTTCATGAGAAGGCCTAGATTCGTCGCTTAATATGGAACCGGCAAGTCTGGAGTGTTTACCAAAAACAATGACTTCTGGGGCGTATCCATGACGAATGCTCATAGAATTCTTGGCATGAGTGCATTGGTTCAAAGCTGTCTGCAGTTGGGGATAGTCATCGATCGCATGCTCCATGTCTATCTTTGTCAACATGTTTTGTAGAAACCCTCCATGTCGCTCTATCTTTCCCTGCTGCCAGTGTGCTTCAGGTGGAATTGTCAGTTGTTTGATACCATATCTCTGAGTGAATGTCGTGAGGTCATGTGAGTTCATTTCGGTTGCTGAATCTACTTGGATCATATTTGGTGGTCCAGCCCATGAGATCCAGTGGTGGTCTATCAGGCGGATGAAATCATGAGTGTCTCGGGAAGGTGCGCACACTGCCACATGATAGTTTGACCCCGCATCCAAGAAGTGATACAAGTGGAAACTTTTCCCCTTTGCATTTTTCCAATTAATCCCATCTATGTAAACTTTATGGTTAAAGTCTAATAGGGGCTTAAGGGTTCCTGGACGTTGGTGTTTAGGGGGACTGCATGCGGCACAGATGTGGCACTTCAGCTCTAAAGCTGCCTGCACAACTTCTGCTCGGTATCCTGCGACCTGGAGTGCTTTTGACAAACGATCATTGGAAGGGTGGCCCAAATTCTTGTGCATGTTCATGATCTCCTGTTGTTCCCACTTTGGGAGTGATCTGAATCTTTGATCTTGTTGACAAACGATCATTGGAAGGGTGGCCCAAATTCTTGTGCATGTTCATGATCTCCTGTTGTTCCCACTTTGGGAGTGATCTGAATCTTTGATCTTGTTGTTTACCTAGACTTTCAGGAATCGTGCTTGGCACTTCAGGGCTGACTTCAGGCAAATTTGGAGTGCTTCGCTCCATCGTGATGTCACTGGCATTCCGGGAACTGTCATCAGCTGTCGTGTCCAGCGATGTCTGCATGCTCTGTTGGGAACCATAAGGACGGTCGGCACTTGCTGCTGAACCAGACTCTCGGTTTTTGGGATTTTCAGTGGATTCATGGTTCTTGGCAAACATCGTGACATTGATGCGGCATGGGTGTGCAGGTCGGATGAGCTGCCGTTTGGATAATCTATCCCATTGTTCCCAATACCGTTCGTATTTGATTTCCCCCGTGGTTCTCATCAAAACCAGGCTACGACGAAAAGGTGCTTCTTGGGGACTCATTCTTTCAGGGGGACCCAGAGTTCTATCGGTGCCTCTACATGCAATGACCCTCATGATCTGCTTGTCATCAAAGAGCTCTTGGAGTTGATTCAAGATGACATGGTCTTGAATCTCCTGTCGCCCTACCCTAGGAAGTGTTTGTCCAATCGCATTGATGATTCCTTGAAGAACATCTTTGTCTGGTGTTACCTTCTGTTTACCTTCGAGTCGACGGCGTTTGGACAAGTTTTCATCCCGAGATTCTGGCATGATCAGTTCAGATCTAGCAAAAGTCAGCTTTGGCCGTGGTCGTCGGCTGTCGGCAGCATACACTGGGTTCATGGCTGTGCAGCATATGCTTTGTGACTTCTGGCCCATGATCTTTGCTACAGTTCTAGCAAACTTCCGGGGATACACTGCCGTAAACTCAGTTCTAAGCATTGATCTTCCCTGGACGATTGTTGTTCCTTCGATCGGTTGGTGTTCGTGTGAGTGATCACAGACCCTCCCATGAAGCAGGGCATACATCTTATCATCCGTAGTTAAGATTACCATACCCTTTTTCATTGATTTCCCGTTGAGGGGGCATTTAAGGTCGCCTACCCTACACATGTCAAACTGGCATGCGCGTGTATAGGCATGAACCTCTGCAAGGCCGGGATGAGACAGCATCAGTGATCGGGCTGGCTGTTCCCAGTGGAACTGCTGTCCCTGCATAATCTGGTGTCGGAACAACACAATGCATAAGGCAATTTGGTACAACAACTGCTTTCGGGTCTGTTGGTATGCATCATGGGCTTCTAGGGATCTAGAAGCATTCAGGTTTGACCAGGAGGACCAGGGACCACAGTCTGGGCTTACCCATATATGTCTGGGCCGGTGTCTGGCGATCAGGCTAAACAACTTGGCACGGCCACTCACTGTTTCTAGATCTCCCTCGGCTCTCCCAAAGCGATGGGCATTGCGTTGTAGCTGATTCATCTGGTGTGTCAAGGGAGACTTTGGACTGCAGAACACTTCTAACAACTGGCTTGGTGAACCCATCGGTTGGATGTGTTTTGACTGAGTTTCAAGTTCACGTTCGAACTGCTGGATGATTTGTTTGAGGTGAAGGTGTTCATGTTGCATGAATGTTATAATGTCGGTGTCCCAGTCCTCTTTCATCCTAGATGAGGGCTCTCCACATCGGACGTCTCCTCGATGGGGATCTGCTGAGCTGGGTGAGTCTGGCCCGCAGTCATCTCGAGGTGGTGAATGACTCTTGAGAGAGCATTTTCCAGGTGCAACATCCGTTGCTGCATTGCCTCCACATTGGGATCCGAGCTCATAGTCCCCTGGGTGTATGTCCCGGGTTCCAACGCCCATCCGGCGTCCTCCATGTCCGGCAAATGGATTGAACTTTGGGACAAAGGTCGGGTCTTGGCTTTTGCCGCAATCATCCCTGGGCTTGGGCCACCCGCTTTGGCTGAGCTTTGGACACCTGAGGTTGTCATGGGTAGGCTGCCTTGTGGAACGACTGGAATTGGCATCTGGTGAGCTTCGTGGTAATCCAGCTTCAACTCCACATATCGTATGAACCGACGGTGGGCTGTTTTGGTGCTTGCTCCATAGTGCTTTGTCATCCATGACACCCACTCTTGATCCTTCCACGTCTCGTGGAAGCTCTGGCCACGGTGTTTCTGACCAAAGTCCACAAGCTCCGGACCCAGCTCTTCCAGTGTCAAGTGGCTGAGATCCTCCACTTGCACGGCAACCTGAGTCTGCATCTGAGACAGGCGCTGCGACAGACTGGCCATCTGCGACAGACTGGCCATCTTCGACAGTTGAACGGTCAAGCTCAGGCAAAACACTGGGACGAGTCTGAACCACGGACTGTACATCGAGCAACTTGGCTGTTTGTTCATTCTGCATGATGGCTGAATGGGGATCTTTCTTCATTGCCTGTACCTGTTCACCTGAATATTCTTCGGGATTCTCATCTTTGGGGTTGGTACGCATGGCTGATCCTACCCAGTTCGGCTTTTGGGACTGCAACTTTTCGGCATCTTCGGACACAAATGTCTCGGCAGGTGCTGTCGGCTGCATTGGAGAAAAGGCTGGGCAAGGCTGACATGCTTTGGTAATGTCATTCAGATTGATCAGAAATAAACCTTTATTGGAAAGATTAAGTTTCACTGGTTGCCCAAACATCGGACTCTGCAATTCCTGGCGGCGGCAATCGATGCTGGCATGCAACGCTCTCATCAGAGTATTGCTCAACAAAAACGGGGTTGCTCCAGGAACAATGGCTACCTTGAGCATGAGATTTCCAATTGGAATCACAATTGCTTGGCTACTTGTCAAAGTCCCTTGATTTCCAAACCTGAAGGTTATGTTGCATGGGCAGCGTCGAAGTTGGCCCCTGGTGGCAGAGTCTAAGTGATCTATGAGGCTTGCGACTTGCTCGCTTCCTATCACTGTCTTTGATGCTCCAAGATCCAGGATCCCACTTGCTCCATGGGTAGCAAAACAGATGTGGGCATCAGGTGAATCAATCTGACAACTGTTGGCTTTCGGATCTGCTACAACCTTGGTGGTTACCTGGAACCGGGATGCAACAGCAGACTTGGACGGTTGTTCAAAAAAACGGCGGTTCAAAATGAACCTGCTACTTGGCTTCACAGCTGGGTCACTCCTTAGTCGTGCACGGAGGCGGTCTTTGGCCGACATTTCAGGCTTCTCCCCCTTATTTCCCAAATATTCATTATGAATGTTCCCATCATAAGGTCGAGACAACCGCTTACCTATGCTACGATTCTCAGTAGTTAACCCAAAAACGGATACTACATGTGGCCATGATTCATCTACAGGGCAGTGCGAGGGCAAGTCATGATCGTCGATGGTCGGCAATCCTAAGAACTCCAGAGGCAAAGCTTCATCTGCACCTGAGCTTGCAAGATCGGTCACCAGCGTCGTTGTTGGAGCAGTGCTACTACCGTTGCCACTCATACCAGACTGAGATGTTGTTCCCCCTTTGTAGGGGCATTCAGCTTTCCAGTGACCCCGGCGTCCACACGCCCTGCAGTTGCTCTGTAAAATCCGGTCTTGTAAAGTCTTGCGACCCTTGCCAAACTTGGAACCCTTTCCAAAAGACTTGCCACCACTTCCTGAAAACTTACCCTTGTTGAACTGGTTGGAACCCTTGCTAGTCGGCCAGAAACCCCGGTTGCGATATTTCTCTGACAACCGTCGGCGGGCTTCCATGTAGGCTGTAAAAGCTTGAGCCATTTCCAGGTCCTCTTGGATTACGTCCGAGGCTGCTGCCTCGAAGTCAGCAATCATGGCTGCATCCTCATCTTCGCCCTCTGTGATCAGCGTGTCCACAAAGTCTTCCTCGGTCATTTCATCGGCTGCTATCAGCCCATCGGCTGATTCAGGCACATCTTCCACCGTCAGAGCATGTTGATCATAGACCTTGGTCTTGCCACGGCGTTGACCTGTCATGTCCATGAAGAAATTTGCTCCCAACATCCGAATGGCCTCAGAGACCTTTTGGCTTGTCAACTTCCCTGCACTATCTCGGTCAGACTCCAAGATCACGCGCTTTTTGTCCTCTGGTGTCAGAGAACTTCCTCTGAGCACGATAAATGCCTGAAGATCTTCCAGTGTCAGTTTCCTAGCTAACAAGCGACTCCAAAGAATCTCTGACCGGGCTAAGTATGAATCATTGGATTCATCGCCTTTCTGTTGGCAGTGGTACAGTGCTTGTTCGGCTTCATCGAACTGTTTCTCCAAGGGAATTCTCCGCCAGCTTCCGCCCAAGAGAGATATCAACTTCTGTATCGAAGATTCATCATTGGATAGCAGTTCTGACTGATGTAATTGCAGTTTCTGAAATGCAGAGCCTTGGCAGTTGAGGATTAAACGTGTCACCAGTTCCACGTACTTATCCTTTGGCCAGGCTGCTGTCACCAATTCGACTTTCTGCTGGTAAATCAGCATGTCATCCTTGGCCGGGTCAAAGTGAGGAACTAGGTAGGCTAATTGGCTCGTGACCTGTGATGTCGATGAGCCAGCTTCAGACCCACTTCCAGTTGGCTCCGGCATGGAGTTGTTTGAAAGGCCCTTGGATACCCCCCTTTGCGGGGGGCTCCGCTACCAATGTGAGTGGGGTAGCACCACTGTGACAAACGCAATCTCAAAGCCCTGCGATGAGTTCTTTTCCACCAGCGATCGCAGATGCAACTGCGTCTCCAAGCTTCCACCAGCAATGCACCCTGTGCAAAAGGGAACGGCCACGTTCCACGAGAGCCAGTTTGGCTAGCAAGACACGGTCCACATCCACTTCCCACCTCTGGCGTACCCTGAGCCAAGTGTCTCGGCAAAAGATGGTTTCCTGAAAGGCACATCGGTTGGATTGGTCTTGATGGGACCTGGATTGCAAGGACCTAGTGTCATGGTTCTTCTCAAAGAGCTGATATGTTTGCAAATCACAACATATATATATATGGGATACATATATATATATACATGGAGATACTTATGAGTATATCTAACCGAACCTCTTGATGGGAATATTGATGGAACATTCATGGGTACAAAAAGATCTACACACCATTGGCGTATCCAACCAACTTCATATTTGGTCATTGAAGAGGGAAAATGATGAACGAGTGGATGGAATGGGGTATCCACGTGTGACCTACAGCGATGTACCGCACCCCCATAATGGCTTATTCTTCGATTTATTATACCTACCTACATACATTACATTACATTGCATTGCATTGCATTGCATTGCATTGCATTACATTACATTACATTACATTACATACATACATTAATACGTTAATACATTAATACATTAATACATCAATACACTAATACACTAAAACACTAATACATTAATACACTAATACATTAATACATGAATACATGAATACATGAATACATTCATACATTCATACATTCATACATAGATAGATAGATACATAGATACATAGATAGATAGATAGATAGATAAATAGATAAATAGATACATACATACATACATACATACATACATACACACATTGATACACTAATACATTGTAAACATTGCATACATTGCATACATTGCATACATTGCATACATTGCATACATTGCATGCATTGCATGCATTGCATACATTACATACATTACATACATTGCATACATTGCATACATTGCATACATTGCATAGATTGCATACATTGCATAGATTGCATACATTGCATACATTGCATACATTGCATACATTGCATACATTGCATACATTGCATACACTGCATACATTGCATACTTACATACATTGCATACATTACATTGCATACATTACATTGCATTGCATACATTGCATACATTGCATACATTACATACATTGCATACATTGCATACATTGCATACATTGCATACATTACATACATTACATACATTACATGCATTGCATACATTGCATACATTACATACATTACATACATTGCATACATTGCATACATGGCATACATGGCATACATTACATACATTACATACATTACATACATTGCATACATTGCATACATTGCATACATTGCATACATTGCATACATTACATACATTGCATATATTACATACATTACATACATTACATACATCGCATACATTGCATACATTGCATACATGGCATACATTGCATACATTACATACATTACATACATCCCGGCGGAAGGGAAACCGCGCGAGCGTTTTGATTGGTTGCTTCCAGGAGAGTCACAATCACCTGTAATTTACAATATAAAATGCTCTTCCGATCAGTTTGGATAACTGAATTTGGGTTTAAAAAAAGTGGATGCAAAATCTATTGATTTTTAACAAATCCAGGTAAACATCATGTGCATCAGACGTGGATGCACAGATTTTTTTTCACACTCTTCGTCGGCTCAGCGATCCATCAGTGTGGAAGCTGTCTTCGACAGCAAGTTGCCATTATGGCACTCATATCCCAGAGATCTCAGCAGCGTAGCAACATGTCACGTAGTAAACGATCCCAGAGATCTCAGCAGCGTAGCAACCTGTAACGTAGTAAACGATCCCAGAGATCTCAGCAGCGTAGCAACATGTCACGTAGTAAACGATCCCAGAGATCTCAGCAGCGTAGCAACCTGTAACGTAGTAAGAAAGTCCCAAGGATCTCAGCAGCGTGGCAACATGTAACGTAGGAAACTATCTCAGAGATACCAGCAGCGTAGCAACATGTCACGTAGTAAAAGATCCCAGAGATCTTAGCAACATCGCAATATATCCTGTACGAAGTACAAGGAAAGTTAACATGCCCCCCCACCCCACCCCACCCCAACCCCAACCCACACTAGAGATCTCAGCAGCGTAGCAACACGTAACGTAGTAAAAGATCCCAGAGATCTTAGCAACATGGTAATAGATCATGTACGAAGTACAAGGAACGTTAACATGCCCCCCCACCCCAACCCACCCCAACCCCAAGACAAAGAGCAGTACTCAAAAAAGAAGCAAAACGCACGTACGGTTTTCCTGCCGTAGGCACATACATGGCATACATTGCATACATTGCATACATTGCATACATTGCATATATTACATACATTACATACATTACATACATTACATACATACGCATATCCAAACATGTTTAAAAAAACAGACATGAGAAATAAGCAATTGGTTTGTACCTGACCAAGCGCCAGCATTGATCAAGGTGGTAAATAACGGCATAGCGTGAATACCGTGGCTGAGGAATGTACCCATTGACAAGCCAATGCCAGGGCGCCAGAGTTTGAGCGGAATGCGGCAATCGCGGCAATCTGGACATGTCTGGACATGGTGGTTTCAAATGGTTTCAATCGGTCGAGCAATGCAGCTTCAAGATGCTTCAAGTACTGTTTTTTGTCGATGTAAATCGAGTTTTTAGGGGCACAATTCCACCATGTCACCATGAATTACACTTGGCTTCTTTGGGCCATCATTGTGCCATCTCTTGGTGACAGCGACAGCACCGTCCGTTGTTTTGTGTCACAGTGGATGACCTGGCAGCGAAATGCGGCTGCGAATGGATGCCCTTCACTGATCAACTCCACTTGGATGACTTTCAACAGCAAGTCGACTTGCCACCATTATCCATCCTTAAACTGGAACGAGTGTAAAATTTCCAATTCACCAGCAAGATTTCTTACTTCTGTTGGGTGGTGCCATCACATCCATCAGCAATCTTATGAGATAACCAGAGAAATCCCACATCGAATCCAATCGCCATGGGCGCTGGTGGATCAGTAGTGGAGGGGCAGTTGGTGGATGATGCAGGATCTGAGAATGACGAAAATGCCACTTGGTTGCCTTAAAAAGTAGGACTTGGAAACGCCGAGGATGGGCTATCTGCAAGTACTACATGAGGATGATAAATATGATCAATATATCTATGATTCTAATTGGTTCTATAAGTATATATACAGTGTATATACTGCTGACATGTACACACTTGGTCGTGTTTTTCTACGTATCAATATACTCATCCATGATCTGGTTGGGAGATTGCCCAGGAACTCATGGAGTGCCAGGAGCCGTGGCAACCGTGGCAACCGTGGCAATGGGTGATGGGAATTTCACTACCCACCTGTTTTTGGTAGAGATTTTCAATGGATGATGGGAATGTGGACTTTTGCATCACCATTTTTTCCAAGGGTTATCAAGTGTTGCTCAGTTTTTGCAATTCCATGTGTGTTCCATATTGTATATTGATCTACTGTGTCATCATCTAAACTTCTTCAGCTTTGCATTTTTACCCGTTTTTCTATTGGTTTCACAGCCCCGTGATATCCACGACATCAGGCAGGGGCCCAGGGGATCAAAATTGTCACCCTCTGAGATTTCCAACCCAGCGATTTCTCCTGGCTAAACCACCCATGTGTTGATGGTATTAAATCCACGTCTTTGACAACAAAATATCCCCTTCTTTTGAATAGAGTTATATCAGTTAGTAATGAAAATCAGATCCGTTTCCTTCAATTTGGTGGATCAAATCCGTAAAAATCGCAAAGACATGCCATATTTCATGGTCATATATGTCATATCCCCATATTCAATGGTTATATCCCCAGATTTGAAGGTCAACTCCCCAGTTGTTCCTGGTCTCACCTGGTCTCACCTACCACGACCTTTCGCCCCTTTCGCCGTGAGGATCCCAGAGGCCCAGGGGACGGTGCGGGACATTCCCAAGCCTCGCCCAGACCCTGTCGCGACTTTCTGAAAGGGAACTGCAGGTGGGGACGCTGTTCGCTGGTTGAAAATGGGGCTGGGATTTGATGGGCTTACCTGGGCTTACCTAAGAAAAATATGGTGATATTCAAGGTACTTAGCCTCTGGTAGTTTGTTACTGTTTGCTATTGAAAATGGTGATTTATAGTTGATTTACCGAACTTGTGATTTTCCATAGTTATGTAAACGTTTACCAGAGATTAAATGAGGGATCCCCAAAATGGATGGTTTATAAACATTATCATCATGAATCTTTGGATATTTCAATGGTCAGGTATGGAGCTTTCCTAAGTCATGGGGGGAGCTTTCCTAAGCCATGGGGGTACCCTTAGTTTTCATCCATTTTTGTTTGGGATTTTCCATTATAAACCATCCAGCGATTGGGGTACCCTCATTGTAGGAACCCCCCACTTGACGCTGTTGAGCACATGTCGAAAACTCGTTTTGCGTATCCGGGCTGAGATTTTTGGAAACTGACATCACCTTTCCTTTTTTTGGGATCGAAGCCCCAGATTTGAAGCAACGATGGGAATCTCAAAAACAACTAATATATATATATATATATGTATATATATATATTATTATATATGAGGAATGTAAACCTCGAGAAGTGAGGTTTCTGGTTATTTTGCCAGGTATGGTGATCGGTGCCGATACTCCCATGAGAATACCGGCGCGGAGCCTGCGGAAAAGAGGCCATGCAAAGAGTTTCTCAAAGGACACTGCAAGCACTTTGCCTGCATCGCCACTGCATCGCCAGTTTAGCTTCAGAATATCTTCAAACTCTTGAATCTCATTGAATCTCATCGAATCTCATTGAACGTGCTTGAACGTGCTTGAACATGGCAAGACAATGGCATTGACATCTCAACCATTGTTGTCATGTTGAACCGAGGTATGGTGACCGCTGTCGCTATTCCCATGACCCCGGTGGCAGCCCTGGTGACCGCGCCCATGTTCCCTGCCGGAACTTCGAAAAGGGCTTTTGCGCCTTTGGCGACCGATGCAGGCGCACGATGAAACATGTTTCTCAGGTCAAACAGGAGATATTTGAAGAATTCAAATGGAAGATGCTGCAAGAAACACAAGTAAAGATATATATATATAGATATCATTTTTTGGTTCGTATGCCGGTGTGATCATGCTAACATATGGAGGGTAATTTAATTTGGGAATATATATTTTTTTTGGGGGGGTATTTTTTTTTTTCCTCCTCTCCTGGTGGCTTCTGTGGCTCCTGGTGGCTCCTGGTGGCTCCTGGTGGCTTCTGGGGCTCCTTGTGGCTCCTGGTGGCTTTTGCGGCTCCTGGTGGCTCCTGGTGGCTTCTATGGCTCCTGGCTCCTAGAGCTCCTCGCTCCTATGGCTCATTTATCATCTATCGATCAATCTATCAGTGAAGCATGTTCACCAGGTGCATGTTGTGCATTAGATACACCTTGAGTATCATCTATCTATCTATCTATCCATCCATCCATCTATCTATCTATCTGTCTATCTATCTGTCTATCTATCTATCTGTCTATCTATCTATCTAACTATCTATCTGCCTATCTATCTATCTATCTATCTAACTATCAAACTATCTATCTACTTGATTCTATCTATATCTATCTATGTCTATCTATATCTATATCTATCTGTATCTATCTATTTCTATCTATATCTATCTATATCTATCTATATCTATCTGTATCTATCTATATCTATCTATATCTATATATATCCATCTATATCTATCTATATCTATCTATATCTACGTATCTATATCTATCTATATCTGTCTATATCTATTTATATCTATCTATATCTATCTATATCTGTATCTATATCTACATCTATGGCTGTATCTATATATCTATATATCTATATATGTATATATTTATCTGTATATCTATATCTATATATATATATCTCTATATCTCTATATATTTCTATATATCTCTATATGTATATATATCTCTATATATCTCTATATATCTCCATATATTTCTATATATATATATATTTATATCTATAGTTATATCTATATATCGATATACCACTATATATCAATATATCTGTATATATCTGTATATATCTGTATATATCTCTATATCTCTATATCTCTATATCTATATATCTATATATCTATATATCTATATTCCTATATCTTTTAATCTATATATCTTTAAATCTATATTTCTTTAAATCTATATATCTATATATCTATCTATCTATCTATCTATCTATCTATCTAAAAGGTTTGCATTATCATCCGGATGATATTCAAACCCCAAGCCAACCCTGAACCAAAGCTTATATAAAGAGATCTTAAACCAACTCGATGATAACATCAAATGAAACTATTGTGCATCGTTGTGCCTTAATCTACATTCCACATGTTTCCAAGGTGCATGCCGTGTAGTATATACACCTTAACTTGAGTATCACATTCAACCCAGCACCTTGCATGTGAAAATAGGTGTTTCCAATCTGCTTTGGGGGGGAGGCGCTGCGCCCTCCCCCCCAATCCCCCCCTCTCCCGCTTTTTTTTTATTTAAATTCAAACTTGCACACATTTCAATACACTAGTTTGGTTAGACTATATATATATATATATTGTATATATATATACATATGGTTGTTTATATACACAGCTTTCATCCCAATAAATTGTAAATAATCATGTGCATGCATATGCGTCCACAAAAAATAGTTGTTTGTATGTGCATGTTGTATCCCAAAATAAACTGTAAATAACCATGTGCATGCATATGCGTCCACATAAGTATAGTTATTTGTATGTACATATTGTATCCCTAAATAACCCCTAATCCAACCCTAAACAGACTCTAAACCAGCCCTAAAGAAACCTTAAAACCAACCCTAAAACCAAACCCGGCAGATATATTGATTACACTTGTAAATACATTGATCTACATATGCATATAGTCATGATTAGTCATGCATGTATACCTACATCTATCTATATCTATCTATATCTATCTATATCTATCTATATCTATCTATATCTATCTATATCTATCTATATCTATCTATATCTATTTATATCTATCTATATCTGCATCTATATCTACATCTATGGCTGTATCTATATATCTATATATGTATATAATTGTCTATATATCTATATCCCTATATATATATATTTCTATATATTTCTTTATATTTCTATATATCTCTATATATCTATATCTATATCTATATATATATCTATATATCTATATATCTATATCTATATATCTATATATCTATATATCTATATATCTATATATCTATATATCTATATATCTATATATCTATATATCTATATATCTATATATCTATATATCTATATATATCTATATATCTATATATCTATATATCTATATATCTATATATCTATATATCTATATATCTATATATCTATATATCTATATATCTATATCTATCTATATATCTATATATCTATATCTATATATATATCTCTATATATATATATATATCTATCTATATATATAATATATATTTATATCTATATATCTATATACCACTATATATCTATATATCTGTATATAAGGTTGCCTGGGAAGACGCTTTAGCTGATTCTGAGTGGACGCTACTGCTCCTCCTCAGCCCTCTCCCCCATACCCCCTTCCTGTTTTCTTATTGAGGAAGGAAAGAAAATGTTAGGAAAATGATGAAAAACCAAAGAAAAAGTAATGGAAAACGAGGAAAAGTGAGGGGAGTGAAGGAAAACCAATGAACAACTAAGAAAAAATAATGGAAAACGAGGAAAAAGTGAGGAAAATGATGAAAAACCAAGGAAAAGTAATGGAAAACGATGAAAAAGTGAGGAAAATTATGAAAAACTAAGGAAAAGTAGTGGAAAACGATGAAAAAGTGAGGAAAAATGAAGGAAAACCAATGAAAAACGAAGGAAAAATCATGGAAAACAAGGAAAAAATAATGGAAAACGATGAAAAAGTGAGGAAAATGATGAAAAACAAAGGAAAAAGTAATGGAAAACGATGAAAAAGTGAGGAAAATTATGAAAAACCAAAGAAAAATACTGGAAAACGAGGAAAACGTGAGGAAAAATGAAGGAAAACCAATGAAAAACCAAGGAAAAGTCATGGAAAACAAGGAAAAAGTGAGGAAACCGTGCCCACGACCAAAAAAAAATAAAATTCCCAAAACAAGAAAAAAAAAAATCCCCAAAAAAATCCGCACCCCTAACATATTCCAACCACCATCTTGCCAGGTATGGTCATGACGGAGCCGGTGGTCCCTCAGCGCTTTTTTTTGGGCCGCCTTAAATGAGATGTGTGACATGGGGATGTCACCAAGAAATGGGAAATTCTAAGTGTTTTAGAACTGAATTGGTAGGGTTTAACACCAACTTCTAGTGAATGATGAATAGCTAAGTTGGTTTATAACCTGGTTTATTTGGCCAACTAGATACACGGTGGAGATTGAAACTAAGCCAAGGCCCAAACACTGGGTCTCATTGCTGCCCCAAGCGGTTACCATATTAATTGGCCTTGTCTGAAAACATTCCGATAGTTGGGATAGTTGATGTTTGATCATCATCTTTCCATCATTTTCCCACGTTTTTCCCAAGGAAATGGGGCTAGAGTCGGCTAGAGCGTAGAGTCGGCTAGAGCGTTTTTGTCAGTCCCACTTGTCAGAGCCATTCTTCCATTTTTCCATTGAAAAAACCCAGGCGGCGGAGATTCATCAACGATCCACATTCCGCTGAACTCGGTGGCCGAAAAAGACAAGCGCGAGCAATTGAGCTTCGAGGTACCGGAGCTTGATGTTGGGATGATGAGACGATGGAATTTCATGGGGGCTCTGGTAATTCCATGATCAAAACATATTAATGTGATTCAATGTGATCCAAAAATGATGGTGATTCTCAGCAAAAATGGTTGTGAGTTGGGAGTAAGATGTGGATCAAGAAAGAAACTGGAGATATGACCTTGAAATGATCCTTTGGGTGTGGCAAGCCATGGATTTCACTACCAGAACCCACTGCGTGGGAAGGTGAAACGGCTTCAGGTCATTATGCTTGTGGGTTTTGAACCACTTCTTTGCTGATGAATCGATGTGGATAAATCTGCAAGTTGGTGGATAAACCTGAGTTTTGGTTGGTTTCCCCATTCTTGTTGGTTAAAATCAGCATTTGAGCGGATGAAATCCCAATCATTGTCCCCCAAATCATGATTGACCCCCTATTTTTGGCGAAACTCGATCTTGAGTGACTTTCAGAATGTGTTTACATTTGCTAAGATACATCCCAGTTTTGCACTATCCCCATGTTCCATCTGAACAGTTGGACTCTACTTCGCAGGAAGCCGTTCAGCTCTTGGACTCTGCTTTCGAGCAATCCACGACACGGTTGCCCGTCGATGTGACTGGATGGTGACCAACAAGTGCTATGATAAGTATGATATGGACAGTGACCATATGAAGCATCACTTTTTTAAACAAATTAGATCGTCCACTTAATTGAATATGTGGCCAATACGAAAAATCTTGTGGTCCTGTTGGTGACTGGCGAAACAGAAGCCAAGTTTGAACTGGAGCTATCAAGGAGTTGGGGATTAGGATTATCCTACTTATTGAGCTGGTCAAAATGTTCATTTTTTCTACCTCCTTCACCAGGTCCGTGAAGCATCTCACTTCACGATTTTGGGGCTCAAAAATATGGCCCACTATGGACCACTTATATAATATGGATCATATTATCTAATAAAGATACGCAGAATCATAATACTTAGTATAAAATCATATTATCTGATCTTCTACTAAGTATCTCTATCCATTTTTTTTTCTCTCAGGCACATAGTAACTCGAAAGTTGCGGCCTTTGCATCTGAATTCCAGTCACCTCTGGCTCATCCCGCATAGTCTGGACCAATGTGCTGGCCGTAACTTGCCACCATGGCCTCTATACATATATATATATATATGACAAAGTGCTATATTACATTTATGAATCACCATTTTTTATGACGATCTCAGCGTGTGCAGGTTGGAGGCCCTGGAGTCGCAACGAACGGCCTTGACCAATGAGGTCCAAGCCATGGAGCCTGAGGAGATGGGAAGATGGGAAAACCACAAGTTTTCCACGATTTTCCAAGGGTACCCTCTGGTAAACATAGAAAAAACTGGAAAATCATCATTTTGTAGCTAAATCCACTATTTCCATGGCCATTTTCAATAGCAAACTGTTAGTTTACCAGAGGGTACCATATATGGTTGGTGGTTTGAAACTTTTTTATTTTCCATATATTGGGAATAGTAACCCCAACTGACGAGCTCATATTTTTTAGAGGGGTAGGTATACCACCAACCAGATGGTGATACCGGTGATACCAAAAAAAAGAGATCATAGGGTAAGCATGGCAATTTCAAAGATTTTCATCCCGGATGATAAATATATGTATTTGGAGATAGGTGAACATCATTGAACATCTCTGAAATTGCCATATTGGGGAAGATCCATAAAATCCATTTATGACTTATAGGGTATCTACAGTAATAGGGTAGAGTTTGGACACAAAGCCCTGTAGAGTAAAGATATGATATGCATTGATATGATGTGTATAGATCTGGTCATGGCCAGATGCCGTGATTACATATGCGGAGCTTGATCTGACAGACTCCCCCAAGTAATGATGTGTATAGTATGATATGATCTATGAAATAAATTTCATTATAATTGACATTTAATATGATATAGTTTATTGTATACATACGTACTACTATTATTATTGTTATTGTTGTTATCATCCTCATTATTGTTATTACCAAGTTGTATTACTGGGCGGGGAACAACTCCTTTTTATGTAGCTTACGAACCCCTACCCTTAGTATTACTAAAGTATTGTGACAATTGTTGATAGAATATGTATACTGTATGTATATATATATAAACTTGTATTCACAGGGTTTAGAATTGCGGGGAGTATAGGGAATAACTAATACTACAGTATTATTGGGCATTCGCTGTAAGAGCAGGGGTTTAAGGGTTTATATTATATCGTAACCAGCCCATATTTTGGTTCTTCCTGTAGATTTTACCTGAAACAAAACCATTCACATTCGACACGTATCTAGCACTTCAACGCTAGCTACGAGGGAGCGTGAGGGAGCTAAGTAGCTACGGTTGTCCATGTTACCTATAAATAGGGGAGCCAAGGAGCTAACACGACTTTCCAAACCACACCAATCACATGATAGAATATATATCCCCATCATATCCCAGTGCACCCAGTGTATCCGCAATCTTAATCCGTATAAATCCTCAGTGATCTCCATAAATCCCCATTGATCCCTATGACATCCAGTGCGTTTTCCAACGCTCCCAGGAGAGGACGAAGAGTTTGGGCATCGTTTGGCAATACGCGGGTCGCGGCGGTGGCAAGGGCCGGGGAAGAGGAGATGCTTGGTCTACAGTATACCCGCCTGCCAAGGTAGTACCCGGAGGAAACTCATCTTCCAACCCCCAAATCTTGGGGTCTATGTTAATATACAGGAGGGTAACGGCACACTATAAAGTAATATATTGATAGAATTGTAATGAGATGTATGTATGTATATCACGAAAGGTAGCGTCAGCTACCTGAGTTCTCCGTGCTTCAGCACAATCATAGGGGGTATTGGGGGGCCAGCCCGTGGAAAACGTAGAATTCTCGACTTTATGTATTAGATATCAATTATAAGGGCCCCCCCCTCCCCCTCTAAAATGGTCATGGGTTCAATTCCCACGGGTGACGCGGTCACGGTCCCCCACAGTAGAGGCACACTCTCCATGAGGGAGATGTCCCTGTAGTCCAGCATAATTGGTTTGTTTCAGCCTCAATAACAGTTGCTGCAAGGGGTCTTAAAAAGGGGTTTTAAATAAACCCCTTTTCGTGCATCATTTCACGACGCTGCACAAGACACCGTATCATGCAGTCATGCTCTGGATAAAATCATCTTAGACTGCGCAAAAACGTTTTTGGTGTATCATCTTAGGGGCGCAGCATTTTGACACCACTCCTCTCCCACTACACTACCTTTCGTCCGCCTCCGCCTGCTCTCAAGTATATATATATATAATTTGAATACTACAGCAGTTCTATTGTGAATTGGCAATGATGATTCCTATTTACTCTATTACTGCAATATATACCATATGATACTTATAATAATGCTAATTGCATATACATATATGGATAGATAGATAACTAGACATATCTGAAATTACAATAATATGTATTCATATATACATACACGTGTGCAATACACACACATATATATATATACATACACGTATCATGTGAAGAATATGGACAAGTGGATATCAACCAATAGATTTTCAACATTTGAAAACAAACGTGTTCATGATTCTACAGGTCTCCTGTTAAGGTCCACACTCGTCACCGGCACCAAGGATCATCCATGGCATGAGTTCAGCCCAACAGACAGTGCACATGTTGAGGAGGCCGTCGGAAAGGTCATGGAGCACTGAAGAAAAGGGATATTAATCAATGGTTATATAGATCAACAGCAACATAATGAGTAATGTAATCAATGGTCAATGCTAGTAGTTCATATGGAATAATATCAATATAATGGTTAATGTCACTATAATGGTTCATGTCAAATGATTTTTAATTTAATGGTTAATGTCACTCGAATGGTTAATGTCAATTTGATGATCCAACAATAAGATATTGAGAAACAAAGATGTCGATCATCCATCGACTAAAAGATGGGCCCAATTCCGTTCACATGAAGCGGATTTTCATGTCCAATTGCATCCAAAAGCACCTCGGCAAGTGTACTTTGGCTTTCTGGTATCGTAGCTTTCCGAATCATCACATGAAGTTTGAACAGAATATAGAAAATATAGAAATTGATTCATGACCAAACTAACCCCCCAAAAAAGTAAGGCATTTCCGCACAGCTCTTCTCCTTCCCCGGCTCCAGGCCTATCAACGCTGGGAAGCCGGAGGCAAATCCAAAGATCCGGAGCAGTGTCGTGCTGAAATTCACCTGGAAGGCACTTCCGCTGGATCCTCCGGGGATTATCAATGGGAATTTCAGGATCCAACAGATGGAGGTACGTAAACGTACCATATTTCAGGCCATATTTTGTGGGGATATTCCCTGAAATTTAGGCCTGCCAAATAGGCCTTATATATGGTAGGTACCTCCAATTTAGGTTCCTGAGAGGGCCAGTGAGATTAGTATGGATTAGTGTGACGGGATTTGTGACTTGTTTCAGTGGATAGATTGGATATTTTTTTTCATAGGGAAATCCATTGACAATTTTCATGGGGAAAATATGTTGGGGTCGCCCATTTTGAGTGAAGATGGTAGTTTCACTGCTTTGGCTGGTGAGTTTCAGATAGCCAAGTCCACTAGATGAAAACTGCCTGCCCAAAAACACATCCTCCAGAGGGTGTATGTCTGAAAATGGGGTATACCGGTATACCCATAAAATTGGCCATTTAAAGGGAAAGTGATGAAAAACCAGGATTTTTTTGGGGGGTAGCGCATTTTCAGACAAACACTTGGGAAGATATGTGTCTTTCTCAAAATTGCACCAAAACCATTGATTTTGCAATACAGAAACGACCTGTTTGATGATTTCGAGGTCCCCCAGCAGATTAGAAAACCACTTCTGTTGACACAATCAACTTCCTAGCAGCCTGAAAACCAGCTGCATGGATAAAGCAACCCATTGTTGACCAACCACCTGGCTGGGTTTGTCTGAACATGTTTTTTTTTTTTCTCCCACGTCGCGAGCATTTTCAGTTGGATCTGTTGGATATGAATCCAGCCTTTTCGGAGACAAGCTGGGAAGCTGGGTTGAGTGGTCCAGGTGGCATGGATATATCAATGGACTTCCATTTGGGCACCCAGATGACCGTTGGTCCGGACGCCTGGTGATGGACTTGACTTGACTCTTTTCCCCTTCTTATCCTCGTTGAAACAACGCCAAATATGGTATTCTACGTCAATGTTCGTGATATCCTGTGATATTCACCGTGATATCAACCGTGATATCCCCATTTCACTTGGTTTTTGACACCCCATCGACTGGTTAGCGCTCTCCATTTCCAGGTAAAAAGGCTCGGCGACGAGTGCAGCGGAAGGAACTTCCATCGAAGGCTTGAAGGGGGCTGGTGGATGTGGTGGATGCGTTCTTGACGTGGTTGGTTGGCTTATGTGGTTATACATATGGCTATGGATCAATACCTATTAATACCATTTTTAGTGGGATGAACATCCATAAATCCCAGCTATTTTGGGGTTCACCAGGGGTACAGGGTTTTGACCCATCCCCATATTTGTACTACGCTATGCAGTATGTATGTATATCATATTTGCACAAATACACATGGCATGATACGGAACAAAACATCGATGGTGCAAAAGTGCAACATATACCATTCGAGACGATATACACAAAATTTCCAATATAGCATATATGAACCTGGACCATCCACATCCTTTGAGGGCGGAAATCCATGGAAATCCCTCATGAATGAGTTGATTGTCTTGGGGACTTCCAAGGCACAGCAGAGTTGCCAGCCTTTCTTCGATGAGGCGCTGTTGATGTTCTTCATGTATCATATGGGGGTTTCATAAATGGGGCTACCCGGTACCCCAATAGCTGGATGGGTTTAGCATGGAAAATCCCACACAAAAATGGATGATTTGGGGGTACCCGTAATTTCGGAAACCTCCATATCACTATTTCTATGAATGGTCCACATCTCATCTTGGTTGGAGAAACTCAACTTTGTCCTGAAAAATAGGGGGGAAGTATCTCCCCAAAATCGGTCAATCAAGAATATTAATGGGTAATAATGGGTATTAATGGGGAGAAAAGTTGGATATTAATGGAGATACTTCCCGCTATTAATATATAATAATGACCATGGTACATTAATCCAATATATATCCATTACGGGATATGTAATGGGTATTAATGGGTATTAGTCCCCTGCATGGATGGAAGAAATCCTGCACCAGTTGGTATATGGTTTATCCCCTTTTAATCCCATTATTTACAGTGTTTCATAGTTACCTAACGCCAAATGGTGCAGGATTTTGTCTATCCACTGTATTTAATGGCTATTTCCCCATGATATATAATCATAATCATATATATATATATAATAGTCCCCAAATACCCATAGTATTTCCCATAGTATTTCCCATACCCCAAATACCCACTGTATTTCATGGCTATTTCCCCTATGAATTGGAAGAACTCCAGCAGGTCTTGAGCATCGTGGGCGACGTCTCGGGCCGTTTGGAGAAAGTCTCGGGTCAGATCGCTGGCATGGGCATCGAGGAGCCCTGGGGGTGTGAGTAACTGGAATAACTGGAACGAATCACCTGGAAAAAGCTGATTTAGCGGATTTAGATCACGGGAAAACTGGGATTTCAATGGATTTGAGATTATGTAAACCACAAAAGATGCACACTCAGTCACTCACCCACAATGGAGGAGTTGGACCACAAGAAACTTGGATTCTGCCGCCTTTGGTTGTTTTCCCGTCATCGGATTTCCTGAAGAGCTCCTTTCTTTGGAGCTGCTCGCACTTCCATGGGTAATCCTGATGGTATGAGTCAAATCTGAAGATCCATCAACCGGTAGATGTGGTCAATTCTTCCTGTTGAACCAACAAATCTGGTTGGTGGTTGCACATTTCTTTTTGATTGCCCATCCAACGACAATGGGATGATGATCTTCAGGTGGTTTGGCTCAAGCTGTTGCTCGAAATTTAAATGATCAATCCCAACCCCTTTTTTTGACGTTTGCTTTGGTCCTTGAGAGCTGCATGTGCACTGTATTTTGCGTTGCCAATCCATATTTAGTGTGTGTTTGGGCGAGAGCACATTCACGGATCTTTGAAGGACATTCGTCAAAATCATGGGACATCGCTTGAATCTTCATCTTCCAACCCTGCGCTTACACAATTTCAGACGGATGTGGAGGTTACGGAAGAGGAGGGCGAGCCTTGTGGGTTGAGCAACTTTTTCCAGTGAAAGACCAGGCATCAAATGGGTCCACTTTCCGATCTACAAGCATTTTGGACGATGCCGAGGTTGGGATCCAGTCGGCGAGTCGGCGTGGCAGCTGATGTGGAACCGTTGCCGGCCACAAATTGAAGCTTTTCGGCATGATGAACAGCAAATCCTGGGAGCAACTTGGGAGCATCAGAGTGGAGATTGGCGATCAAGATGTGAACTTCTGGAAGAACATCACTGGTTGGTGGTTTGGAACATTTTTTATGTTTCCATATATTGGGAATAATCATCCCAACTGACTAATATTTTTCAGAGGGGTTGAAACCACCAACCAGATCAAGACGATGTATCCGGAAGGTTTCGAGATTCTTCTGGACGATTCCCACCTTCCATTAGTTCGTCACTTTCGTTCACATCTGGTCTGCTGTCCGGCCTGGTGGCGTTGAAGTGGATCTTGGGAGGACACAAAAGCGCAGCGGGTGCCCCGGACAAGTCAGCCAGATTGAAGGTGACAATCTGGGGAATTCAGGTTTCCCACCTGTCCAGGCTTCCATCACCAAGCAAAAACGCACCTGAAAGTCTTGGTCACGAACCCATCCTGAAGTGTAATTAGCGGATTTGGCGAGTAGCACAAACTTGTTGCTGGCTGTACGGGACCAAGGAGACCAATGCGAATCCCAAAATAGACCGACAATGTGGATAAAACAATCATAAACCATCCCCAACTTCGCCATAAATAGCTGGTATAAACCATTCCCAAATGGCTGGTTTATGACATTGTTTTACCCCCATTACCCATTTTGTGAGTGGCTGCCAGGAAGCACAGCAGAAGGAGCTGGAGGGCAAATCTGCCAAGTGCGTCGAGGTTTGCAGTTCGGATTTCTTCCAGAGGGGTGGCAGATTCACCATGTTTCACCCAGATCATAATCCCTCAGGTTTTTTGCTCTTTTTTTGGGGGGTTACAGGGGGGGGATATGAGTCTGTGACGATTGATAAATCAGGGTTGGGCGGGTAATCCATTTAAACAGCTGACCAATTTGAAGAACTATTTTGAGGGTAACCCCTCCAATTCATATATAGTTGGAGTGGCTTGACATGGGTTGACATTTCACCACAAGAGCAAACATAAAACAAGGAAGATTGTGACCAACCATTAGGTTTCTTTGAGGCCTCGCTATTTTAGGTCACAGTTTCAGCTGATTTCCAGAGCTTCCAAGTTGAGATGAGCCTGTCGTGTTTATCGTTGGGTAGCTCTGTGACAAAAGTGTTTAGATGCCAATGTCTCATTGGTTCACTCACACAATGTATATTTTTATATATTTTATATCTATACATACATCAACAAGTAAATATATAAGTAAATCGATCAAGAAGTAACCTTGCTTCTGTACTGTACAGTAGGTTTCTGGATAAATGATATCGACCTAGCAGCGGCGAGCTCGTCCATGCTTTTGTTGCCTGCGAGCTTTGGGGCAAGGGGATCTTACCTTCCAACCACAAGCGAAACTAGGCCTTGCGGCCAGCGGTGACCACTTTCTTAGAGCTGTCCTTGTTCTGTGGAGCGACCCTTGGCGTCACGCATGTAGGTTCCTCGAAAATTGGTGCGGAACTGGAAAAAAACATGGGATTTAAGTGACACAAGTTGGAATATACACAAGAAAAATGGGGATTTGCACTTGCACCATAAAATAATAGATAATGGTGTAATGATATGTTCCAAAGGATAGCTACAGCCAATAGACATGCCAAATCGTTTGTTTTGGTAGGCGGACACCCAAATTTTGGAGATGCACATATGCTTCGTGGCATGCAGTTCCAGTCCAAAGAATGGCTGCTGTAGTCACAAGCAAATTGTAAATTTGAAAGGGAAGAACTTCCGGAAATTTCAAGGTTTTCAACTTGATGCTGCACCCCAGTGGCTTACAACCCCAGTTGTAGCTGTACCAAGCCATATCATTTAAATTTGTACCTTGGGGTTACTACCCACTGGTGTGAACCACCACAGCCCTGCATCGCTCTTACCCAGGAATGCGTCTATGGAAAAACTGGAGGTCAGGAAGTGACAAACGGGGCACCCAGAAATCATTACACATAGATTCTGCCTCACACTGAATCATGATCGTTTTTTTTCCAGTATAGATTCAGTTGGATTTCTCCTTCCGTTTATTTTTCTCACCATTATTAAGCACTATTAACATCTATTAACCATAAACAATCCATCATAAACCATCCATTATCACTTACATTGGAATCATATTTTATCCAACCAGACCTGCCATCGTGCAGGCGGTTCTGGGTGAAAAGCCTTCGGCCACCCTGGGCGTTGCGGCTGGTGGAAGAGATCTCCGCATGCAGACCGTGCTGAAAGCGGTCAAGGAGGCCGGCTGCAGCCCAGATGAGTAATGGCTAGTTCGGGGTGCGGATTCTACTTAGTAAATAGGCGAACAAAACCAGTTATATATACATATATAGATATGATATATGGAAAAACTTCTATTATATATGGGATTATATGGGTTGTATATTAAGCCCGTGTTGGTTGGTATATGAGACACCTGTAGTTACAGTTAGAACATGTTAGAAATATCCACTACTGGAACTGCACTTCCAGATAATGGCTAGTGAGACAATGGTTGGCTTGGAATCACTTAATGTGGTTTATTTACAAGCATGTTTTTCTCCCCAATATCGTTGCCCAATATAAAACTGGGGATGGATCAAATCCGATCCATACGCCAATGGGTCCACCCTCAACCACCAGGTCTAGACTGTCTTAGCCAATAAAAAAAAGGATGCTACTACGCAACAAATGACAAATGATGGGGATATATTTCATAAATGATGCTTGGTCAATGGTTAAATTGGTTGAATCATGAAATCATAGTGAAACTCTGCATGGCTTAGGGATGGTTTTGGGCACTGCTTCGATGGTTCAGCAGTTGACGAGATCCGTGACAGCAACCCCCACTACAACTACGACAACTACGAGTTGCTTTGTAGTGGGTATTATAGTTGCTGTACAGTTCGTGTTCTAGCCTGTCGTACTTCCTGTTACAACTTGTTATACTTACTGTCTCATACTCTGTCATATACCCTCTGGTAATCTAACATAGCTATTGAACATTGCCATTTATAGTGGATTTACCCATTGAAAATGGTGATTTTCCATAGTTATGTTAGTTTACCAGAGGGTACTTACTTCAATCTGCTTGTTGTGCTAATCTGCTACATCAGCACTCTAAGCTGTTGATTTCCGGCCGCAAAACTTGTCCTGCAGAGGCTTTCCAGATCCGTGCCTATGGCAAAGCTTCTGCTGATGGTCAGAGTCCATGGCATCAGATCAGGCCTAAAGTGGACTCAAACCGATAGGTGGTTTCAACCATTTTTTGTTTAATGGGATTTACACTCTGGTAAACTAACATAACAATGGAAAATCATCATTTTCAATGGGAAAATCCACTATTTCTATGGTCATTTTCAATAGCAAACTGTTAGTTTACCAGAGGGTAATGGGATTGAATGGGAACTACCCTTTGGTACTCAAACATGGCATGCTGGAAAACCACCCATTTAGTTGATGTTTCCAGTGAAATGTCCATATTTCTGTTGGGATTTCGACCAGCCATGTTTGGTTACCCTCTGGTAATGACTAACAGTTTGCTATTGAACATGGCCCATAGAAATAGTTGATTTACCGAACTTAAAAATGGTGATTTTCCATAGCTATGTTAGTTTACCAGACTTGGGATGGTCGAGATGACCAGCCAAGGGATCAGCTGATCAGCTCCAGTGGGATCGCCTGTCAGGCTGCTGGTCCAAGCCACTCGTGGTCACTCGGGGAAGAAATTCTACGATTTGATCATGATCAAAGTGCGATTGGCGATGGTCAAGTTCCGATCGGTGCAGCCCCCAGAGCCGGAAATCATGGGAAAAATCATCGCTTCAAAAAAGCTGTGAAGATGTGTGAAGGGCTCCGAAACTGCGCAGTTCTGCACTGTTCATGGTCGCTATTTTTCTTGGATTCACATTGCATGATTTTTGGGAATCCAAATTCTCCAGCATTTTGGGATGGCTCTGGCTACATCACTAGATACCCAAAAACAGCGTCAACCGCATGAGGAAAGCTTGGAAATCAAGCGACGCCACGCCTTCATGTTAGCCGGCACCTTACTCAATGAGTACAGCCACTTGGACCCAGGATTTGAGGAAAACTGCCAAAATCACCAAAAAAAAGGGGAAACTTCAGCGACAAAACTGGGACTTTGGAACTTTTTTTCCAGGCTATGGGCTGAAAGGTGATCAGTATCCTGCAACATCACCAGTCATTGGTCTGTAGGGCTATTTCGAAGCTGTTGGGAAAGCCACAAGATCAACTTGGTGAATTGGGGACCTCAAAAATCCAAAAAAGTGAATACATTTTTTTAAAGTTTTTTTGTTGATTTCAGAAAATTCAAAAACATATTGAAATTCCCAGAAAGAGAGCCGAGAGCCGGACATAGTTTAGCATTAGTTTTTTTTTGATACATAGTTTAGTAGTGAGATTCTTGTTTTAAATACATAGTTTAGTATTGAGATGCAAACGTTCAAATAGTACATAAAGGTCCGTCGCACATAATATACATATATATATATACATACATATATACATGTGAAGTTCATAGCCACTTGCTGGCACCACTTACTCGTTTGCCCAGTTGCAATCGGAACAGACTCCCATTTCTGGCATCATAACCCAGTCATCAATCGCAGTCAAAGCGATCCAATAGGTCCAACCAGCGGTTTGGCTCGGGGGGACAATCGAATCCCAAATAGAACAGTGATAGTTGATAGATATACACTGGTTGGTGGTTTCAAACATGGCTTTTATTTTCCATAATATATGGGACAATCTTTCCCATTGACTTTCATATTTTTCAAGACGGTATAAGATGGTTAAAACCACTAACCGGTACAGCATATGGAATGACATATTCCAATAGATATATCTATTCAATAGACGCAGACCCATTGTATGGTCCCAAATACAGCATGTGTCTTCATCCCAGCAAAAACAACATGGTTTCTGGGGGGTGTTTAATATGAAAGTGGAATGGGACTAATGTTTATCTTTATTCTTTAACAATATTCGTGATGTATATGTAATTATATAATCCATCAACTATTTCACCAATGATCCAATAGATATAAATAGAGTATAGTAATCGAATAGTTCGATGGTTGGATCTATGCCCCCTCAACAAAGATGGTTTATTGGGGGAAATTCCAAGATATCAAACCATGAATCCTTCGAATATGAACAGATTAATGGTCCGATTGGGAAAATATTAACAGCATGCTTAGTGACCACCCTCTGGTAGTCATGGCAATGGTAAATCCTCCATTATGGATGTTGCCCAGTATGATTCATGTGGGATTTATCCCATTTTTTCGACAGTGGGATACGATCAATTAATCACCATTAAATTATTATCCCCAGTGTTGTTCCCATCCCATTATACTCCCATAAAATCATGTTATCCCACTTTGATCAATTCCGAAAATTCCCATTGTCCTATAATCATATCGCAGAATGGAATAGTAATATAGTAATATATATATAATGATATCCTTACTATGAAATTTATAGATGAGATTGTTATCATACATGATAAGATTTGGATAATGGGATGAGATAATGGGGTTAATGGGATTGGATTCCAACATCATGGAATATAATCCTATGATCATTATCCCATTATCCCATTATCCCAATCAATTATATAACCCAACAATACCCAACATAATATCAATTATGATATTCATTGATATTAATATCCCAACATAATAATAGATAGAATATCCATATTCCCAATTATCCCAATTATCCCAATATTTATCCCATTGTTTATTAGATATTTATCCCAATATTATGATTTATCCCATTATATCCTAATATTCATCTCAATATTATCCCAATATTATCCAGATATTTACATCTATATTCCCAATATCCCAATATCTATTGATTTATAGATGTTATCCCAATCTCCAGGCGACGAGGACTTCCAACGTCGCTTCAGGGGTGAACTCTCCAAGCTCTTTGAGGCAACGGCCCGAGTTTCAACGAATTCAATGGTCGAGTTTCAACGCTTCAAAAAGATACGAAAATGGTGAATTTCCCTGAAACAAAATGTGAAACATATGTGAACATCTGATTAAATTTTTTATATGCACATATCTGAAAATGATGATTGATTTGTGTTTTTCTGTCTCAACATGAGATTTGTCCACCAATTTATGACAACTTGAATGGGAAAAATGATGATAAACAGGAAATTCAACTGCAATAGCAACTTTCACTGGGCCGGACTAAAGGGAAATTTCGCAGGGGACTTGCGAGAGTCATGAACCAGCTACTAGCTGGGACAATACTCCAAGTAGGGATTGTTGCCAGGTAATTTCACCTGAACAGGTACTGGTAAGTTATCTACAAATGGTAAGTCATCTTCCAGTACTGTGATGGTTATATGAGCAATCCATCATTTTTTTGGATTTCTTTCTGTGAAACTTTCAATACATAGCCCCCGATCAGGAGAGTCCTTGTTTCAGCACCAAGGCTACCTCACTTGGTCTGCTCTTGTACAAATATTTTGTCGTAAGTCATGGGGGTCAAAACGAATGAACGGGTTCTGTTGGAAATCATGTCCCCCCTTTCTACAATTGGCTTTCTGTTGAAAGAATATCAAACATCGGGTCAGTTATTTGGTAACTCATCCCGCCGAGCCCCAGTTTGTCGTTGGCTGATGAACCACCTATTCTGGATGGCTACCTGCGGCTACCTTTTAACATGATTCGACTTTTGGAGTTGGGTAAATGTTCCCCTTTTGTTTTTGTTTTCAAGCCCCGTAGGATGCTTACGTTATCCTTGTTGGAGCAGCTGGCTACAGGATGGCATCACCCAAGCGATGCAAAACCAGATGAGCTTCTCCACGGTGAAAGCCATCCTCTTTGCGGCCAAAGCGATGCCTTTTGGCGGATGGGCTTCGTGATAGGCTTGCCCTTAATAACATATAATAAGATCAATGAGGAAACTTCATGAAACATCATGAAAACTCATGAAATGACTTGCAAATCATTGATTTGCATTGATATTCCATATCCACCTTAGTTTACTTTGACTACCATCCTCGCACGGTGAACATTGGAACCAAATCCTAAGGCGCATCGGAAACTTCGGGAAGCAGGCTGGGTCCATTGCTAACCTGCGATTTTCTCGTGAAAATGAACGACGTAACGACAGTGAGAGATCATGACTGATCATGACCATGATACTACAATATACATCAATATACTACATTTTTTGGACCTGGGGTTTCAACAAACAGCCGCATTTCGCCGCATCGATGCCACGCTTTTCGACTTCGGAGATCCCGGAGATCCCGGAGATCCCGAGCACGTCCCAGGTGAGCGAATGGTTGAAGAAGCGGCTGAAGAGCGCGCTGTCTTCCAACCAACCGTTGGAAACCACTGTGGAGCTGGTCCAACAAGCCAAGGAGACCACCATTTAGGATGACAAAAATAGGAACGTTCCATGGGACATTTGTGAAGATGCCCATTTTTTCAGCGGGAAATGCCGCAAATGACAAATCTTTAGTTGATTAAAACAGGAAGATGCACATCTTTAGTGAAAAACATGCTGTTAGAGGAGGATCATCTACTTGTATAGGGGATATTGTCATGACAGTGTTAGACTACCAGAGGGCCACCCTCCTTGAGCGGTGATATTTTCCACTAATGGGCGACATTGCCAGATATCTTTATTCAATCAACAATTTCCATTGAACAATCCCCAACCTTTTCATAGAATTGGATGATGGGAAAATTTACAGGAAACCCCTATATTTGATGGTAAAAACAATGGTTTCCTGTAGATTTTCCCTTAAACCAATCCCTACTAAAGTTTCTTGGTTTTGTGCTGATCCCGATTTTTGTTACATCCCGATCCTCACCTCATTGTCCCAATTATCAAATTCATTTCACTTAATACGAGAAACTATATACACATCATATATCCAATTATATTGTTATTACTATTACTTATTCTTCATTCTCACGTATTATTGTTACTTTTATATACTTATATACTAGTATTACTTATCCATCTATATATATATATATATTCATATCTTATACCCTCTGGTAAACTAACATAACTATGGAAAATCACCATTTTCAATGGGAAAACTGACTATAAATGGCCAGATGGTATTCCTTGTTTTGTTGGGATATGCTCGTCATTTGCTCCAGATCGCCAGGACTTCCCAGATGTGGACGGTGGGAAGATCGTGAGGTCCGTGCAACCGGCACTGATACGCAAGTGCCAGACAGCCATCCTGTGCCTAGGCAGCAGCGGTCACCAGCATGGATGGGGGAAAAAAACACGGCGAGATTTCTATTATTATCTATGGGTAATAAGTATCTACTATATATATACTTATATATTATTATTATTATAATTATTATTAATATACGTATATATAATATATACATGATATATATATATATATATTATATACATGATATATATATATATATATATGTACAGTATTTGTATATCATGGGAAACAAAGATGAAACTGGGGCTGAAATCATAGGAGGTTTCATGGTTAAAGAACCATTGGGGCTTGACGTATCACCAGGGGTTTTCTCGGAATGCATTGTTTCAACCCCTTTTTTTTGTAAAAATTAGATTGTTCGATGTAATCAATCAGTAATCCATATTGATTTCGTTATCACTAGATACTGGGCAACAACCACCATGAAATGATAGGGTGATTTGCTGGTTTTTATATTGCCTTGGAACATATTCAAACATACGTATATATATAATATTAAATATATACATGTATAGAGTGGGTATACATAATAACTATAACATACTATACATTTGCATATATATATACGTATACATATTTACTGTAATATATATAATATATATACATATTATATATATACATATATTTAATATATATATATATACATATTTGATCTATATATATATATGTATACATATACAGTATATACATATATTATCTAGTATATATATACATATATTTAAGCTATATATATACATATATTTAAGATATATATGTATATATATATACATTTAATGTATATATATACATTTAATGTATATATATATACATATATATATACATATTTAATATACATATATATATATACATATTTAATATATATATATACATATTTAATATACATATATATATATATACATTTAATATATATATATACATATTTAATATATATATATACATATTTAATATACATATATATATATACATACACATATTGAATATATATATATATACATACATATATTTAATATATATATAATATACACATTATAGTAGGTATCCAATGTGTAGACACTGGGTATTTCTGGAAGGATGGGGTGGTCCCGTAGGAAGGCACCGAAGTGCTCTAAAAATGGAGCGACTCCATAGGGGTGATCCAAGCCATTCCAACCCTGATTTCCGCAGGCAAAAATGGGAGTATGAAGCAATGAAACCGTGGCTATTTCACCGGAAAAACAACATGACATACCCTCTCGTAAACTAACATATTTATTGAAAATCACCATTTTTAATGGGTAAATCAACTATAAATGCCTATTTTCAATAGCTATGTTAAGATACCAGAGGTTATATTCAATATATTCAAGATGTGAGATGAGTGACAGTTGATGTGAAAGAAGAACGTTGGATGAATGTTAATCGTTCACCGAACATGGAAAAAATCGAGCCTGCGGCAGACGATCTTTCAGCCTCATCACTTTGGGTCCATGGATTCCGGCCAGGTCAAAGACCATCACACCAGCGCAGGTGAATAAGATTGGTCTTTTTCAGAAGATCTTGGGGCCAGGGAACCCAAGGGAATCCAAGGGAACCCAAGGGAACCCAAGGGGATGTTGGATGGCTGGGATAAAAAACCACCGGAGGGGTTTTTCATGAGAGTGGGGAATCTAAAGGATCGAACATGAGGACTGTGATATGTCGAATATTGAAGGAGTTTGCATTGGCCAAAATTGTGAGATAGAAACGAGATGTGATGAGTTTGAATGTTTCGTTTGTTTTGGGACTTTGATTCTCCCATTGGATTTTCCCACATCACTAGGGATCACCGGGGTGAACCCCGTGGGGCCCCGGCCCAGGAAATCCTTCGACCAAGCCCTGTTCCAATCATTGGAAGCCAGCTACGATGAACATCGAGCAGCTTGGCATCGGGCGCATGGCCCAATGGCCAGCTTCCGGCCAGTTCTAGCCTCCGAGAATTTGTTGCAAAGTGGAAAATCACCATGAATTTCTGAGGTGAATCATGATTTATATATATATATTTTTATCATCTATTTCTATGGACTATGGCTTCATGGCTTCCATAGCTATGTTAACAAAAACTGGAGGCTATATTTTTTCCACAATCTCTTGTGCCTTGCAGGCATCTACATGCATAAGCAGCGAGAATTTCCTTTCAAACGAGTTGCCAGTTCGGCTTCCAATGTGATCTCGATCTACGTTTTTGAGTGGACTCAAAATTACAATCCAAAGAAGCTTGGATAAGCACCGACCATAAAGCAACTTTGCCAGTGCAGTGACGGTTCCAATCCTCAAAGGCGATGCTGACAGAATGGTTGGTGGCTTACTGCGAACATACTGGCAGCTTGCCTGAAACGTGACGTGCAGGGCCTGGAGGATATGTATGTATATATATACTCTTTGGAGACATGCCTTTCAGGTTGATGTAAGAGCAGGAAAAAATCATATAAAATTCAGGTACATGTATAAATCAATGGATAACTTATCCAGAATGTATAAATACATGGTGTCGATTTGGTTGGTGACTTTGAATACTTTCCAAATCTTTCCTGCTTTCAAGCATATTTGTTCCCCATTTGACTAATATATTGTTGGGATTCGTCGAAATCCCTAAACAGGTGCATGCATACATGCATACATGCATACACGCATACATGCATATATGTGGAAATATGCATATATGCATAAGACATAGACAAGAACAACTACATCTAGAAATCACAACATGGCAAGGGACATTTTGCAGTTTCAAACGGACAGACTGGCAGATCGTCCATGATTCGAACACATGACATGCTCGAGCACCAACCAGTCATGATGGGGAACGTGCGTGGTTGTATACACATATGCATACTTGCACATATAAAGATAACTGATAACAATGATGATCATAGTAGCAACAATAATAATATTGATACTAGCAATATTGTTAGTAATGACAATATACTAATGTCAATAATATTGCAAATAGTCATATTAAGAATATTCATCATAACTATGCAGTACACAGATATTTGTTTCCATGTTTCACATGTGTCACGGAGACAGGTGTGGACTTGCCTCCGTACTGCATGAACGCCAACCAAAAGGAAGCCTTTGACCAGCTCCACAAGGCCATATCCAGGTTATCCGGGCGATAAAGGTAACTATTAATTTAAAGGTTAATACCAATGGACCAATAGACTATTTGCATAACTGGTTTATTCATCATTGATTATTGATGGTTATTGGAATATCCGTGATATAAAGACATAAATAGTTGATACCAAAGAAACATTGAGGGTGTTTCGGTTATGATATTTTGGTTCTTTTTTCCCAATGTGTTACGGTTCCCAATCTGTCCAACTTCGCAGGCCATCGAGGGTTCAAAGGAGAGAAGCAGCGAAGACATGCTGCAGAAAGTGGAAGAACTGAAGAAAGCCGTTGCAGCACCCAGTAGACCAGTGAAGCCTTGGGAGCCAATGGGATGCACAGCTGTTCCAAAACATATTGGAACTTTTATTTTATTTTTTTCACCACAGATTTGAGGCTGGCAAAATGTGGGAGACATTACCAAGAAATCATAGTCACATTTCTTCACCCATACGAATGGGATCTAGTCCTTTGATATTCAGCCCAAAACAAGGCAACACAACAGAGATTTCATGAGAAAACCCTACGAACCCCCTATTTACAAGCCCCAGCTTTAGTGGTTAATCCCATCAGGCAACCATATCGTATATCCTCTGCCCCACCCTACCTGAATTTACCTTATTATACCCCGATGAAATACCACCATGTTCCCCAAGCATTATTGTTCGTCATCCTGAACCGCTACTGTATACATAGAAAAAAGAAATCGTTTATCCAAAAAAAGCAAGGCGCTTCTCCAAAGAAGTTTTTGTTTCTATTTTACCCATGGGTTTCATAGATTTATTCCATTTTATTCCATACTCCCCAAATATGACTCGGTTTCCAGTCCAAATATTTTTCCATGGTGTCATATATGTATTCCATACTTTCACTCAAACATGACTTGGTTTCCAGTCCATATTTATTGGGGGTAGCCCAAGGTGATCTTCGCCAAGACGGTGCCGGATCTGAAGAGCCACAAGGAGCTCAGTGAGGCCCGAAATGCCACATGCTTTGGACGTTCGACGAGGGAAAAACATGGAGATTTTTCAAAAGTGGATAAATTGAACTAGGGATATAGGGATATTAGTTGCAAATGGGGACTAGATGGGAATACAGTATACATACTTCCCATTGTATTTCAAGGGATTGACCGCCAAACGCAATGTTTGGCTCAAGCGCCCATATCAAGGAAAATCAATTGCGCTTCCGCTGCATGCCGTTGAGACGTTGGTAAACACAAACGCAAGGTATTCTGAAACGAGTTGAACCACATCCGGAACAGGGATCATTCTGTTCACAGGTTATCAGCCGTAAGGGCTCTCAACCTCCATCGGAGGCGGAGTACCTGCGTGCTGTTAACCAACGTTGGGTGCAAAAGATCGTGAAATCCGATCAGCACCAGCATCGCAAAGATGCAAGGCGACAGCGGAGAGACGCAGTTCACCTTTGACGGCAACGCCGCAGCCCCTGCAGAAGGTATATCACAATCTTCTCCAGGAACAGCTGACAGCGGGGAAAAGTCGACAAGGACGACAAAATCTGGATGGCAAAAGATGACTTCTAGACATCGAAGAGCATCAACCACCAGTACTCCAAGATCGGCACGTGACGTGGCTCGAAGTGGGAATGCACGACGAAGCCACCGATCACCGAGAAGGACACCTACCGGACACAGGACCCCGAGGGCAGTCGAGGACAAACATGGTAGGGAGTCAAGTGATGTCAGTGCCAAAAGAAGATCAACAGAAGCACGTGGTAGCAGTGAACCAATAGCTATCATTGAAGAACTTAGAGAGCAATGTCAAATTCTGAGAGAGAAAGTGACACAAACCGAGATGTACGCAGCTTCAAGGGATCAAGTCATTAAGGACATTGAGGCCAAGTTCACCGAATATCTTCGTGGACACAATCAACAGGTATTCAATGAAATCAACACCCTCAACAAACGATTGATGTATTCGACGAATGAAGTATCTGAATACCATGCTGAATTGATGTTAGCCTCCAAGGAAGATGAAGGTGCAACCATTCGTATTGAAGAACTTGAACGTCGAGGTGCACTTGCTGAACATGGTGCCAGACGAATCCACCAACGTGGTGTTGAGATCCAGGAAGAGTACAAGGACGAGGTGCACCACCTTCAAGGGCTACTGGGGCATACTGAATCACGTCTTCAACAGATGCAACATGACAGTAACCTTGCTAGGAGTGTAGCCGAAACATTGTACAGGGAAGGAAACGAGATGCAGAGAAATCTTGAAAGTTCCATAGTGGAATATCGTAGTCAATCCGAACTGGCAAACTTCTCACATACTCATTTGGAGATGACAAGTCAAAGACAAGCCTTCATTGTCAACGAGCTCACTGATGAGAACCAAATGTTGAGTGAAGAAATCAGTCATTCCCGTAAGCAAGCCGAGTTGTATGAAAACAACATGGAGCAGATCACTAGAGAGTATCGCAAGAAAATCAATGAAGCCAACAATGCTAAACTGGAGAGTGATCTACGTCATCGAAACACAGAACATGACACAGTCAAACGGTTTGCAAATTACAGGAACACCGAGGCTGAGGCTATTGCTCAATTGAGGTTTGAATCAAGCGTCAGCTCTAATGCTCGCGAAAAGATGGAGCACTATGAGATGCTATACAACAATGAGCGAGCGCTGACGAACGAGCTCAAGACGGAGATTGAGGACCGAAACGTCAAACTGAGACGATCTCTTCAGGAGGGCCCAATGGCCATCGGCCACGGTTCTAACCAACATGCTATACAACATCTTGAAGCTGAGGTTAAGGTCGCACAGGTTAGGGCCCAAGATCTTTCTGAGGAAATGGATGAATGTATGTACACAAACATCAGACTGAAGGATGAATTGGCCGAGGTTTCGAGGCAAGGGTCAGCGACCCCCTTCGGATCCGAGGTCGCCATCCTTAGGACAGAGCTTGAGAGTGAACGTAAGTACAAGCTAGCCACAGGAGCCCAACAATACGAACGATCATGTGAATATTTGGGTGAGCTGAGAGATAGGGATGAGAAATTGGTGATGAAAGATGCGGAGATATCCAGATTAAGGAAAGGTCTCATAGACGCAGAGCTAGCCATCAAAAGCCAAGAGAATCTCAATGCATTTCCCTTCTCTGCAGGTATCACAAGCAGTGCCCTGTCACCCTACATGATGATCGGCAAGTTGGAGAGTGAGGTTGAAGCGGCAAATGATGAGTCGAATATTCTACGTGCTTGGATTCGACAGCTTGATGACGAGCTCAACAACGAATCAGCAACGGCTCATTCTAACACTGCCGCGGGTACAGGACATGCACAACGGCAACCCTCACATCCGGAGAATCAGAGAGTGACCGAGCTCCTGCGTGATGTCAACCAGAAGATCCTGGACGGAAAAAGGGTCAGCGTAGATGAAGGGGCAGGAATTCCCAACTACCGAAGACCTGACGGCAACGATGATCCTGACTTCCCAGGTGGGCCTCCTGATCCTAACGGGCCTCCTGGACCTCCCAATCCACCTGGTTTACCGTCGCTTCGTGGGTCGCAGAGGGACTCAGCAATTGATTTGGAGTCTACGACTGCTTTCACTGCTGAAGAACCTCCAAGGATATCCAGACGAGAAGCGGACAAAGTCTACATCAGTCCGTGGCCAAAGCACCAGAATCTGGGCGTTTGGCAATCTGATCTGATTAAAAGTGTATGCCTCGCTGCCAACGACGGCGATCGAGCCGCATGGGAAGCTTGGTTACAACCTGCGCTCAGGCAAAACCCTGACATCGATGCTCTGAATGATAGCGGAGGGCAAAGGTTTCAGTCGATTGATGCGAAGCTTTCTATTGCACTATCAAACGTTATTTCACAAGCTGGTGATGTAGCTCGACATGTAGCAATCAAGCTTCGACTGAGAACCCAAGCCAGCAATCGGAGATCAACCTTTGTCATGGGGCGAGAGATTCTTGCCATGATTCTGGAGCATTTCAGGACACCAGGTCAACGTGAAACTGCCTTCACTATGGAGCATATCATTCAATCACGATACCTTGGTGATGCCAACATTGAAACGTTCTACGAAAAGTGGATGGAGATTGTCTCCAACATGATGCCTGAGGACGTGCCCCAAGATGATTGGTTGCGTGATGCATTATACAAGAAGATCAGAAACTCCAATTTGATGATGTATGACATCAAGCAATATGAATCATGGTGGGAGGGAGATCCTAGGAGAACTTACCAGTATCTCATCAATGCGATTGAGCGCCACATTGCCAGGATCAGAGAAGACAAGCATGTCGCGGCCAGGGAAAAGTATGCTAGAGATTTTGCCGGCGGTGGTAGGCCGACTGCACCTACTCCAACTGCCCCAGCTCCTCCTGATGCGAACGCCAAGGCGAAAGCAAAGGCCAACGCAAAGGAGAAGCCTGCTCCGAAGCCCAAAGCAAAGTCTGATGCTGCTCCTGTACTACCATCACCTCAACCAAAGCAACATGCCAAAGGAAAAGGGCAAGGAAGAAAAGGAAAGTCAAAGAGCCGAAGTGCCAGTCCTCGCGACAAAAAGAAGATACCATGTCACTTCCACTTCATCAAGAAATCTTGCAGGAAAGGAAAAGACTGTGAGTACAGCCATGATCAAAAGGTGTTTGACGCCAGCAAGAGCGGTGGACATGGTAAAGGGGGCGGCAAGACGCCCAGAGGACAATCCCCAGCTAACAAGACCAAGAAGATCGACGAGCCATGTTGGCACTGGGCAAAAGGCAAATGTCGATATGGTGACAAGTGTAACAAACGACATGACGCTCATTTGTTCAACACTGCACCAAACACAGAATCTCCATCGTCCTCAAAAGCGGCCCCTGCACTTCTCCACGATGACAGCGACGTAGATGAGCCACCTTTCATGATTGCTTCCAATGTAATGAAGAAGAAGGTGAAGTTCAATCCACAGAAAGATGACGTCTATGTCTATGAGAAGAAGGACTATGTGAAGTGCTCACGAAAGTCCCAAACTCTTTCCAAAGGGCACAACAAACTGTGCAAGACCACTGATGAGATTAGAAAAGATGAACAGTGGGCCTACTCTTGCAGACTTGCTCAAAGTCGTGGGAAGGCAATGGCTATTATTCTGGATGAGAAGTATGACTACTGTGACATTGACGAAGTCCTTATCATCGTTGGCCCAACTTTGGACATTATGATCAAAATGGAACATGATGATGTTGATGATGTCACACGTGAAGTATTCACTGAGAATTATGTCCAACATGTTGATGGGCGCTACGGGAAAAGGGACAACGTAATGTGCATCACGGTCCCAGTTGAGGAGAGAGACAAGAGGTTCATTATGGACTCAGGGAGCGGACACGACTTGATATCCGCCAAGAAGATTGACAGAATGGATCTGCCAACTTATGATGACGTGGTGGTGAACTTCCATACTGCCAATGGCGTCACAAGTTCAACCAAACGTTCTGACATCAAGTTCGAAGCCTTTGACGAACCTGCACATGCACACATCTTGGAGGACACTCCATCAGTGATGTCGATGGGGAAACGTTGCGTTGACCTTGGGTATTCATTCATCTGGCCATCAGGGAAGACACCATATATGATTGACCCCAATGGCGACATCATCGAAATGACTGTCAGAGATTACATCCCTTACATCAACATTGATCAAAAGAAGAAGAAAGGGACATCATCCAAAATTGCTAAGATTATCAACGTCATTAGTGATGAATGTTCCACATCTGAGGGTGAAAATATGATGGTCATTGACGGTGAGAGTGGTGATGAGCTGGAAGACCTAACCGACATCGTCCGGCGGTCTGAAGGCAAGTCACCAAAGAAGGCCAAAGTCAGGAAAGCCAAGAGGAAGAAGAACAGGACTTTGCCCGAAGTTGCCGTTGGTGGTGATCCTGATTATATTGAAGAACTAGCAAGTCATGATGATGAACCTGATGATCGTGGTGACGAATATGCAGAATTCGA